TGAATGACTTAACTTTGTTCTTTTTTATTTCAGGATTATTTAAGAATAAGTTAGCATCTTCAAAATGGCTAAATGCAAGTAAAAGTTTGTTTCTGCCAATGTGCTTCAAGCTACCATTAACAATATTTTTAATGGAGTGCTTTTTTAAGAACTGTCCAAAGGAAACTGGGTGGATTGATGCTTTATTATTCGGATCTTCTTGAGTCTTTTGGATGTGAACAATAAAAGGAGAGGCATCTGATGACTGATAAAGAACTCTACGTATTGGCTGCTGTGATGAATTTTTGTTGTCAATAGAAAATTGAGTATATTGTAATTGAGATGCTGAATTTGAAGAAGGAATTGGAAGTAAATTAGTTTGCATTGGTGTACTAACGGGTGCAGAAGAAGCTAAATCGCATTTACAGTCTGTTTCACTACAATCAATTGAAGATTTATGATGTTTCCTCTTTTTTTTATTACAATGTTTGCAGATCCTACTGGCATGTGTTCTTTTTCTTTTAGAGTTAGTTCTGGGGTTCGAGCAATCGGAATCTAGTACAGATCCCTCTGTATCTAGGCCAGAATTACAATCCACGGTAATTACATTCGACACCTGGGGGCCAGAGCCCCCAGGGTCGTCCGGATCAAACATAAAAGAGAACTGAAATTATAACTATTACTTACCAAGTATAAGAAGAAAAATACAATATGTACACTAAATAGATATCAATAAACTAAAATATTAACAAAATACTACTCAACTGATCCAATTTACATTAAAAAAGTAATTTTATAAAATTCTCACGACCAATGAGACCGAAGTTTCCCGCGCTTTTTCGAGTACATTGTTATTTTGTCAAAAACATTTTTTTTTCCCTTTAGGGGCCATCCATAAATTACGTCACACTTTAAGGGGTAGGGAGGGGGTCGACGAAATGTGACATCGTGTGACAAGGGATGGGAGGGGTCCTAAATTTCGTGACGTCACATTTTAAAATATATTAAAATCTAAGTGTTGAAACTATTACTTTACGAAAGCATTAACAACCCAAACGAGAACAAAGTGGTGCTATGCCAGTTATAAAAAAAATGGGTGCGTGTACTTATGTAGGCGCGTGAGAAGTTATCCTTCTTTGGCATCGTTTAAAATTAGTTTTTAATTGCATGCAAATAATTAATTACAATAAATTAATAAAAAGTCTGGAAAAGGACACAGTCAATAAAGTTCAGTTTTAATTTGAAAAAATAAATAAATAATCAAAATATTCAATTAAAATCGCTACTGAATATAATTTATTAGAACATATGTGATTTGCACTTGTATGAAACTCAAACACGTATTCCGAATATACAAACTAGAAACATGTGGATAAATATTATAAATATGAATACCTATTTATAACTGTTACTTTATTACAAAAAATAAAGATGTGGTTTTTGGTTCTACTACACCAATGGTCAAGAGATGGCGCTGTAGTCTCCTGAATCGCGCTTTGGTTCCGTTGTTCCAGATTAATAACTACTTTTGATAGGCCTTCACAATGCAGTCGTTAGCACCCACTAAATAGAGATTCTATTTCTATTTTGTTGGTAGATTTTCTTAAGGTGCGGTAAACACAAAAGCAACAACATGAAGTTGGTCGCTTTAGCGACTTTGTGTTAGGCATTGTCCTAATACAACGCGATAACGCGAATGAGCGATGCGATCATCGTACGAGTCGACGATCAAACATATTGATCTAGAATAGGCGAACGCGCCATGCATTCGCGCGACTAAAATGTTTAAAAATCTATTCGCAGGAACTTAGTTCGCGCGAACGCGCAATCAAACCTATTAATGATGAATAGATGTCCTAACTGAAGTTCGCGCGATGATCGCGTCGCGTCGATAGGAAGCGGGGAGAGGGGCACTGCTAACCCGACCAAACTGTGTGTCAATCGTGATCGCGTATTCGCGTTGGTCGCATCGTTCAAACGCGCGATGATCGCGTTATCGCGTTGTAATAGGACAATGCCTTACAGTGATGCAAAATTTCACTCTCATCATTTTTTCATAACGCGCCTAAAGAAGTATAACTTCAATAATTTAAAGGAGTGGGATCAATGTCCATGGACTCAAGATTATTAAGTTTGTATCTTTAACTTATTTATAATGCTATTAATATTTTATGTTTTGTTAATTTCTTTAATTAACATAGTCAATCACTTTTTGTTCGGTGATTTCTTTAATAAATATAATTAATCGTTTTTTTTTTTGTTTTGCTAATTGTTTGATTTGATTATAATAATAATGAAAAAACAATTTAAATGGAAATAAAACTGATTACAGAACCGCTGTTTTCATTCAATGATTTCTAAATGTAAATTTGCAAAATATGTGACGTCACACTAGGGAGGGGGGGGGAGTCTTACAAATGTGACCAGCTGTGACAAGGACGGGGGGAGGGGCAAAAAAGACACGAAATTCGTATGACATAATTTATGGATGACCCCTTATAGCCTGCACGTTTGTGCGTCAGCCACATACAAATGTATAATGCGATGCGATTCAAATAAGATTATGAAAGTCAATGAACTCCAACTGTCAAATGTCGTGTGAAAAGTACGCTTTGCAAAAAAAACTTGAAACCATACATAGTGCTTACTTTGGGGCTAGGCTAATTGGTATGAGTGTTGAAAAATATTTATTTATTAATCCAAAAGAAATATTGAATTTACGATCATTTATTACCTTACTAAATTTATTTACCAGTTAACTGTTAAGCTGGGGATACACATGCCCGTAGCTTATAGGGATGCGCCGATCCGATCCGATCCTTGGAAAGATCGGATCGGAAGGCATACGATCCGGTGATTTTCGGATCGGATCGAGGCCAAACGATTTTTTGCCGGGTCGTTACAAAACTTGAAAGATCGGATCGCTTGGATCGTATGAATTAAAACGCGGTTTCTTTACAATAAATTGAGTAGGTATTTACTAAGGTTTCTGTTACGAACTTTATCTTTGGTTACATTTTAACTTGGCGGCATTCTTTGTAGGTGGATCCATTAATCATATACATTCTATTATTATAAACAAAAGTTGTGGGTAAATTTATATATATACCACTAAATCTATTTCTTGCTAAAACCACATAAGTCACCTATTTCTTGCAAAAATAACATAAGTCAAGAATAAGTTTTCATATTTTTTTCATTATTATTATTTATGAACAGTAAATGTTCTTGGATATTTTAATTTTTTACAACTCAAATACTAAAGTAAGCGTAAAAAAGTTCTTTTTAACTCGATTGTTTGAACATGAACCAGTTTTTATTAGTTCATGAAAAACTCTAATAGTGTGACTTAAGAGGTTTTTGAAATGACTGATTCAATTGTACTTTAACTACTTGTAGTTGGGCGCATTTCTTCGAAGTCTAAATTTTTCATAAATAACTAGTAGGTAAACATTTTTTAAGTTCTCTGTGTACCTAAATTACTATTTCACACTGTGTTTCTTTCAAAACTAAGTACTTGTTTATTTATAAGTTTTACATAGAGCAATTTTGTTTGTTCATAAGTTTTACATACTTTGAAGGGTTTCCCAAATAAAAATCTAAAATTAATTGTCTTACTTATTGTATCCGATCCGATCCGATTTCTTGAAGATCGAATCGACGGCATGCGATCCGATCCGCGGATCGAATCGTGTCATTACGATCCATTACGATCCGAAAAATCGGATCGACGACCCGGATCGCACATCCCTAGTAGCTTACACACTAGTATAGATGTTAGGCCGGTTTAAAACCAATTAAAACAAACCGTTTAAAACGAAAAAAACCGTTTAAAACCGAAATAAACCATTTTTTCGATTTAAAACGGTTGGTGTTGATGACTATGTTTTTCTTAATCATAACTACACTGTCTTGATTTTAACGAGGTAGGAATATAACGGAGTACCTATAAACTGTATAAAGATTTTTTAAATGTGTATTTACTGATATTGATATACTTAGCGAGTTTAGTTCTAGTTGGTCCATCCGCGACCAAGCGTAGGTATTACCTACTTAAGTTATAAAAACTCTTATCAGTTAAAAACTCTGTGTTGGTAAAAAAAAATTCATTGTTGAAGTGTAAAAACCATAGTTCTTTTATTTTTGTATGCCAGTTTACAACCGTTTAAAACGATTTATTTGGGGTTTAAAACGGCAACATTTTGTTTAAAACGTTTTAAATCGGTTGTTATACATCTATACACACTAGCATACCAGCTCCGTGCCGCAAGTGCCAGTTACTGTCACGTGTATACGCTAACTGGCATACCTGTAATACTGGCATACATACATGCAGCTTGCACAACATTAGGGTATTTGACAAGTTTTAGAAAACGATCTCACGGTATTAAGTAATGTTTATAGAGCCCATAAAAAGTCTGATCTGTCTGATCGGATATTCATCATTATGTTGTGTATTTCGGTAAAAAAACTAAATCAAAAACTATTTTCCAGTTGCCGCGAAACCGTATCTCTGGACCATATGTTATCTCCTTAGACCATTAAACCTAATTTTAAGTTTAATGGTCTAAGTTTATCTCACTGGTGTGTGACGTCACACGACTGTCATTAAAACGTCAAACCATACAAACTAATGTCACTTTAACCGGAAGTTTACTTGCGTATGACGTCATTTTAGGTTCCACCAATCCCAAGCGTTTTGGGTCACATGACAACAGACAAGAAAACTATTATCATTATCGTGGGTTTTTAGTAAAATTATGAATATTTTTTCTGTAAAGATAGTAAAAAGTCCTGCCAATATTAATTCTAAATACAGATGCTAACAATTGGTACTTTATTTTCAATACTGTCAAATACCCTTTTGATTTATCTGCATGGTTTTCCAATTACAGAGCATAATGCGACTCAGTGGCGCACAATGCCGAATTATGCTGATGCTTAATTGGAACGTGAATTAGTTTTCAAATGCACCAGCAGAGTGCGCTTAGTTCAGTGTTGAAAAAATAAGTCAATATTTGTACCTTCATCCATATTTATATTTATTTTTAATACTGTTTGAATTAACCTTGATTTTTTAAAAAAACTATGATGAAACGAAAGTTTTAAAAAAATTTCAACAATAAATAATATTACTAACGATAACATATAAATAAAACATTTCGATCAATGCCAACTTAAAGAAAAAACACTTGTTAATTTTCTGTCTCCGAGTTGGTACGATTGCACGCATCACACGAAAGCATTACTTTTGAGAGTGCTCAATTGTGCGAAGCGTTGCTGTAGTTGGAACATTCAACGTTAGGCATTATGCCGCATAATGCGCTATAATGCTGTAATTGGAAAGCTACCAATGTGTCCTGCTTTTGCAGCTCTCTCCTTACAACTGTTATTTTTTTGTAACGCCTCCCGATTTCTTAAAATCGGACCTGGCAACTAGCGGTGGGTCGTTCTCAAATTTTCTGACGACGAAACGCAACCGTTTTCTCTTAAACGAAAACTAGTCCTCGAAACGGTTCTCGTTCGCAACTGGTTTTGGTTGCGGCTGGGTGACGCAACGAAACGACACGCGACGCGACGCGACGGTCGAAGGAATGTAACACAACGAAACTTAACTAAATGAAATCTTGTTAACGTTCGTTTCGTTGCTGCGAACGAGACGACGAAACATCGAAAGAAATGTAGTGTTATACGATAATCGACTTTAAATGTTCAATAATAAAGATTATATTATTGTAAAATCAAAGCTTAATTATCATAGAACGAAACGGCCTCATATCATTGCGTTCTATTATAGACTGTATTTACTTCATCATAAAGTACATATTGGCGTGCAGACAATCCGAGGACTAGTTGTTCGACGAAGACTGTTTTGATTCGAAACGTAAAACGGTTCTATCGTCGTGGAACACAAAACGGTCCTTGAAACCGGTTCGTCTTTAGAACGGAACAGAACCTACTGGCAACACTGATCGCAACTTTTGGCTGTTTTTGTTTTGTTTTAATTAAATATTTAATTAAATTATTAAAGCAAGTAGTACCTTGCTGATTAAAAAGGTAGATTTAGTTAAAACATAAATGTATACTCACTCGTGCCCAGCCTGATGCCAGTGACGATAAATTTACATTTTATTTTATCTAAATAACCACCCCCTATCCAATTATAATTTAGATTTTAAAAATAACTTTGTCATATCAGCCTCTAAAATGAGTTCTATGGATGATATAGAGGAAGAAGCAAAATTAGCTGCTGAAAAAATGGTGATGAATATGATGCAACGACCCGGACAACTTGAGAAAGTAAGTATAAATCTTAAGAAATTAAAGATTTAGGTTTTCTTTAAATTATAAGTAAGTATAATTTAGCTTTATGTCAATAGAAAATTCTACACTCACTTAATAGCGACGTCACATAAATTTAATGATGATAATGTATGTAATGTGTGTGTGCTTTGGTATTTATTCCATTGTTGTCGCAAAAAAGTGACAACATGTACTCTAACCAAACATATAGTTAAATCAATTGATGTCAGAGTTATATCCTACTAATAAATATCAAAGTTTGTATGTTTGTTAATCATGCAAAACTGGCTGAACGGATTTGGATGAAAGGATTCATTCTTTTCTCCATACAACTGCCCAATTTTGTCTTATATCTTAATTAATGATGGGAAGGGGTCTTGATTTTCCCTATCCAGATTAACGAGGCCCTACTGTAGTATTATATTACCTAGATTGAGACATATGATATTTTTTTATCCTGGAAAATGGTTTGGTGCCTGTGAGATTTTTGAAACCTATGTAAATATAATGTTATTGAAGTTGCAGGCAGAAGGTAGTAAATTAATAATTTCCAATACCTCTATTTTATAAAGTTTGGTTTGCTAGTTCAGTTCTTTTAAACTAGTCCAGCCATAGCCCTTGTTCAGAGTAGAGAAAGCCATTTGAAAAATGCTGTCATTTTAAAAAAAAAATATGCTGGAAAGTTTCTCAAATTTGGCTGCAGTTCCTGTATCCTAGGGCTTGGGCTGCTTTCAGACACTAAACCATTTTTTTTATTGTTAATAGATATTTCTGAATTAAAGATAATAAATTTAATGATGTTTTCCTGTCCCTTAGGTAGAGCAGTATAAAAAACGTATAACACATAAAAAAGCTTCAATTGAAGCTCAGTTAAAGTCTGCAGTTCAAGGGAAATTGGATGGAGTCAGTGTTGGCCTCAAACAACTACAGGAATGTCTTGATGATGTGCAGGAAATAAGTGTCAAGTAAGAATAACAATGCCTCTCAAATCTCGCAACAGTATTAATCCCTATACAGTTTAAATAGTTAGAGCTTTAACATTTGGGTCAAAGGTACAACTTAACATTGATGGAGTAGGGAGATAGCCCAGTGGGTATTGGTTCTGATGCAGCCAGAACCAACTGCATAATGTGCCTTCGAAAGCAGGGGGGAGCTCGAAATAATAAGTTTTGAGTCGTCCATTCAATGACCGACCATTGTGAAAGTTGATTAATCTCTATGATTGCAGGTTGAACATGCTATCCACCTGTGCCATCAAGCTCATCAACTTAAATAAAAAAACATTAATAATAAATATACATATACCTGATGACTTACTCTTTACACTATATAAGTAACTGCACAAAACTAGCGCTGACCGTTTTTGCGCAGAAGTAAAAATTAAGATGTCTTGGTGGGAAACGAGGTGCGCATGTGATGTCAATCATTTATGTCATTTTCAAAAATATGTCTTCTAATTATTACAATATAGTTATCATTTAAAAGGTCTTAATGAGATCATATAAAATATAGACAATAGGCTAGTTGACCCTTTTTGGAAAAAGGTTTTAAATGGTTAATAAATGTTCTATTAGACCGAAAAAAAATGTATTGTATTTTTTTGAGACCTAGAAAGCTACAAATCTTCAATTTTAAAATAGACTTTTCATGGACATACAAAAACGCTGTCGGCCATTTTAGTCTATAGATTATCTATGCTATGACGTCGACGGTAGTAAACAAAAACTCGTAAGCACGTAGAAAATAACCCATCTGAGTTTATAATAAAAAAAAACATGATTTCTAATAGATACCACGAAAAATATAGTAATTATCATTATTGTAATGTACGAGAATGTAAAAAAAAACCTTGAAGACTCCAGGAAAGTTGTGGATTAAAGTGCCGAAAGAAATTAACCTACGCAATACCTGGTTAGAACTTGCTAAAAGTGATCCTGCAACTTTATCGACTCATAGTAAAATTTATTTTTGCGAAGATCACTTTGATGTAAGTATTCATTGAATAATATTTTAAGTCTCTTCATTTATTATCAGTTTTAATAATACAAGTTTTAAAGTTATGTATGAATGACATTTAGTTGTTTACTAAAAGAGACGTCACAATCATGGCGGATGTGGTGAACAGCGTTTTTAGTGTTTAAAAAGTATAGACTAAAAATTATTTTTTCAAATTAAATTTCTACAGCAATCTTCTGCTTTTATGAAGTGAAATCGATATATTTAGGTTCCCTAGACCAAATACTTTAAGAAATAAAAATTTATTTAATACAATTCGATATGAGTCAACTAGCCTATTGTAGTAGCATTAATAAACGGGTTTACCTGTAAAACAAAGTTATTACTAGAAAATTTATAACATGGCATAGCACATTTTTTTTACCATTTAGTTCATTTTTTAAGTGTCGTCGTGTTTTTAGGGTTCCGTAGCCAAATGGCAAAAAACGGAACCCTTATACTTATACTTACCCGGGATTTGTCATGTCTGTCCGTCCATATGTCTCAGCCACTTATTTCCGAAAATATACGAACTATACTGTTTTACTGTTTTTTCTATAAGCTCTTATTTATGTTTCATAAATAGGTAGCCTGAAAATGGCAAACTATAGAATAAAAAAAGGGAGCGAGCCTTACAGTAGTCGCGTATGATGTGTAACTTTTGAAACCTCACCTTATATTAGTCTTAGTAGTATGGCGAGCTATTTCCGCAACTCCCAGTGCCTATTTTGCGTAGGGATTGGCATCAGGCCTGCCATCCCAGCTCCTCCAGAAAGCTCAGCAGTTCCCGAATGTTGCTGCAGGCCTCTACTATTGTCTTCGGGCTTCCCATTAGAGACGTCCTTTGTCTTGCAACGCCCCTGCACTCCAGTAGGACATGGGTGCTCGTCTCATCCTCTTCCAGGCAGGCTCTGCACAGAGGGCTGTTAGAAATACCTATATTACAAAGGTGATTGTTGAAGTAGCCGTGACCCGTGAAAATACCCACGATTTGTTTTAGGGCTTGTCTAGGTAGTCTGATTAACTTACGTGTTAGCTGCAGATTTACCTCAGGAATGGTTTCCCTAGCTTGCCTGCAGTCCGTGAGTTTTGACCAGTATTCGTCGTGTTGTCGCTGAGAGCGCTCCCTTATCCAGGTTCGCAGCTGTCGATAGGGTATAGGTATAATTGGCTCCGGACCAGTGGCCGTCCTGCTGGACCCCTCCCTGGCTAAGCAGTCCGCCGCATCGTTACCCCTTGAGCCGTTGTGTCCTTTAATCTGCTGTAAGGTCAATCTATTGTCGCTAGCAATATTAGTCAACTTACTGTGGCATTCATAAATTAAGCCTGATGTCATTATTTTGTTGTCCAGTGCCTGTAGGACAGAAGCGCTGTCAGAGAGAATACGAATATGTTTTCCTCTTATCCCGCGACAATCTATCGCCTCAGCGGCTCTGATGATGCTCACACACTCTGCCTGGAAGACCGTGTTATAGGCTCCCAATGCTGTCGAGATGTGTATATTTAGGTCTTCGGAGAAGACACCCGAACCTGTACCATAGTTGGTTTTTGAACCGTCTGTGTAGACCCTCAACTCCTTATGCAGACAACGGTCCGGAGTGTCTTCATAAAGTTGAATTTTATATTTTTTGTCGAATACGTACGTCTTAGGAATAAGGTCGTTTACTGCTGCAAAGTACGGAAAGTGCCTGTGTATGTCTGCTAAGATGCTGGTGTGCGGGGAGTTGTTGTCCCTCCATAGCCCCGGCATGCGCGTGTGCCTGTACAAGCAGCTTCCTTTTGTATAAACAAATGGAGTGGTCTCACGTTAAGTATTGTCTCCAGTGCTGAAGTGGGGGTGGTTTTCATGCAGCCGGTGATTGCACAGCATGCACGCCTCTGGAGACGTCTGATCTTATTGATTGTCGTTACTTGGATTGTCTTGGTCCACCATACTACTGCTGCATAGCTGATGATGGGCCTAATTATGGTCGTGTACAGCCATTTAACAATGAGCGGTGATAGTCCCCAAGTTTTGCTAATCATTTTGCGACATTGCCAGAAAATGATGTTGGTCTTTGTAGTAGTTTTGTCTATGTGAGATCCCCAGTTCAGTTTGGAGTCTAGGGTTATTCCTAGATACTTACCTCATTGGAGAGCCTCAGTGTCGTGTTAAATAGTTTCGGTAGCCGATAGTCGCCTAAGGATCTTTTGTTCGTGAACATGACCAATTCCGTCTTCACTGGATTCACCTTAAGGCTGTAGTCGTCACACCATTTTTCAACCACCTTCATTGCCCTCCGCGTAACATCACAGGCGGGCTCGCAAACTTACCCGGAACTATGATTACCAGGTCGTCTGCGTAGCCCACCGTATGGAAGTGAAGGTTGTTTAGTTTGCTAATTAAGTCATTTACGACTACATTCCATAGCAGAGGCGATAGTACTCCTCCATGAGGACATCCCTTAGTCGCCAATGCTCTGAGATGGTTGTCGTCTTGTAGTCTGATTAGTCTGTTACGGAGCATGTTACTTACCCAGTATATAATGGTCTCATCGACTCCGTGTTTGCCGAGTGCTTCTACAATGCTGGCGAAGCTTGTTTTGTCAAACGCGCCTTCTTTGTCTATAAAGGTGCCTAAACATAGCTCTTTCCGTCTGAGACTATCCTCTATTTTACTTACGACTGCATGTAGTGCAGATTCTGTCGACTTGCCTGGACTACAGGCGTGTTGGTTCCGATGTAGTGGAACATTGACTAATTGGTTGTCGCTCAGCTCTCTGTCGCACAGTCGTTCCAAGGTCTTTAGCAGAAATGATGAGAGACTTATTGGTCTGAAAGATTTCGCCTCGTTGTAGCCTCGCCTCCCTCCAGAGCTTCGGTGTGTATCTAAATGCAAGACACGCTCTCAGGAGGGGCACCAGAAAAAGGATTAGTGCTTCACCTGCCCATTGAAGCAGCGCCGGAAAGATGCCATCTGGTCCGGCTACCTTGAATGGCTGGAAGCTGTTAATGGCCCACCTTAACTTATCTGTAGACACTGTCCTCAATACAGTGTTCCAGGATTGTTCCGTGGGGGTCCAGCTAGTGTCATTCCAAGTATGTGTCGTGTGTATGATGCAGTCCGGAAAGTGGGTTTCAAGTAGTTTCTCTGTGCCTCCTCAGTTGTTTCTGTGAGGGAGCCATCAGGCTTCCGAAGCTGTGTTAGGTCTTGCTGCCTATCTTTAGATAGCAGTTTCGTTACCTTATTTGCCTTTGTGCATGAGTCTATTTCTGAACAAAATTTTCTCCAAGACCCATTGCTCCAATGTCGAATGCGTCTCTTGTAAAGTGCCTTGGCATCTTTGTACGCATCCCAGTCCTGATCGTCACATGTATTCATGGCTCTGTTAAAAAGTCTCCTTACCTTTTTCCTCAGTTTATCCAGCTCGGGACTCCACCAAGACTGGCTGGCATCCGAGTTGAATGATGGTGTACTAAGAGGAAAGGCTGTCTGATAGCTTGAGATTATAACTCTTGTTAATTCCTCAGCTGTTTCGTCTATCTTATAAGTTTCGTCTAAACTTTCAGACTGCATATGTCGCAATGACCGAGTTACCTGTCTGCGATACTGGCTTCTGTTTATTTTACTAGATATGCGTCTGGGTGGCTGGGTAACACGATGTACCGCGATGTTGAACCTAATCCACCTGTGGTCAGAGCAGGATGCCTCTGGGGAAACGTGCAGGTCAGAGATCAGTTCCGCTGCTCTCCTTGATCCAACTGTCGATCAACTGAAAGGTCGATGATGGATCTGCCCCTTCTTGTTACGAAAGTAGATCCTGTGTTTATTATATTAAGGTTAGTGGTAAATAGGTAATCTACTAGTTCCTCACCTCGTTTGTTGCTTTTCGTCATACCCCACAATTGATGGTGGGCGTTGGAGTCGGTGCCGATGATCAGCTCAGCCAGTTCCCCTGACGGAGCTTCCTCTCCTTCAGGCACGTAGGCAGAGGCAACCACCAGGACAGGTACACTTGGATTTTGCTTGCGTTGTATAATTTGGATTGTTGTTATGTCGCTAGAACAAAATTGTGTCATTATTTTTGCCTGTAGGTGTTTTGCATAGTAATGCAGGTCCGCGGTGCGCGGTTACCTGGGTTGTAAAAATTCTTACCACCGGTGTTGTTGAGGCCACATATGATGTTGGATCTGATCCACGGTTCCTGGACCAGAGCAATAGCACCGTCGTTGTTGTCCTCCAGCCACTTCCTGAGTTGAGCCGTTGCGGTGCGACTGTGCTGGAGGTTTGTCTGGATGATCTTGACGTTACTCGGTGGAGGCGCCATCGGACGCAAGCAAAACATCGATATCCACTTCTTGCTCGATGTCGATGCCACCCAGTTTGTCAGCCCATTCGTCTATGACATCCGCTGCTCCTTGCTCACCCAAAGTGGCTCGGCGACGGAGCAGATGTTGGTTGCTCTAAAGGCGACAGGCTGTCCAGGTATTGACCGCCCTGGTTTCTGAACCTTACATACACCGAACCCATCAGGTAGCACAGTCTCCTGCCTCTCGTTAGCAGCGTCTCTGCGATATCCCTGGTGGTGCTGAACACCAGGAACGTGTTGTCGTCCCCTGCGATGGCCTTGTGACCTCACCTTTTATTAGTAAAAAAAAAAAAACGTACTAAAAAAGGAATAAGCCATTTGAACATTATATTCTAAAATCAAATCAAAGAGCGCGCGCTTTCGCGACTTCCTGTTACACACTTCCGTCCCATTTCCACGAAATTACTCCCACAAATTGCAGGAAAGCGAGAGGAAAGATGTTACACATAAAAAAAATAGGTGTGGTTGTTAGAGCGACAAATTGCTAGGAGTTTATATTTGCGTGTAATCTCATTGCTGTTATTCGTATGGTTTGTGGTTGTCAGAATTATTTGAATATACTGACTGACATGCACTTCAAGTTTTTGGTTGTTACTTGCTTAGATACGTTGTTTGTACTCATGTGTTCTATTTTGTTTGTAAATATATATTAAGTCAATATTAGCTGGCATTCTTTATTTATTATATATGATCGAGGTTATCTAGTCCTCGATCAGGTTATGGGCCGCATATGATAAATATAAGAAGACTTTAAATATGGCTACACAAGGAAATAGTATGAAGGTTAATTCGAGCAGCGATGGATCGGAGAGATCTCAGCCTTCACACGACACAGGTATGAGCATAGAGAAACTCGATGGAAATTCGAATTATAGTACTTGGAAATTTTTGGTAGAATTATATCTAATTCACGATGATTTATGGGAGTACACACAAACAACGCCAGATAAAACTGATGTAGTAGGCTGTAGGAAAGACCAAAAAGCGAGAGCAAAAATATGCTTGATGGTAAAGCCCCACTGTCTGATTCACGTTCGAAACGCTAAGACAGCTAAAGAAGCGTGGGACGCTTTGAAATCGGCTTTTGAAGATAAGGGTCTTAACAACCGTTGCAGACTTTTGACCAAGTTAGTTAGCCTAAAACTTGAACAATTTACATCAGTTAGGAGTTATGTAACAGAAATAATGTTAGTAGCGCAGCAATTACGGGACATCGGTAAAGAAGTTGACGATGAGATGCTAGCTGCTCTCATGTTACAAGGTTTGACCGAAACTTTTCAACCAATGAGGCTTGCGATTGAAAACTCAGGAGTAGAGTTGACCACAGATTACATAAAAACCAAATTACTTCAAATGGAAGATTCGTATAACACTAGTAGTTCAAGCAGTAATGATATAGCATTGCGTGTTGATACACATAACAAGACTAGGAGATTTCCATACAAGAAGTCACAGAAGATAAAATGCTTTATTTGTAATGGACCACATAAAGCGAGAGATTGTCCAGAGAACTCAAAAAATAAGAAGGCTTCGTTAGCATTGGGACTTGCAACTTCAGGAAAACCAGACGAGTGGATTTTAGATTCTGGGGCATCAAGCCATATGACTAACAGCAAAGAGTATTTAATGGACGTTAGAATGTATGACAAAAAAGTGGAAATCGGATGTGCGAATGGTAGTAAAGTATATGGTATTGGAGAAGGTTCTGTGGTATGTAAGGAGAATGTTGCAGGCGTAAGTGAAGTGATGTATGTACCACACTTAGCAACTAACTTGTTGAGCGTGAGTGCTATTGTAAAGAAGAATGTAGTTGTTGTATTTTCAGCGAAAGGCTATGAACTGTTGAAAGCGGATGGATGTAAGGTTACTGGTGATGTCTTATATACAGGTGTGGAGGATAATGGTGTTTATAAACTTAAGCTCTGTTCACAGGAGAAAGCACTAGCCTCGACTGTCAGTACCATAGACATAGAGTTGTGGCATAGACGTATGGGACATCTTGGTGTACGGAACCTTAAGCTGCTGAGAGACAAATTGGCTACAGGGGTAAGTTTTACTAATAATCCAGTTAACTTACAGTGTAGAGCTTGTTTGATGGGAAAGCAGACCAAACAACCGTTTAAAAAGGGTTTAGCAAACAGAGCTGATGATATTTTAGGTTTGGTTCATACTGATGTATGTGGACCAATGAGTAAAGACTCAATGTCGGGCTGTAAATATTTTCTAACGTTTATTGATGATTTTACAAGAAAAACTTTTGTATATTTTATCAAAAACAAAAGTGAAGTCTTTCAAAAATTTTTAGATTTCAAGACATTTGCTGAGAACCAGTCTGGAAAGAAATTAAAAATTCTTCGATCGGATAATGGCAAGGAGTATGTCAATGAGCAGATGAAGAAATTTTTGAAGCAGTGTGGTATACAACAGCAATTAACGGTTGAGTATACACCCGAGCAGAATGGAGTTGCAGAACGTGCAAACCGCACAATAACAGAAAAAGCTAGAAGTATGCTTCAGGAAGCAGAGCTAGATGAAAAGTTCTGGGCAGAGGCGGTGAACTACGCTGTGTATTTAAAGAATAGATCACCGACCATTGCAGTTAAAGGTAAAACGCCAGAGGAAGCGTGGACTGGAAGGAAGCAAGACTTAAGCATGCTACGAATTTTCGGATGCAAAGCGTTTATTCACGTACCAAAAGTAAAACGGACGAAATGGGACGCTAAATCTAAAGAAATGATTCATGTAGGCATCTGTGAAGAATCGAAAGGCTACCGCTTAATAGACCCAATAACTAATCATTTAAGCAAGGCCAGAGATGTTGTGTTTTTCGAGAACGAGAATATAAACTGTAAGCAAACAGTTGAAAGAGTTGAGAAGTCAGCACCGCTTAGTTTTAAGGATAACGTCACAGAATATGAAGATCACATAGAAGTTCAAGATTTTCAAAGAGATCAAATTGAATCGGAAAATGAACCTGTAAATATTGTAAGTAGTAATGATGATGATATTCTGCATGAGAATTTAGAAACAGAAACAAATGATTGGTTCACTGATGTACCTTGCTGTTTGTACGCGCCCTGACATAGCACACACAGTAAGTCAGCTCAGTCAGTTTAACAACAGCTACGGAGACGAGCATTGGATAGCTGCAAAGAGAGTGCTCCGCTATTTGATGGGAACCAAGGATCTAGCATTATTCTATAGAAGGGGAAACCAAAATGAGTTTGTATTAGGTTATGCTGATGCAGATCACGCCGGAGACTTTGATAGAAGATCAAATTCAGGTTGGGTATTTTTATCTCAAGGAGGAGCTATTTCTTGGGAGAGCAAGAAACAACGTACAGTGGCAATATCGTCTGCAGAAGCTGAGTATGTAGCGTTATCAGAGGCTGCAAAAGAGGCAATTTTCATTCGCAGGTTTATTGCAGAATTAAGAGATGGACCCAATCCCGCAATCTCAATTTTCACTGATAGTCAGTCGGCTATGGCAATTGCTAAGAATCCTGTACATCACCAGCGTACGAAGCATGTGGATGTAAGATATCACTTTGTACGTGAGGCGATTGAGAATGGTGACATTCATTTGAGGTACAAGGAAACTAATAGAATGACAGCTGATGTTTTGACAAAGTGTTTGTTGAGAGGTAAATTTGAATGGTGTGTGAAAAGCATGGGTTTGAGTTGTGTGTGAATAAGATGGCTGTTTATATGGTAGGTACACTAACAGGCATGAGATTAAGGAGGAGTGTTAGAGCGACAAATTGCTAGGAGTTTATATTTGCGTGTAATCTCATTGCTGTTATTCGTATGGTTTGTGGTTGTCAGAATTATTTGAATATACTGACTGACATGCACTTCAAGTTTTTGGTTGTTACTTGCTTAGATACGTTGTTTGTACTCATGTGTTCTATTTTGTTTGTAAATATATATTAAGTCAATATTAGCTGGCATTCTTTATTTATTATATATGATCGAGGTTATCTAGTCCTCGATCAGTGGTTGTATGAAACCATGATGCAAGTGAAACTTTTAAATTAAAGTGTTTAAATTTTTCCATACTTAGTTGATGTTACCCTGACTTATAAAAATATAAATCAAAGTCTTGGCAGGCTGACCACTGAACCAGCAATGTTTGTTGACAGAGACTGTTTTTTTTATTATCAATTAAAAATGTAGTGCAACAAGCTAAAAATGAATGAAAAAAAATGTGGCAATGTAATACAAGTATCACTTTAAAATAAGAATTTCTAAAAAAAATTGTTATTTTAGAATGGATGAATTAGAAGAACTTTTGAAAGAAGTACCTCCATTAGTTGCATCACTACAAGCTGTGAGGGAAGAAGATTCTCGGCACTCCCAGTATGTAACTGCAATGGATAGCTTGAAGCATATATTTACTGTTCCTGAGAGTGTTGCTAAGACTAAGCAATGGATCGGCGAAGGGAAATTATTACATGCCCATCAGGTAACTAAATGCACACTATTGAATATATTTTATAAATCCAAAGGGAGCTCTCACTTACATTGTTATTCCTATAAATTTATTAAACATTTTAATAAACTGTTCTCATTCGGTATTAGTACCCCATGTCCCGTGGTCTGTATAAGGATTATGGCCATCAAAACCCTCCGTTATATTTTGAGTTCTACTAAACCTATTGTCTTCATTTATTTCTTAAATCAATCTTAAATATTTTTTCATCTATTCTATTTATCTTTTCATTATCTAAATATTATATTATAATATTGTATGGCAGAAATCTACCACTACCACAGACAGGGGTTTCTTGATGTTGGCAGAAATATGCCATTTACACAGAATAAGGGTTTTTAACTTTTATTTTAATACTTACAAATTAGTATCATTGCTTATTGGATGCATCTGACTAGGCCTTCTCTGTCACATCCTTTATTTATTATACACTAATTGTGTTTGATATAAATGCACTTGGTATGCTGCATAATATATACAGTATCCTAATCTATTAGTGTGATACCTTCAGTGTGATACCTTCAGAGTGATAAGTTAAGGTTTGTAAGGTTTAAAGATAAATTGTGTGTTTTGTTACATCTTTCTAGTGCCTGAATGACTTGGAGAACTCAAGAGATGATTTGCTTTACGAATTACATAGACTTCCTAATCAATCATCCCATGATAAAATTATGCTAAAAGCATACTTTGAAGATGTTGAAATGGTTTCAAATGTACTTGAAAAACAAATTAAGCTTATTTTGGCTAGAACACTGAATACAGTTCGCAAGGAACCCACAGTCATTGTTACGGCTCTAAGAATAATTGAAAGGGAAGAAAAAAGAGATCAAATGGCATTGCAGGTAACTTTAGAAATAGCTCTAACATATCTCATCAAGTGAAACTACATATGTTTTGCCTGTGGTGGCATACGGCCTATGGTTAGGGTTACCATATCTCAAGATTTGTCCTGAGATATCACGATTTTTGGACTCTTTTCAGGATTGCGGCTGGATTTTACAAATATCTTGAAATCTCAGGATTTTTGTGATTTTTCATTAAAATACAGCTAACGTTTTAAAGATCTGTTTAATAAAAACTTAAACAAACTAAAAATAATCTTCCTTTGATAATAATTGCACAGTTTAAATCAGTACTGATTTATCCAAGGTACTTGATCAGTTTTATCATACTTAATATGTGATGTGTATACATTATATGTGATGATGCATTTTTAAGTAAGGTTTTTTCTTTAATTATGGATTTATAAAATGCCCACATGTTAAGCTCTTTAAATTATATCGAATTAAAAGTATAAGCAGCGTGTATATATATGATAATATTACGACTTTTCTAAATTGTTAAGTACGTTTGAGAGAAACTTCTCAAACTGTAAAAATCTCAGGATTTTTCAATGGAAATCATGCCTTTTCTCCGGACTTTTGTTTTTTTCATCTGGTAACCCTACTCATGGTGAAATCTAACCACACCTGAGAATATACAAATACAATACTTTTCTTTAGATCTTGTAGTAGGGAAGCCCAAGCGGAGATTTTGCGAGTTACTCGAGCGCGTCAGAAAATCATATGGGGAGAAACCCTGCACCCTGTAATGTACCCCTACCAAATATGAACCCTTAATATAGTGGGGTGCGTTTAGGACAGTCCGCCAGATTAGTAAAAAAAAAACGATCCTCAGAAAAACTCGAGCGCGTCAGATTAAGAACAGGTAAGTTAAGTACATCCAGAAAAGTGTATATTCCAATAATCTGACAATTTGAGCGTGGCATACGGAAATGTGGGAGTCACAAAGTCAAAAAAACGTCACTTCGTTATACTCGAGCGCGATTATTATAATAGGGAAGATGCATATATAATATTTATGATTAAAATGTAAAAAAAATATAAAAGAAATGCCACTGCAACGTTTTTATTTTACATAATGTTGTTTTTTAACAATTATTACGAATTAAAAATACTTAAAACGGAACGTATTTTAAAACACCAATCAGCGTTTAGTGACGTCACTCCTGTTATGACAACATCTTTGAGGTTATGGTTGTTAAAATAAATATTATTTTATGGGAATATTTATTGCGTTTTTTTACATTTAAGGAATTTACCAAGAGTTAGCGTTGACATGGTTATAACTTTTTTTGTCCAAAGAGAGTTTTTAAGTGTAGAAATGAAAGGGAATAAATTACTACGGTATGTAAAAATCGTAGTTGTTAAACTTCGTATTTTATTCAGCGGCTTCTACAATTTTTACGGCGATAATGCAATCGGCTATGTCCAAATTAAAAGAGATGGAAAATTATGTACAGTAAAAGGTCGAGTTCTCCGGAGCATAAAGTACGTAAAGAAGGTTATCGTGTTACAGTTATTTTAAATGAAACGCAAAGCTTGGTTCAGTCCTGCCAATGGGTACGGTCAGAGTGCACTCAGATTCAGATTCAGACTCAGAAAACAAGCGTAAAGGTGCGGCCAGAGTGCACTCAGATTCAGATTCAGATTCAGATTTCGAAAACAAGCGCGAGAAATAAACAGTGTAGTCTAAGCAGGTTGCCTGCTTTTTCTCGCGCTTTGTTTTCTGAGTCTGAATCTGAATCTGAATCAGGAGTGCAATCTGGCCGTACCCTTCGACTACACTGTTTATTTCTCGCGTTTGTTTTCGAAATCTGAATCTGAATCTGAATCTGAGTGCACTCTGGCCGCACCCTAAGGGTACGGCCAGAGTGCACTCAGATTCAGATTCAGATTCTATTCTAATGGTGCAAGAGAATAGGTTGCAAGGATGCTATCGAATGCCATAAATCGTGTAGCCAGCTGCTCAACTGCTACCCAAGTAATAGGGAAAATATTGTAAGTTTTAATTAATATGTAACACGTTATAAATGTAGATCATAAAATACTTAAAGAAGTTGCACTTAATTAAATGCGAATATATCAATATTTTTGTGTACTTATATGATAAGGCATAGGTTGCTTATTTAGAAAAATGATTAGGCCTCATTTTTTTTATATACATGTTATATTTACATGTAAATTATTACAGTGATTCAAGTGTGATAAGTTGGTCTCTACATGCGAGACATTATTGTAACTCGGTAAGGAAGCAGAGTGTATATTGATCAATGCACACTAGCTGCATATGACGCTTTTCAACACAATTGCAAGGTAGACACAAACTTGTATTGATAGTAATTGTTGCGAAGTTCAAAGTTTCAACTTTTTAAAGTTTATGAAGTTCCAGTGATGATGAAGATTTTTTTCTTTAATCATATACTTTTATATTAACAATTGACTTTTCTATATACATAAGTGTGTATGTATATTTTTTTTATTACATCCAGTAATAAACAGAAGAAATAAAAAAATGGTTTTATTCCAAAACTGTAACATCAAAAATGGTTTAAGTTGTCAGATTACCTATGCCCCTTTACATAATTGTCAAATTATTATTTATAGTGACTATCGAGTTCAACCCACAGCAGAAAAATCTGACCCGTTCAAGTATTTTAAGTTAACATTTTTTTTAACATTTTCTAAAATCAGTCATGAGTGTAGGTCACGTCCAAATCGTCAGTAATTTAAATCGAACACTGTTTTGAGTTCACTAAACATTCCCTTTCAATGTCTGGCACGCTCGAATAACTTTTTTTTGAATTACTTTTCTCAGCTACCCCACACTATTTAATCGTCAGATTAAATTTATCAGTCATCAGAAACACAAAGCGAGTATACCCTATTAATATCTAACGCGCTCGAGTAATTCCAGGTGACTGTATAATTTTACATTTTTGAAAATTTTTACACACTCTTCTCCCCACTAAAATAGAAAACATCACATAAACTTTTTTTCACTTTAGAACCTAATCTACACAATCCAATAGGTCCCCATGACGCTCTAGTAACTGGTACTTTAGCATCACGGGCTCCCCTACTATTGTGAAAAAATGTAATGGGCTTCTTAGACGACCAAAAATGTTTTCATGCATCCGCACTCATTTTCTATTCCTTTTATTTACTTTTAACATTAAGTCTCCACAGAGAGAACCAGTGTTGAACTTGCGCTCAGAAACATTGTACGTACAAAAATATAGAATGTTTCTTCTTTCTTGCACTTACAATTGCTTTGTTGCAGAAATCAATATAGATGCGAATGAGGCTATTCTCCAAGGCATTGTATTTGTTAAGAGACCGATTTCATCACCATCATCATCCTAATAATGCTCCCTCTGCTGGGACACAGGCCTACAAGCACGTAAATGCTTGTCAGGCTTCAACAATCACGTAGTTTGCTTGTTGTGCATTCAAAATAGACATGCTTGTCAAGCATTCTTGATCGTCTAGGGAGTCCATAAGAAGCATTTGTGTCCTTTTTGTTTTGGTCACATAACTTTCTACAGTGTCACTATAAAGTATAGCTGTAAGTTATTAAAATTGTTTCAGGATTTATTAATATTTCTTAACTTGTAACTTTTTTATTGATTTATATTTCTTAAAAATGTTAAAGCAAAAGCAGCAAACTGGTTTTTTACCTCCTGGGCGACCTAAGGGCTGGAGGACCAAAGCATTTGAAGTTCTGGAATGTGCAGTGGCCCAGCGAATCGAAGGAACACGTGTCGACGAACGCGAAGATAACAAGTTATGGCTGGTCCGTTACTTGGAGTTGACAAGACAGCTCATCTTAGAAGATTTAAGAGTTGTCAAAACACTCTGTGTTCCTTGCTTTCCTCCGCACTATGATATAGTCAACAAATATGTTAACATGTATCATACATGTTTGTCTTCAAGCGTGAGTTAGTTTTTTATTCATGAAAGTTGTATCAGTAGGAGATTGTACTGACAGTTATTAGCTATTTGGAAGCTGCTTAACGTTAAGAGAGGTTGGAATAGGCAGTTTGAGTTCATACTGAGGCACATAGCGAAACTATAAGAATACCTAAGAATTCTTCTTGGTTAGGAATTCTATAAAATTACGCGTAGAGTCAAAAAGTCAATATTTTTCCGCTTATAGCAACAAGTCATAAAATTTTACTAGCTTGCATTTCAAACTGCCATAACTCTTTGACGCATACGTTTAAATAAAGACCTTATATACTTGGTGACTTGGAATGTTCAAATACTGCCGTATATGGATTTTGACTACGCGATCATCTTACGGAGCTCCGTGGATCGGCCAATGTACCTTTTGAACAAGTTTCGGCCACGATTTTGTTTGTGTTGTTGTATCTAGGGTATTAAATATCATTGGGGAGACCGCAAAAAACCGCAGGCTCGTGAGTTTGAAATAAAATAGCTCTGCGGCCCTCCTCGGTGGGTGCGCTAAAAAACCGCTCCGTGAGTTCTTAGCCTAAGTTTTTTTTTTTCATTTATTGGGGTCAAACAAACAGTATCACAATATTAATTACTTCTAAGTTTATGTAAAATGTATTTTATTAATTGTGAAGTCAACACCGTTAACCACAAGTTAATATCTAAATTAAGAGTTTTCAAGAAAAGAGAAAAATAATAATAACCTTATATTAAGTAATCAAGAGCAAATTACTTATTTATTTTAATGTTCATTTCATCTAACTTATTTTTAATGTATTCCCTAAAAGAGCTAATCTTATTTACAAATATATCAATATCATTAATAATTATTATAATTGTCAGTCAGGCGAGATATTGGAAAACGTTTACCTGCATTAGTGAGAATTATACTTAATGTGGCACATGCTTGCATCCCTTTTTACCCGGCTGCGCAATGCAAGAGCGCGAAGCGCGACGCGCAGACAGGGTTATGTGTTTAACAGTCTATATATGTATGTTTGTTCCTTTGTGGCACACTAGAGACCAAACGCCTGGACCGATTTTGATGATTCATACATCAATCGATTCGTCTCAATCATGGGAGTGCTACTAAAAAATATGATAGTAATCAAAATTCAATATGGGCAAAATTAGGCGCCATATTGTGACGAAATAAAAAAAATAAGTTGACAAAATATGTCGAGTGGGGTATCACTGTCTAGATAATCAAAAATCATATTTAGGTTCCTAACACCATTTTTCATTTTATATGATTGTTTAGGATCTACAACGCTTTAAAGTTGTATATTAACCACTTACGCTTTTAATTTCAATCTTACGTTTGTATGGATCTTTGTTACTCTTTCACCTAACAAATACTGAATGGATTTTAATGAAACTTAACAGTAATATAGCTCATATATGATAATTACATATATATATATAATAATTTATGTAGTTATTGAGTGAATTGGCCAATATATAACAATAAGTGTCACATAAGACGGAAAAAAATCTCCCATCTGCGAGCCATTTTGGCCTGCACTGCAAAAACAATAAAAGTTACATGAATGTAATGTAGAATGAAAATGTATCTCTTAAATAGTTCTAAAAAAAAGTCCGTGACACCATATATCTATTTTTACCCGGCTGCGCAATGCAAGAGCGCGAAGCGCGACGCGCAGACAGGGTTATTAATGTGTAAGTCATTACCGCTAAAATAGTGAATTAAAACTAAAATATTATTTGATATCTATTTCCAAAATGCACATTTTGTATTAACAAATCATTTTTTATCAAAACAAATACTTTTATCGCTTTTGATATTTAAAGACGATAAACTTTGCTTTTTACACTATGTCATTTCGACAAACATTTAAAAAGTTACAACGATGACAAAGTGATAGCGCGGTGTACTATGTAAAAGAAAAAAAATGAGGTATTCGCAGTATCTAATCCTATACGAAGTACTAACAATAAAACTGTGAGACAGTTCCTTCTTATTAAATGATGAAAAATATATGATCATAATAGGTATTTATGATTATTGAATTTTAATGAAAAACTCAGAATTTTACTGTTTTTCATTTTTTTTTAACGATATTACTTAATGTTACAAAAAAGGTTTTTAATATAATGACAAATAACCCATTTTTCGCTAGTAAGTACATACTTATTGGAATCCCTGTATTTATTAATCAGCTCACGATAATATTGGTTTTGTAATAATTCTGCAAAATTCAGAGTAAATAATGTAGATTTTTATAGGTAAATCACCCCTTTCATCACCCTACGCCTTTAAGTATTGTGATGTTGTAGCTAAGAACCAAGTTCCCATCTACTTCTATATGGGAATTCATTATATTCGATTTAGCTATTAGGGCACGGAAGCGCAACAAACAAACTCACTTTCGCATCTATAATATTATATTATACTAGTGATCCACCCGGGCATTGTACGGGCGAAATTTATTCATCGGGATAAAATATAGCCTATGTCACTCGGACAAAATGTATTTAAATAAAGAAAAATGTTATAATAAATAATGTAGCTACCTTATGATGAATTAATATTTGAAACCGGTTCAGTAGTTTGACAGATTATTTGTTACAAACATACAAATCTTGCTTCTTTATAATATTAGTATAGATAGTTAAGATAAGATTGATGAAAAAGATTTTAAAATAAAGTAAGTAATAGATTATATTTGTAAAAGTTACTTAGCATTTGTGCTTAACAGTGATACGTTACTCGGTATTTTTATAACAAAAAAAAATTTGGAAAATAATTGCCATGTTTGCACTACTGGGAGTACTCTTCATTCGAGCTTTACACTACCAATAAAAAAGGGTCGAACACAAAGTCTTTGACCTGTTAAATGTGAACGCTTTAAAAAGAAAACTACAAAGAGAACTATAAATTGATAATAAATGAGATTGCTATGGTGCTCTACCTAACGTTATGAAAATTTTATTATGCGCCTTTAGTTTAATCAAATATTATAAACTTTACTTTGGTGATTGCATAATTATTTAATTTAGTGATCTAAGGCAGTTGCCACCATTGTCCAAAACAACAGACGGGAATTACTGCTTTCTTCAACCTGCGACATAAACGTCATTGATTGGTATTGTATATAGGGTGATTAAAATCATTTGAAGTTAACTTCTGGCATCTACATATTGGGTTTCTATGAATTATGTAGGTATATCAAATTATGAGACTAGGGACTGACACTGAATTTGTGTATATCACAATCTTAGACGTCCGGCATTGACATGACAATGCAGCCACTGCCAATTTTAAATAGTCGACGAATAAAAGTAAATGAATTTTATATTTACTGCTAAACTATTAAAAAAAACATAAACAAAAGATGAGTTTTTGAGTAAGTTTACTATAAAATTTACATACATTAGAGATATTTATGTAACGACTTGATTTTACTTCACACATTTTTGCGAAAATTGAGGCCCATCTGTAGCCTTGACCCCGCTGGTAAAGTCTTTATATGTCTTAATAAATCAATCTTTTAGACCGACGCAAGGTACTTAATAATTCCCGCGATATTAATTCCCTTACTGAAGTAACAAGACTACGGTATATACCGTCTTAAAATACTAACTAAAAAGTGTGAAATAAAAAAGGTAAATTTAAAAAATCAAAAAACCCGACTGCTTAATTATCTTCAAATAAAAACTGAAAAGAAAAAAACAAGTCCAGTAGTCTATAATTCTGTTAATAAGGAACAAAGCTACTTTAACAGTCGGGACCCACTGTTGAAAAATATTATGTATTCTTGAATGTCTAATGGGTCCCGACTGTTAAAGTAGCTTTGTTCCTTATTAACAGAATTATAGACTACTGGACTTGTTTTTTTTCTTTTCAGTTTTTATTTGAAGAATAATTAAGCAGTCGGGTTTTTAGATTTTTTAAATTTACCTTTTTTATATTAATAATCACATCTGTGTTTAGTTGAACCCACTGCATATCTCAATATAGTGCTAGTATTCTTGTCATATATCAATAAAATATTATTAACCAAGTTAACGTTTTAGTTACAGGATGTCGTCCAAACTGGCATAGAAGGTAACGAATATGTCACCCTACTTTCATGGATTCTTAATACCTATCCTGGGGATGAGTTAATGGGCAGCCTGCAGCTAGGTATAGATGTTTCAAAACTACCTCCATTGCTTAGTGAAGAAATGATGCAAAAACTACAAGAAGAGTATTTACAAGTGAGTTTTCTTTATTGGGTATTTAAACATGCTACATTTTTATATCCATGCTGTCTGATACTGGAGAGAAGTCGTTTTTTTTATTTTAAGTAATATGTTCTTAGATCTTTTGAAATATTAGATAAGTACGTTTAATAATAATAAATATTTCCAACACTCACGCCAATTAGCCTAACCCCAAAGTAAGCACTGTAAGGCTTGTGTTTTGGAATGCTAGGGTAACGGATAAAATACATATACTGTACGTATATAAAATTTATATAGAAATACATATTAAACATCCATGACTGGTGTACAAATGCTCGTATTCATCACACAAACATCTGCTCCCACCGAGATTTGAACCCGGGACCTCTCGAGTTGGCGACACCATGAAACCCTCGGCGTACAAACCATTTGGCCACGGAGGTCGTCAGTTTAATGAATACAATAAAAAAAAGTTCATTTTTGTCATTTGGATAGAAAATGGAATCCAATTATGTGGAATGGATGGAAAAGACGCTCGAATCGGAGCGCGCCGAGTGGAACGGACAACAGCTGCCTGAGGTGGAACCTCATTCTAACGCCTACCATACGCATGCACCTGTCATCATTTTTCAGATGATTGACCAAAATTTACAGGTACGTTCTGTTAAATTTTTGATAATTTCACAGAATTCATACTTTTCCGAAACTAGGAGTATCCCATGAAGTTTATATACACATAAACATGGCACGCGTCTCTAAACGTAGTCACCGAACGAGCTTACTGTTCTGTCCGTACGTCACCGCTGATACTATAGTCTTCAAAATGTACCCATTTTATATAACGGAGTTGAAGCTACGCTGTTTGACGCATGCGTTTAAATTAAGATCTTATTTAATATGCATTAATGGTTACTTTGTATGTTCAAATAATGCCTTAGGTATATTGTTTTTGTCTACGCGATCATCTTTCGGAGCTCAGTGGATCGTTCAATGTACGTTTAGACAGGTTTTGGCCACAATTTTGTTTGTGATGTTAAGCATCTAGGGTATTAAATATCATTTTTGGTAACCTAAAGGTTAGGTTAGGTTACCGAATGTATTTTTTTGAGGATGAATGACTATTTTTTGATGCTTGTTTAAATGTGTGCCTTTTGTTAGTAATAAGAATCATCACGCGCAAGTTTGGTGCAATAATGTTCTTGAAACACAAATGTGACGCAAGATGTATCGCGTCTCGTCTACGTCTCGCTGTGTTTGATTCGAAACTAAGAAATATGGCATTGTGTCTTAATAACTCTATAACAAATTATGATAATTAATTTGAAGCACATAAGCTTTTTCAAATTTATCGTTTCGTTTTTTCAGGTGACCGAAACAATAAGTAAAGAAATAACATTCAAAGCTCTCCTGCTTAGTATAGATCAAGTTACACGCTATGGAAATATGTACAGAGAAGGTGTCATACAGTTTAAGGTCAGTAGTTTTTTATAACTATAAAATATTTAACTTTAAACTCTCCTATGGTCAAAAACCACAAAACACAGAAAGAGCTTAGAAGGGTGATGCATCCTTTGTATTGGAATCAATATCCCCGGTTAGCCCCTATATACTTCCATCTAATTGATAATAAGCTAATCAAACGACGTAACATCAAACGAATGAACGGATCAGCGCTCACACACAGAAATAACGTGAATATGTTTATTACACAAATAAATACCTCTACCGGGACACGAGCCCAATACCTTTGGCGCAAAAGACAGGTTTGCCACGAACGGGTCGTCAAAATACGACAGTTCTACCTAGAAATTGAAGTTTGTGAATATTAAATTAAAGGGTTTATTACGTGGCTGGAAGTGAAAGGACTCTTTATATATAGTGTATGGCGGCCATTAGATGCCAATGCAGCCGTCAATCAATTCCATGAGCAATAAATGATATAAAACCATCAATCACCATCCGCGTCTGGAAAAAGTCATCGGTCCATAGAGGTATAAGAATAGAGTACGGGAGATATAGACTACTACAAGTCGAATTGCCCCTTTAATAGAAAGATAAAGAAGATCTCTCTAATCTCGCATGCGCATTGGCAACCGTAAGCATCTTACTATTTCGATGTGATGCTTGGACCAACTTTTGGACAGATGACTGCGCATGCGTCACAAGAGAGAGAGAGATAGCTAGCGGTCTCTCATCTTCTTTCTCTTTCTACTAGACGGACACTTTTAAAGCCGCCTTCCCCACTCTATTCTTATACCTCTATGCAGCAAACAGATAGCAAAAACCACAGAACTAGATTGAAGTAGATTCAAATTGTATAGAAACCGAGCGTATCTTATTGGGAGTGCTCACCAGAACAAAGTCGGTGGTGAAAAAGCATGAGCTCCAGCTACCAATTTCAATTATATCTTTTTTATAGTCTAATGTGATATCGATATTTTAATGCTTGCGTTGGACGTCCGGTATCGAGAACTGTGATGCGAAGAAATAAATAAGCGTAAAAGGCAGATCATTGGTCTGACATGTTATGGCACGCGAAGTACATACACTTGCGTTATCTTTTCGATTGTTCTATGTCTGTGGCAAAAGCCTACCGTCTAATGGCCGCATAATATTTTACGATGTATTGTTAGAACCTAGAATAATAATTATGTATATGATAATTTATGTAAATTAAATTATTATTCTATGGTTAGAACGCACACTTCTCGGACCGGTCGCGTGTCGCGTACTTCACGCACCACATGATCACGATAGTGAACAACAGCGAGCAGATGGCGCGACTGGCGCAGCAGACGCAGGCACGCCATTGGCCCGCCGGCCGGCACGACCCGCCCGCCGAGGCCAGGTTCGACAAAATGCTCGCAACATTCCAGGTAGGTACATCATATCTTACTAATATAAGAGTAGAGAGAGAAGAGAGGAGCTCGATGGCGCAGGTGGTTAGCGCGTTCGGCTGCGATCGTTTACCTCAAGCAACTTTCGCAGTGGTCGCACATAGGATGGGTGACCAAAAATCTTCTATCTCGAGCTCCTCCGTGCTTCGGAAACACGTTAAGCCGTTGGTCCTGGCTGCATCTGTCTTTAACACCCGCCAATCTGCACTGGGTCCGCGTGGTGGGTCACGGCTCAATCATTCCATCCATAGGGAAGGCCTGTACCCCAGCAGCGGGGACATTAATAGGTTGATGATGATATTACTAATATTATAAATAAACACATACGAAGACAAAGAAATGTATCACCAAATCTCTTTAATCGCGTTGGACTAACGGTTTCAATAAGTCGTTCGTAATGCAGGCTAGCACGCGTAGTCCTAAGAAGGAAAGATAAAGGAACACAGCTTCTTGAATATACAGAAGTAAAAGTTGCTATTTTACTCAATAGTAAAGGGTGTTAAATTAGTATTTGACTCATCTAAATGGCCATTATAGTCTATAAACCGTGAGGTTCCAGCTATAGTTGTAAATCGGCCCAGAAGTAACGCTTCATCATTGCCTGTCTTGGCTCTTTATACAATGTGCCTGTGTCTATACACTGTAGGAACAAATGAAATTTTATTATTTGGATGTGTATGAGGAATAATACCTTTCATGCGCTTCAGTTAGAGCTTAACAAATCTAATACTATAAATGTACTTATTTAGTTGTCCTACTTCGTATTGATCGAAACAATTTGCTTCCATTTTTATTTTTTTTATTTTAGAATTTACGCAACGAAGCGGCAAGATTTTTACTAGAAGAGGCGTTCTTAGACCTGGAAGTTCATTTTGATGCTCTGTTCACATCCAAGTGGCTACCTTCGACGATTCCTGTCGATACTATATGTATCACTCTTGATGACTACTTCCAAGATTATAATCATTTGAGGGATAAGAATTTTGAATATGTAATAAATGAGGCTCAAAATTTGGTGTACAAGAAATACATAACAGCGATGTTATCTAAGAAAGTATCATTCAAGACAGTTGAAGAAGCACAACAAGCCGCAACGAAAATAGTTAAAGAAGCTAATCAGATAAGATCATTTTTCAAGAAGATTGCACCTGAAGGTGTGAATGTGGATTGGCCATTTGAAGTGATAAACATGTTGGCGGAGGTTAGTCTTTCATTTTTTATTTTATTCCATTTCATCTCTTAACTTGATTGTAGATTGGTTTTATGTTATTCCAATAATTTCTGTGTATTTAATTTCGGCACATATTTAAATACTCATCAGAAAAACAAATCATTTAAATTTACCTTTAATTTTGTTTTTGCTGCGTACCGCCCGCCGTTGAGTTTCTTGGCGGTTCATCGCAGTATATGCCACGTTATTAGCCATTTTGTTACTAAAATCAATGACGTAGTCGCATCAACCTACGTAAGAACTTGTAAAATCCCCTGCTTGGATCGTTCCAAAAGTTTGTAAAGAACTGGATACCTAGTTCTTGATCGCTATGGAAACAGGAAACTCGTTTTTATTTTAATAGCTGTCACGCGATGCTCTAGTCTTGATGCTGTGTCAGATGTTTGTGAAAGAGGATGAATAATTTTCAATTTGAGTTAAACTTCATACAAAATATCTAAGTTATTCTCTACCAGGGGGCCATTCGCCTAACGGAAATACTTGAGAAAACGCTAACGTTTTCGATTTTATTTTGTTATTTCTGACCGTCGAAGGTTTTCAAATACCTCACGCTCATTTTTTTAATATTATTATTACCAATGCAAAAGAAAAAAAAAGCGCGAGCCATTTGAAAACCTCAGGCGGGCTGAAATAATAAAATAAAATCGTAAGCGTTAGCGTTTTCCAATGCATTTCCGTTAGGCGAATGGCCCCCCAGTACACGCTACTTAGGCTGCTATTTAATACAAATAGTAAATAGTGTCGTAAAGAGGAATAATAACAACAAACTTTATATTTATATTGCTTAGACTTTAGGAGTATGGCCAACTTGTAGTGTCATAAGCCTATTAAGTAACGGCTCTTACAGCCGTACTCAAAAACGTCAAATTAATGTAATGCTTTATTGAGTCACGTGTCGTCTAATTCTATTGCTATAGTAAAGAGAGCGTCAGCATCATCTTAAGTCCAACTTAAAAGTTTTTGTTTGATGAAAAATGAATTGACTTTTTTGAGTGCGGCCGTTATGCATTTATTATATTTCACACGAGGGCAGAACAGTGGACAGGAAAGTACTGCTACCGTTTCAACGCACGGAACATGACAGAACAGTACTCTTAGTATGAGTGTTTTTTAATACGAAACGAACGATCGTCTTCGTCGATTCGATCAAACTATACGTTTTCGAATTGTGTCGCTGTACGAGTATAGAATTTCACACCTCGTATTCACGATATCGTATGCTCGATTAAACGAACTTCACACTGTTTAGTTTTGTCTCTTTCGTTCTTTATTGCCAAAAAAGAGATAGCTGAGCCATTCATTCAATTCAACATAAAACAAAGCTAATCTATGTAAAACTCTACACTTATTAATCTGTGTCCAAAGAGTATAAAACCTACGTTTATCTGCGTGAAACTTGGCTGTATGTGGCTGTATGGTTGATTTCAAGGCCGTAAAGAAATAAAATTAAAAAATATAAATATTAATCGTAAAAAATGCCTGCCATTGTGTGTGGTGATAAAAGAAGTTAATCGCCTCCGCTGTAATTATTCCCGTCGTTCCTGTGAAAGCTGGTCTTCGTCAATATCTTAGCGAGCATGAGCGCTAAATATTGTGCCGAAAACATTATAAGATTGCATAAAAAGCGATTCTAATCGAGTGACGATACGATCAAACGTCGTAGTATACTCATGACGCGCTGTCAAAGTTGTAACTTGTACTGCCAAAATGCAAACGACATACGAAAATTTTGGTAGGTTTCGTTTTACGATGACTCGATGAAACTGATACTGCTGATTTTTGTTTTTGATAGTTAACGCTAGGGGCGCTGCTAGTCAATGTATGGAAACGAGACAATACGATTGATCGAATTCGAAAACGATTAAAACTCATACTTGGCGTACAGTACTGTCTCGACAGTAACCTAGGCAGAACAGGTCGCAGGTCTATTTTTTCGGGGCAGTTGGCTCCCCTTACCTCCTTTTTCGCTTGAATATCTTGTGGCTGGACTCGTGTGAACGCGAGGACAGTGCAGTGCAGAGGGCAGGACAGTGTGCGCGCGCGCGTCCCGACTTATTTTAAATTTGTTTGTTTTCGGATTCGGATTTTTGAATTACCGGGCTGATCAGGTGCAACAATGCTCCATACTTTTCCTTTCTCATACGCATTATTAATTAATTTTTTTTTTGATCTTCAATCCTTATTTCTTCTATAACTTGATTTGAACAACCAAGCTGTTTATTGCTATCCGGGGTCTGATCTAAAGTTTTTCTTTTCTATATATTTCATTTTTTACCATTTCACTTAGCTCATCCAGAGCTATTTTTTGTTAAATAACTGAGTTTTTCACTTGGTTCGCACACACATATTGTACGTGTTCTTATCTAATGATTCTAAATGTTACTGGTGTCCGGATGACCGGCACATGTGTCCGAAAGCCCGTCACCGAAATCGTCCATCAGCTATATATCCAGAGCTATTTGTATTGCAATTTTAAGCAACTGTCGTAAATGTTGCCGTTGTCGTTGTCGACGCTCCATCGCTACGCGGACTGACTGTACTGTCCTATATTTGGACGCCACTGTCCTACCCAACTGTTCTGCCCCACTGTCCTGCCCTCGTGTGAAACAGGCATTATTATAGGAGAATACGATATAGAAGAGGGAACGTAAAGAGGTTCGTTTACCGTGTAGGTGTTGCGTTGCCAAGACATCGAAATGCTGTCGCTGGACTTGCACGGCGTGGTGGCCAAGTGCCCGGACATGACGGAGGAGCAGCTGGCGCGGCTGCTTGCGTTGCGGGCGGACGTGCCGCGCGCGCACGTGCGGGACACCGTCGCCATCGCGCTCGCCGCGCGCCCCGTCTCCCGCGCCTCATCGCACCCCTCCCTCTTCTCCAATATCACTTTCAGCGATAAACTCCTGTCTCATTTTGCCTTATAAACCTTCTAAAGCATTGCGCGTTTCCCCCGCACTTCTCCCCTTTTTCCAACATCACTTTAAGCGATAAACTCCTGTGTCAATTTTCCTTGTAAACAATGTTCACCCCTCTTAGCCCTAAAATTAGTTAAATGCAATCAAAATATAGGTCAGTAACGAAGGCAGCTCCGGCTTCCCTCGCAGTCTGCCGCCTCGGGCCATGACCCTCTTGGCCCAAGGGTAAAACGTCAAAATGGTAAAATTTATGGTGAACGCACACTTATACGAATTGAACGAAAAGAATTATTAAAAACAATGATCAGAATCAGAACGCACTGATTAGAATTGACTTTATTGTTCCCCTTTGAGCTATTTTACTTCATAAAGCCCTGTAATTAAAAAAATCGTGAAGTTCCATCACAATTCACATGTAATTATGCGACAATCTATACTTATAATAAATCTGTAGAGAGGTCAATTCTGTACATGAAATATATTTTCAAAATAACTATCAGGGGATGATTAGTGATCGATACTGATGCCAAAAATGCAATCAGTAAAATTTTTGTCTGTCTGTCTGTCTGTCTGTCTGTGTGTATGTTCCTTATAGAAACAAAAACTACTCGACAGATTTTAACGAAACTTGGTACAATTATTCTTCATACTCCTGGGCAGGTTATAGTATACTTTTCATCACGCTACAATATATAATAGGAGCAGAGTAGTGAAGGGAAATATTGGAAAAACGGGAGAAGTTACTCCATTTTTAAGCTTCCGTCGCGTGTGCAGCTTTAATGGTTAAAGTTACATAGAAATCATGTATGACGGAAATATTCTACATAAAATTGTCTAAAAAATATCCCGCAACAGTATATGTCTATCTTTTATGGTTGGCTCACAATAACACGTGTAATTATATAAATAAAGTCATTGTTTATAGCAGAAGCCTGAGAACAAAAACTATAGTTTACACTACAGCTCTACACCGAAGCGAAGCGAGGGCGGGCCACTAGTTTTAAATAAATGAAAACTTTTCTGTGTGTGCGAATTTGTGTGCGAGGCCTGCTCGACTTCGATTCGTATAAGTGTGCTTGCATTTTTATTGCCCGTCTATTTTAAATTATTAACTTTTAAGAATACTTTATTGATTGCTTGTAAAGAGACCAATGCCGCTCTCCTGACTTTGTAATTTCCTTACATGGTTATTTTTGCGTCCAGTGTAGAATTTTACTTGGTGCTTTTCTTGCTGTTATGTAATTTTGAAACCTTTTTCTAAAATCATTAAATTGATTGATATTTCTTTTTATCGAGGTAACAGGTACTGTAAAAATAAATCAAATTCAATGTCTGCTATATTTAATTTTACTATCTGTTTATTTATTTATATTAAGTACCTATTTATTTAAAATTTAATGGTTAAGAATATAATAATTATTTATTTATGTACTCTTGTGTACTGAAAAATAAATGTATTACAGTCAGGCCATTTTAATAGGTAACATTTGACGTCTGCCAGTTTTATCTGCATAGTGAGGTGACCTGCTTAAAAACATTGGTTAAAGTGAATGAATCGATACGGACTTGAAACATATGTGAATTTTAAAAATCATCAGGCGAATCCCTGTCCCATTATTATTTTTCTTTCGTAAATTTAAGGAGCAAAATAATGTATTATTAACATAGTATTATTTATATAGACGTAATTAAAAAAAAAAGTGTTTTTATTCAGTTGAACTATCAGAACTGTTATTAGTATTGTCATCTTCATCACTGCTGTCAGCACTCAGAGATATTATTAATTCATTTTCAATAATATTGTCTATTCACACATCTCGTTCAAAATCTTGTAAAATTATTTACTTTGTTTTTCCCTACGACTTTTCTCCAGTCTTCCGTAGTGACTTCTTCGCGCGCAGTTTGTAGCAGAGCCATCATTTTAGCAGTACTGAAGGGTGGTTCAGTATTGTTCAAATAAGCTCGATGGCGTTATACTGGCAATGGTATGGTGGCAATCGAATAACGTCGTGTCCAAGCTCTAGGGCTAGTTCATCGATTACATAGCGGAGCTTAGATGTCTTAGCTGCTTTTACCAGATTTAACAACTCAACTTTCAATAAAGTTGGACTTGTATCTGTCACCGGAATGTAATTCATTCCGTAAGTTTATCTATTTCCTAGTAAATTGATCAATTTTCGAAGGATAGAAAACGAGAGATAAAATGTATTATCTTACGGGAACATTTTCGACATCTCGCGGTAAATTGATAAACTAACTTGAAATTTCAAGACCTATCAACGTAAAATTCTAAGTAGTGTGACCAATCCCAGAACAGAGTTTAATTTTACGTCATTTAAATTTACATAAAATAATACACAGCTTTCTGATTGGTCGCCGTTAACGACTTCGGTGCTTGCCGTCATAGACTTAGGTACGATCAGACATGTGCAAATATTTTCATAAACAAGATGACTGTATAAGTGCCCATAAGTGTGCTAAAGTACTGAACTGTACTTCCAGGGCCCAAGCGGTGATACTTTACACTAGGTTAGGTTATGTCAGTGTTGTGGCCAAAACGCGCGAGCCGAGCGAGCAAAGCGAGCGTGCCGCGGCAGCGGCCGGCGAAGCGCCAGAAAAAAAAATACGTTAAAACAGACTTTTCCAAAAAAAAAGAAATCAAGTATCACCTCTTGGGCCCTGGAAGTACAGTTATAACCTATAATACCTTCGTCAAATTTTTAAATTTTTGTTCGGTCCATAAGTACCGACTTTTCACTGGTTTGGTCATGTCCACTATAAAACTTTTGTAGCTCTATGTAAAATTTTTGTTCATCAACTAACGTATTATTTTACGGCTGAGCTCGGTAAATTGATCAATTTACGAAAATGTTCACGTAAGATAATACATTTTATCTCTCGTTTACTTCTTACGAAAGTTGATCAATTTCCTAGGTAATTGATCAACTTACAGAATTTATTATATTTCGATGACATATCCACACCATTGCTTACCAGCCACGAGATAATATCTTGCTTTTTATTTGCTTAAGTTGGTGGTTTATCAACTTGTACAAAATGATACAGTGCATTGTCCATTATAATTTTCGATGGGTTTCCTACGCTGACTAGCAACTTCTCAAACCACTCTTTAAAATCATCAAAGTTCATTTCCTCATGGTAATCTCACTTGTAGTTTTAGAGGCGAATGCGAGGAGGCAATTTGGAATAAAACCTTGTGAAGCTGACCCCGCGTGACATATAATTAATAACTTATGAGGTGGAGGCAGCTGTATCATCGGTCCATGTCCGCGTAACGGTATGGTTCGCATTCAACCATGTTTCGTCAATAAACACGACATTGTCCCAATCTGCAATTTTATTTACCTGACGTCAGAATGTTACTCTCTTCAAAATAATATCGTAGCGTTCTAGCAGGATTTTCCGCTTGTCAGAATTTTAAATCTAAATCAAATCGATCAAAACCTTTGATAGAGAAGATTTACCGCCGAAAACTAAGATGATGATTTTTCTATTTAGATATTTTTGGTATTTTTACAGTTAGTTAAAATAATAATATACATAATTATGTTTTATTATAATCACAACGTAGTTATTAATTTATGGTGGTATTTCTTCAAAAGTAATCATTGCATTCGATTCAACTTATCAGCTTTCGATTTTTAGAATAACATCCCTAGTGTTTAAAAAGAAAGAGGATTAACTGATGCAACATTGTAGCGACGTTCAGTTCTTTAGATCAAAAATTGTTTCTTATGTTTAGAATGGTTTATTACTGTATGCAAATCGTAAAATTACTCGAATCGGTCATCATTACAATACAAGTTTACAAAATTTTACTTTTTATTTATACCCCGAACCGAATGTATGTCAATATGTTAATCTACCTTCCCTAAACCTAAAAGTGTTAGCAGAAATATTTTATCACGTCGGAATTTTTTTCTGCAGTCAAATGTTTTTTTTTAACTACCCGACGTGGTGGTGATAATTTATTGTTTATTCGTTCGCTTCAAACGACAGTTACTTTGCTTTGGATTAATTTAAAATGGCTAGCAGAAAGTGCAAACAAAGTTCTGACCGTTTTTGTTATGTTTGTGGACAGTTTATATTTTCAAAAAAGAGAAGACCTTTTGTAGATTCGTTAAAAACTGCATATCTTCATTATTTTGGATTTTCTGTTGCAAATCAAGATAAAAAGTGGGTGCCTCACGTGTTTTGCGAAAGCTGTAGAATCATCTTACTCCAGTGGTCATCAGGAGAAAAAGTTTACCTTCCATTGGGTTCGCCAATGCTATGGAGACCCTAGTAATCATGAAAATGATTTTTACTTTTGTGTTACGAAGACATTGGGATATAACAAAAAAAATAAGGCAAGTATTATGTATGCCGATGTTCCGTCTGTTACTAAGCCGATTTTACATTCAAAAGATCTACCCCATCCAGTTTGTCCCGGTAGTTCGAGTGCAAATATATTAGATGACAATAACAGTGATGTTGAATTCAAGTCGATTTCTAGTGATTCTGACGAATTTTCACCTCAAGAAAACACTCCACATTTAATTAATCAGGCCGAATTAAATGATCTTATACGAGATTTACAGTTATCAAGATCTAAAGCAGAGCTTCTTGGCTCCCGCTTACAACAATGGAACTTGTTACTACCAGACACAAAAGTTACGTTTTTCAGAAACAGAAGCAAAGTTTTCTCAGAATTTTTCAAAAGAGAATGTGGATATTGTTATTGCACAGATATCCCGGGACTTTTCGAAGCAATGAATCAAAACTACGATAAAACAGAGTGGCGCCTATTCATAGATTCTTCGAAATATAGTCTCAAAGTTGTTTTATTACATAACGGAAATAAGAAACCTTCCATACCAATAGGACACGCAGTGAATTGTAAAGAGAACTATGAAACGATGCGTACTTTGATTAATTTAATAAAGTATAAAGAACATCAATGGAAAGTGTGCGGCGACCTGAAAGTCATCGGTATGTTAGTGGGATTGCAGGGTGGTTACACGAAGTACTGTTGTTTCCTTTGTTTGTGGGACAGTAGAGCGAAACAACATCATTATGTAAGGAAAGAATGGCCTGTTCGAAATGAGTATATTCCGGGCAAAATGAACATTAAACACGAGCTGTTGGTCGATCCAAATAACGTCACATTACCCCCTTTACACATCAAACTGGGGCTCATGAAAAACTTTGTAAAGGCGCTTGACAAAAACAGTGATGCTTTCCGGTATTTGCAAAAAATATTTCCAAACATTACAGAGGGAAAACTGAAGGAGGGTATATTTGTTGGTCCACAAATCCGTAAAATTATGAAAGATTCTCAGTTTGAAAACCTTTTATCGGTTAAAGAAAAGTCTGCTTGGAACTCATTTAAAATGCTTGTAGAAAATTTTTTGGGAAATAAAAAAAGTGAAAATTATGAAGAAATTGTCAACAATTTATTGAAAAACTTTTATGATATGGGAGTAAACATGTCATTAAAGATTCACTTTCTACACTCTCATCTGAATTTTTTTCCTAAAAACTTAGGAAGTATGAGTGACGAACAGGGTGAACGTTTCCACCAAGATTTAAGGACTTTCGAAGAACGACATCAAGGATTTTGGGATGAAAATATGTTAGGGGATTACTGTTGGTCTATCATAAGAGAAACTGATTCAAATAACTATAAAAAGAAAGCAAAAATTAGTCATTTTTAATTTATTTTTGTATTAATCCTAAAATTTTTGTATTTCCCTTCAAGATAATAAATATTTTTTAAACCAGACGTGACAGATTTTTTTTATTATTTTTTCTGGATAGTTCTACCTGAACACAAAATAAAATAACAACTTTCAGCTGGGGTAAGAAAACCGTGTAAACTAGTATTATTTTATGCCCGCCGTTACAAGGTTACGTTGTTGAATTATGATGAATTGTCAAATGTTACCTATTGTAATGGCCTGACTATAGGTATTATTTTATGGAGAATAGATTTTTAATTAATAAAATTATTAAGATTAAAATATTTCATGTTCATATAAATGAACATGAAATATTTTAATCTTTATAATAAACAACATTGTAATAGTCTGTCAGTAATGTATACTTTAGTATACTTTAGATTTATAAGGGCTTTATTTACTGAAATAAATAAATATATTTTCAATGTACCACTGATGTTTTAAATTTCATACATAAAAAAACATATAATGTATTTGAAGAGGATGTGTCAAGTTAGGCTCTGAAATTACAATAGTGCCATTCGGTCCGGTATAGAGCAATAATAACGGGCGAAATCACGGCCAATTTGTAGGGGCGGGCGGCAGTCACGCGGTCATCAGTCGCGCCGTGCCCGTGCTACGCCATGCCCGCCCCAGGCCGCGGCTGTGGGCTGCACACCTGCTTGATGCTCCTGTGCGTCGTAGCAGGTGAGCGCAAACAATTATTGTTTATAAACAAACCTCGCAAATTCCCTCCATAGCGCATCTCGTTTCGTAACGTTATTGCGTATATTTATTGCGTACATATGGATGATTTCGCGTATAAAATCTACTTTTACCGTGTGTATTTATTAAAAAAAAACTCGTGTGTTTCAAGATTACACGTGATTTTAAGAAGTGCGGCTTTTGAATGGGTTTATGTTATTGGCGGCAAACTACTCTTTCATTTTGGAATAAATAACAAAAATCAGTCTAATAAACAAGAACTCTTAAACTGAAATAAGTGGTGTGCACGTTCAAAGTATTTTAAATATAAGATACCTTCCGATTTGTACGATTTACTTAAAAAAAACCTGTTTGTGTTTTGTTAGAGGAACTTTATTAGATTTCGGTAGAGTTAGAGTAAGTCTTTGTAGTTGTTGATAAATATCATTTCACCCAGTTATTCTAATAGTGTACTAGGTAATAAAATAACAATTATATTTGTTTCGGTTTTTTAATAAATTTTTCTTGAATAAAAGCAACTTCCGTCGTGGCTGTTTTTTTTTTGGTTACTGTGAAATCATCAATGACTTACACTTATTATAAAAATATGACATAACGTTTATTTAAACTTTCTTGTTATACCGCGAGTTAACTCGAGGCGCATGTTGTAGTTATAGGCCACGGTATTTTTAACATTCCCGGACCGCCTCAAGGTTGACCGAGATAGTCACGTATTCATTGAGATATGACCTAATTTTCTACCGAGATTTATAAATAGCAGCCGTAAAGTCCAATAGGTTTACGTGTTCAGCGGCATTTGACGAACTTGCGTCTTCCCAACTTCCGATATTTCGCTCGGTGACAAGTTCATTGTCATCTCGTTTACAAGGATAAAGTTTTTCTTCTTTCGAACAATGTAAGCATTGCTGAATTAAAAGACGCAGGTCATCGGGTGTATAAAAGTATAGTTGATGCATTTAAAAAAAAATATTCAACTTTACCTGGTTTCCTGGAATCCATTACCTTTTGCTAACTGTTACCTATTAATAGTTGATACGTATATTTTAACAGAAATATTTTGAAATGCCGCCTACATAGGATCTACGTACCTTTAGCAAAATGTTAGATGTGCGTTTCGACATGAATAAATCTGTTTTATTATAGACTAGACAGTTTCGTGCCTCCTACAGTGCCGGACCGATGTCGAGTTTGTCTTTTAATTTAAAAATTGCTTTCGTGGGTGTACTTGCGATCTTGGGACAATCACACGAGGTAAATAAAGCGTTCTCAATCATCTTTCTTCCGGTTTATCCTAGAAGGTTGATAATGATAAATATTCGGACAAGCTGTATACTGTAGGTGTATGCGTGGACTGGACCTATTTTGGTAAATTTGCTACCATATAGGTTTTATTATAGTTAGGCACCTAAAATATTTTAGCTCAATATTTACTCCTGAGAGGTTAGATTCTACGATTTAACGATCTTATCATTATCATACATAGGTACAGCATTAGGTGATGCCTACTAAATATACCTTATTCTTGTGTGTACGTACACAAAACCTCGGTGAGTAGATACGAAATTATGAATTTATGATGTGCGGTTTTGACTTCATGAAATAGCTCTGAGTTTGTATATGTTTATAAAAAAAAAGAAAATCACATGCCGCTTAGCAGATCAAATTATAGTCGTATTTTAATTCTAAAGCATGTAGCTGCTAGATTTTTAAAACTAAAGAAAATTTTACTAGAAAAAAATCTACGCGGACTAGGCAGCAGACGGGACTCAAACTCGCACCCTTCGCTATCCGGGCGAATGCACTGACCATTATTATGCTACCGCGGACTTAATGGCCGTGTCGAATTTTCTCTAGCTTTTCTTAAGTTGCAAGGCAGCGCCATCTCTTCGTATTGTAGGTTAACCCACAATTTCAAATGAATACTTTTACAAGTATTAAACATTTGATAGAAGAAATAGCAATTATAGTTATATTTTTAATTCTTAAGCATGTAACTGCTAGAAACTTAATCTAAAGAAAATTTTACTATAAAAAATACGACGCGGACCAGGCAGCAGATGGGGCTCGAACCCACACTCTCCCCTCTATCCGGGCGAATGCACTGAACATTATGCTACCGCCGACCTGCTGGCCGTGTATAATTTTCTCTAGCCTTTCTTAAGCTGCAAGGCAGTGCCATCTCTTTGCATTGTAGGTTAACCCACAATTTTAACATATTAATAATATAACACACCTGTCCTAACGATATAAAAACTTTTCCTTCGCTAAAATGGCTTAAACGTCAAATATTTCACATTAAAGTAGGTAGAACAATAAATACATTACTATTATTTGAAGTAGGAAAAACAGTTAATATGGGAATATGAAATTAGTGTTTTTACTATCTGCCTCGCAACTTTTCCATATTTTCTCACCTTCTAAATTTTCCCTGGACTACGACAAACGACGGCGGCGGTACAGCCGGGCCGCCATATTTACAGCTATGCCGTAGCTGGATCTCGATAATAAAGAGTTTTAAACTTCCACGTCGTGGAATCCACGATCCCTTTCATTTCATATTTGTGAAAGAGATTAGCTCATTTCAAAAGATTGATTGGGGGAAATAATCATGCTTTAGAATTAGGAATTAAGGTCAATAGTTTACGTCGAGTTTTGCACAGGCAGTCGTCAATTGTCTATAACTGAGTTGGTGCCGTGAGGAGGTTTTACCTTCCTTCCATTAATCCTTTCATTTTATATTTGGGAAAGAAATTAGCTTGTGTCAAAAGATATTGATTGGAGGGAAGGAATCATAATAGAAATTAGGCCAATAGTTTAACTTAATGTCGGGTTTTGCGCAGGCAGTCCTCAATAAATTGTCTATGACTGAGTTGGTGCCATAAGGAGGCATGACAGTCTTTCCAATAGCCCTTATATTATATATTTGGGAAATAAATTAGCTTATGTCAAAAGAAATTAATTGGAGGGAATCAGGATAGAATTAGGCCAAAGTTTATCTAAAGATCGGGTTTTGCACAGGCAGTCGTCAATTGTCTATAACTGAGTTCGCGGTGCCGAGCACAGTGGAAGCGGGCAATAATGTGGAGCTGCAGTGCCGGCACAGCGACGCCGAGCGCGTGGACTACGTCAAGTGGTGGTGGACGCCGCTGTACGCCGCCAGCGAGGACCAGAACCGAGTGCTACTCTACCAGAGACTGACTGGCCATGCCGCGGAGATAGCCCGAAAGAATGTCGGTCAGTTACTTGCCTCAAAACTAACTCAACAATTGAAGATTGTCATATTTGCTTGGCAAGCACATGAATTTTTCGTGCTCAACGAGCAATTTTGACCGCCGTCTACTCCTATTGTCATGTTTAGTTATTAGCATAATTAGACTTGCTTTGTACGGGTGGGTGGTAAGTCCAAAATATATTTGAATTTGAACTTGAGGGGGCTTGGGATAGGTCTGTGGTGTTGGGCTAAATGACGAATTTATAATGTGTTTTACGTATTCGTTTAGTACCTACAGACTGTGTACATCTTGTATAAAAACCAACCGAGACTGAATACCTTGTGTCAATGAAAAGAACTGACATCGTAAAACGTCAGCCCAATAGTAACATCTCGGAACACTCTTTTTAATGTCTGGAAAAAAATGTGTTACGTGCACCCCGCCATCTTGATCCCCAGCCATCAGAAAAGCCTGTGTAGGGCAGGGTCAGAATCACCCAAGTCCAGACCCCCCAGGCCTCTACCGGGAAAAGGCAGAAGTTGCGGGAGGGTTAGATCTACGACTCAAATTTTTTTAACAGACAACTCTGGAAATATATATGTGTCGGTTTATCTATAGTCCGGTCAATTTAGACAATTCAAATAACAAAAACCCCGACAGAGCCAAATATTGGTGGAGACCTTTGTTTTACCCTTATGAATAAAATTTAAAAGTCCCCATCAATCCCATGCGAGCTTCAAAAGTTATGCGGGGCCAAAGGTCAAAATTTTAGGTTTTTTGACTTTTTCTCAAAAACGGTAAGTTTTATCAAAAAAATACCTCAGACTAAAATTGTAGATCTTAAAATTCCCTACAAAAATATTTCTTATTTTTTTCTCTCTAAGTATCACCGTTCCTGAGATATCGTGATTGTGAGAGTCACATACTACGTAATATGCACACATTTGTTACATGTATACATATTCAGGTTCTTAAGCAAGCAAAAATACTAATTTGTGTCTCTTTTATGAATAAACTATAATTATACTATATTATGAATATACCATACTGAGAAAATATATAGTTAAAGTCAGTTAAAGTTGAAATTATTTGAAAAAAAAAAGAATTATTGGATTGCGGCAAAGTATTAATGAATATAGATTTTTCACCTCAAACAAGAATTACAAAAGGAATTCATTTTCTTCTTGCTGTTTATGGAGCTCCAAACAAAATAAATTGCATTGATAAATACAGGTATTTAACCTTATTTAAAAATACACGAAACAAGAAGCAAGTACAACTATCTTGTCTTCCTCCAACTTCGGCATCTGCTGTTCAAAATTTGTATAGAGTATATTATCAAGTTCAGACATGGCAAGGCAATGAACCCTGAAGACTGGGGTTGGAAATTAATAAATAATACTTTGGAACCTGTACAGACTTTACTTCCTCCTGCTCCAGAAAAACTACTTAACATTATTTTTTGCAATTGCAAGAAAGGTTGTAGTGCCAAATGCGGCTGTAGAAAAGTAGGATTACAGTGTTGTCCAGAGTGTACCAATTGCCAAGGTCAGTCTTGCTCAAATGTACAATTGAATACAACAGAGGAAGATTCATGTGATTTTGATGAAGAAACAACTGATTTATCTACATTTGAACAATTTTTAAACATCCAGCAAGAGGAAGAAGAAAAAGAAGAAGAAGAAATCGAAGAAGAAATGTTTATTGAAGTCGACTATGAAGTGTATGAATCAGATTGAAATATGAAAAGAAATCAGAACGGCAATTAAATTCAATAACAAAAATCAATATTAATAATCTTCCTTCAGTTAAATTCGTATTGTCTCTAAAAATTACATTATAACGGTTAGTGGAATAGGCCTACCGGGGAAACCACGTTAAAAAAAACACGCCGAGTACACTACCTCATAGGTGGTGAGGAAATGTGTGCATATTATGTAGTACGTGACTCTCACAATCACGATATCTCAGGAACGGTGATACTTAGAGAAAAAATTATAAGAACCATTTTTGTAGAGAATTGTGAGATCTACAATTTTAGTTTTAAATATTTTTTTGATAAAACTTACCGTTTTTGAGAAAAAGTCAAAAAACCTAAAATTTTGACTTTTGGCCCCGTATAACTTTTGAAGCTCGCATGGGATTGATGGGGACTTTTAAATTTTTATTTATAAGGGTAAAACAAAGGTCTCCACCAATATTTAGCTCTGTCGGGGTTTTTGTTATTTGATCCCTATTTTTATGTCTAAATTGACCGGACTACTACATTTTATTTTACAATTTTAAAATTCCACACTAAAAAGACTAAAATAATCATTAAAAAAATTACAGAGAGCAAAGACAATGACACTATTGTGTTAATGAACCTGAAATCCTACGACTCCGGCGTTTACGAGTGCGAGGTATCCAACGTCGCTGAAGTGCGCAGACATCAGGAGTTGATAGTGTTCTGTGAGTATATTTATTGATTTGGTGTATAAACAAATGACAAACATAATAAAATACATAAAATTATATGCATTATCAAACAAAAAATTGTTTTTTTAAGTTTATATCCTTGTGGATGTAAACTAAAAATACATGAATACACAGAGACATGACTAAAATAATAAGAGAAGTAATTATTTGGTATGCCGTTAAAAAAATGGTTAGGAAAAAAAGCGGTATAAAAATGATTTGGCTATGGCATACATAGATTTTGTTAGGAGTAATTTATTTATTTATTGATTTACCAACATTTGTGTACTTTATTTTACATCATAAGTCTAATGACATATAGTCTAAGGCCCGTATTACAGAATGACAACTAAGTGTTGATCTTTACTTGAGTACAGTTAGAAACGGATGTCGCTATGTGCTATATATAGCGACATCCCTTTCTAACTATGCTCAAGAGTAAATCAATCACTGAGAATCTTTCTATAATACGGGCCTAAGATTCGAGCCTACATCGACCTTCACCGAGCTGATAATAGAAAGAAACATATTTTATCATGAATATACTAAATATTAGAACATATATTAAAAATGGGTTGCCTAAAAAATCCTGGAAAGACTTTAAAATTATTAAAAAATATATTTTTAATTAAATGTTGCAACATCAAGATAATAAGAATATGTTGTCCTGACTTACCGTATAAAACGTATAAAATGTGCAGTCTGGTGAAGGTCGATGTAGGTTCGGATCATAGATGATAATTGATAAGGCAATAATATAACAACTTGATCAAAGTAAATAAAATGTGATTTTATTATATTCAGAAAAATACAATGAAAGATATCAGAAATAATGTCACTTAAGGAACACTGTCAAAAGTCTTAGTGCTATAGTCATAGTGCTCAGTTTAGGTAAATTATAGAGGTTGATATACTATCTCTTCACAGATCTTCTTCTGCTAGTTTTATACTAAGTGCATCAAACAGTTATAGGTAAATACCACTTGCAATAATAATAAATATAAATTAATACAAAATTATGAATTACATTGCTTTTAAATTGATAATAATAATCAATAACAATCTATACATATAATAAAATGGTAGGAAAGTCAAAACTGTACATTGAATATTTTTTTTAAAATAATATTTGGGGTGTAATCTACAATCGCTACCGAAGCCAAAAATATAGTTTTTAGAATTTTTGTCTATTTGTCTGTATGTTTGTCCGGGATAAACTCAAAAAGTATTCCATGGATTTACTACAAATTTGGCACGAATATTATTAAGAAGTCGGGTCAACTTATAGGCTACATATTATCACGCTATCAAGTACGGGGAACGAGCAGTGAACCTTTATTTCTAACTAACTCCACGCATACGAAGTCGCGGGCGGCCGCTAGTAGTAATAACAATGAATATACAACTTTAATCATAACAAAGTTTATTTAATGCATACCCAATTTGGAATTCTTACTGTAGAATGAGTCAAAGTAACTTAGATTATATCACTGTACTTATTTCGCCGCCTTCCTGTGACATTATTTTGACATTTGTTTTACATAATAGACTAAGGATTTTCTTATTAGTTTACCAACGTTTTTTGTGATGTCCAGAAATCGAAAGAGTTTCTGTTACATCTACGATTTTAAAAGTGATTTCTAAATTCAAAACACTATTCCAATTTTATCTATAATATGATCTATTGCATTGAAAATAAAGGTCAAATTTCAAATATCTTTGATCCATATTAACACAGTTTCCTTGTTATTAGAAGGTCCTAAGTGTAACAACGCATTCTCTATAAAGGAAATCTTGTCTGCTTTGACATTTTTAAGCGAATTATCGGGCAAGTGGGTCAGGAATCAATTCCTCAGGTCAGGAACTAATCAGATCGTACAATCCTATACATCTGTATTTGCTCTTTTAACGATGAGTTAACTCTAGCTATATTATTATAACCCTCTAGGGTTATAATACTACTGTATTACCATGTATGGCATGGATTTTATCAAAAAGCTAATTATTATTCACATTCGTATTACGATGATTTTTTTATCATATTAAAGAAACTTTTTTCTTACAGCTAACGGGACGGGCATTGAACTGAACGTGTCGAAAATAGAGGACGGTCCAGATGAGGACGATGCAGAAGAGGTATTGGTGCTGTGCGAAGTGCATGACGCCACGCCGCTACCAAAGCTCTCCATATCCGTGGACGAGTAAGTAATTGCAGTTTCCAATGATAATGAATCGCCGAAATGTATGTACGCACATAATTTCCGAAAAATGCATGTGTTTGACGACCACGTCTGTTAAGCTAGCATGACAAAGTGAGCAGAATCGCTTAAAAAGAAGTGCATCAATTGGTGCCAATTTAGTGCTAATTTAGTGCCAAAACCTGAAATTTAATGCTCTCATAGTTTCTCGAAAAATTAGAACACTGCCAGCTTTTAATAAAGCTAGCAGTGTATTCCCTGAAACGCCTATATTAACGCGGTATAGAACTAAAGGAATGCATAGGGAATTTAGTGCTTAATAAGTGCTGGCAGTATCTGATAAAAAATTTCGATTTTATTTTTTTATCAATCAAAACTGCTAGTTTGACAGTCTGAGCAAGTGACCGGGTTGAATACATCACTCTGGATCGCAGATCTATGATCATCAACGGTTAATAATTTAGTGCTCAATAAGTGCTGGCAGTATGTGATAAAAAATTCGAAAAAAAAAATTTAGCAACGGGCGGTCTGAGCAATTGACCGGGTTGAATACATCACTCTGGATCGAAGATCTATGATAATCAACGATTAATTATTTAGTGCTCAATGAGTGCTGGCATTATGTCATAAAAATTTTGGAAAAAAATAAAATTCAATCGAAACTGCTAGTATGACAGTCTGAGCAAGGGACCGGGTTGAATACATCACTCTGGATCGAAGATCTATGATAATCAACGGTTAATAATTTAGTGCTCAATGAGTGCTGGCAGTATGTGATAAAAAAATTCGAAAGAAAACTAAATATTTTATTTTTTAGCAATCGAAACTGCTTGTATGGCAGTCTGAGCAAGTGACCGGGTCGAATACATCACTCTGGATCGAAGATCTATGATAATCAACGGTTAATAATTTAGTGCTCAATGAGTGCTGGCATTATGTGATAAAAAAATTGGAAAAAAAGATTTTTTTCCAAAGAGATGTATTTAACCCGGTCGCTTGCTCAGACTGTCTTACTAGCAGTTTTGATTAATAAAAAATAAAAATTTACAATTTTTTTATCGCATACTGGCAGCACTCATTGAGCACTAAATTATTAACCGTTGATTTATTATAGACTAGTGGCCCGCCCTCGCTTCGCTTCGGTGTAGAGCTGTAGAGTAAACTATAGTTTTTGTTCTCAGGCTTGTGCTATAAAGAATGACTTTATTTATATAATTACACGTGTTATTGTGAGTCAACCATTTGTGGGAACAAATGCTCGTAACGATTTCTGGGTTGTTTGACAGCGACATCAAATGAAATAAGCTAAAAATTTTTGTGCATATTATAATAAGTGATTTTCTTTCTTTAACTAAAAAAATCTATGTTATAATACGTATGGGATTTGTATTGATAAAACATGATATAAATTTCCTACCTCAAACTCTGCGAAAAGGGTAAAAAATTGTATTAGCACAGCTTGTGAGAGACGTTGCAGAGCATAGAACCAACGGTTACCCACTGTTCTATACTTTATAACACAACACGTTCTGCGACCCATATTGCGATTTTATAGGTTTTCAATTATAAATACTTAACATTAATAACGTTAGTATGTAATTTTATGAAAATATTGCATTTTGACACATGACAACCCAGAGTCATTCACATTTGTGCCACATCGCGCACTGCAATCGATTTGACGGTCCTACATCACCCACTTACCACATAGCGAATATAAAGGGCTCAGATTTGGTCGGAATACTTCACAAGGTGCAAGGTTACACCCCATATGTTATTCTGCCGCGCTCTAGTAAATCCGAAAATCCCCGATTATATTATGTTTATATTTAACTTATAATAGTTCCAGCCGAGTGTTCAAAGACACTCCTCACATTTGCTTTTTTGTTTATTTATTCGCTGGATGAGCGATGGCAGCGCTAACTAGATGTTACATTTACGGCCGAATTTGAATGTCAAATAGCTGGGTGTCATAACGAAGATTATCTAAACCAACAAATAATTTCAATGAAATATAAATAATTGTAATTTACATAAATTCTAATCGATCATGTAAATTTATATTTGTTGAAAATAACGTTGAACTTTTTTTTAAAATTTCATAATCTATAAATTTCTGGTTACACACATGACTTTCTTATGGCTGACATCATGAAAAGTAAGTAAAGAATAAAACAAACTTAATCGAAGAGCACATTTAATATATATATTGCAGACGATTATTTAAAACTGTAGTGTCATTAATATAAAAATAATGCAGACTAATAAGTATATAGATACCCTGGATTCAACATCACGAACAAAATCGTAGCCGAAACCTGTCCTAAAGGTACATTCGACGATACACGGAGCTCCGTAAGATGATCGCGTAGTCAAAAATCATATATGGCATTATTTAAACATTCAAAGTAACCTTTAATGCATACTGTATAAGGTCTCAATTAAAACGCATGCGTCAAAGAGTTATGACAGTTCAAAATGCAAGCTCGTAAAATTTTCGACTTATTGCTATACGCGTAATAATTATATACTTTATTTCTTGGACTCTACGCGCAATTCTGAATGCGCTGTTAGCAATACACAGGTACGGACCGCGAAGAAAAGAGACAGCTATATTACCGTCCATGCATTTGAATATTATAAATAATTTCTATTAAATCAGTTTATAGTAAGTATTAGAACATAATTTGCTTCAAATGCGTTAAATTAACAAACATTTATTAAATACCTGTCGAAAAAAGGACACTTTACGTACTAGGGGAAACTACCCAATCATTGGCACTCTTCCTATTATTGGCACTTTTGATTTTTGTTTCCTGAAACAATCTATTGTTTTATGCGTTATTTGTAGGAATAATGCTGCCGCCAATTTTCAAATTTCGTAACCATACTAGTTTTACGTTTTTCTTTTTAATATTACATATTCAGCTGCTAACTAGCTAGGCTGCTAGCTAGGCAACAAGCTAGGCTGTTAGCTAGGCAATAAGCTAGGCTGCTAGCAAGCTAGTCTGTTAGCTAGCGAAGCAACAAGCTAGGTAGGCATCTAGCTAGGTTACTAGCTAGGCCCCACCGGACGATAGAAGCCATTCGTCCGGTGTTGAAGGAATGGTTGGGTCGCCGGCGCGGCGGCCTCACGTTCCGCATGGTGCAGATCTTGACCGGGCATGGATGCTTCGGTCACTATCTGCACCGTGTCGCACGTCGGGAGGAGACGCCGCAATGTCATCATTGCGGCGCCCCGGACGACACGGCCGAGCACACCTTATTGGAGTGCCCGGCCTGGCGACACCAGCGCCGCGACCTCGTTGCGACAGGGCGTGGGAGGCAGCCGCCTCCTTCTGCGAGAACGTCATCTCGCAGAAGGAGGCGGCTGAGAGGGAGCGGGAGGATGATCCTCTGGCCGCTCCCTCCCGCCAAAGGAGGACGGGTAGGAGAGGACGGCGGCGCGCCCTGGCTGCGCCCGTCCCATGACCCTACCCGAGGGGTCCCTCGCTGACCGGCATGGCGATGGCCGTGCCGGCCACCGACGGACCCCGTGACGGCAGCCCCCCCCTTGTAGTTCTGTCCTGCAAAGAGGGGGGCGGCGGAGAGAGCTACACGGGCACGCCCAAAGTAGCCCTCCGCAGCGGACGGGGGGGTGGTACGGTGGGCACTAGGCCGCGTACTCAGCCCCCGCGCGCGGGCCTACCCGCGCACGTCTGCGGGGTCCCCGCGATACCCCGGGAGACCCCTGCCGTGGAGCCCCGGCTTGTCCGGGAGGCTGCTAGGTGCGGAGACGCGGAGAATCCCTAAACGAGGATCCCGCGGCTTCGCGCTAAGCAGCTAAAAGGGTATTATCAGGACTTTTTTAGCGGATATTATACCGTAAAGCGTTACTAGCTAGGCTGTTAGCAAGGCAACTATCTAGGCAACCAGCGCGGCTGCTAGCTAGGCAGCTAGGCTGTTAGCTAGACAACAAGTTACGCTGCTAGTTAGGCAATTTAGCAAGGCTGCTAGCAAGCCAACAAGCTATGCTGCTAGGTAGGCAATAAGCTAAGCTGTTAGCTAGGCAACAAGCTAGGCTGCTAGCTAGGCAATTAACTGGGCTGCTAGCAAGGTAACTAGCTAGGCAACCAGCTCGGCTGCTAGCTAGGCAACTCTAGCTAAGCCACAAGTTAGGTTGCTAACCTGGGTTACAAGTTACGCTGCTAGACTGCTACTAGGCTACTAGCTAGGCTGCTAACTAGGCTACTAGCTAGGCTGCTAACTAGGCTACTAGCTAGGCTGCTAACTAGGCTACTAGCTAGGCTGCTAACTAGGCTACTAGCTAGGCTGCTAACTAGGCTACTAGCTAGGCAACAAGCTAGGCTGCTAGCAGGGCAACCAGCTCGGCTGCTAGCTAGGCAACTAGCTATGCTACAAGCTAGGCAACTAGCTAGGCTACAAGCTAGGCTGCTAGAGCTAGGTAACTAGCTAAGCTCCTAGCTAGGCAACAAGCTAGGCTGCTAGCTAGGCAACAAGCTAGGCTGCTAGCTTGGCAACAAGCTAGGCTGCTAGCGAGGTAACTATCGATAACAACGATCCCACTTCCCCCTTCGTACTACACTACGAAAATCTTCGATACCGGACTTTGTTGTTGGTGAGAGAAAAACCATTCGCTATGTAAACTTATTAGTTTACATTGCAGGAGTACTTTATTAAGTACTCCTCGATAGATTATTTTTTTCATTCTCTGTAGGTTATACGTTATTACGTATAACGCATTATTATGCTTATGCTTTTTTGAAAACTAACGTATAAGCTGCTAGGTAGCTTATATTAAAAAACAAACAAAACGGACTTCAAAATCGAAAATGAAAATAAAAAGTAAAAATAAATATCTATCATGATGATTTGGAGAATTCGAAAGAAGCCCGAATGGGCGGGGTCAAGAAAGAAAAGGCGGAAAAGCTATGCAAGAAGCTGATCATCCTTGCCATTAATAATCTCTGCTTTGTTATTTGCTTGTGTGGGCACTTTATTTATTTGCCGAGAATGATAGGGTGCTTTATCAGTAAATATCACCGAAGGCTCTTCTAACGATAACAGCATTTCCCTAAAGCAATTTTCGTAAATTTCCGCGTTATTTTCTTAAAATTTCTTAAAATGATAAACCAGATTTTTTGATTTGAAAGCCACAAATCCTTTTGATGTTCCAGCGTGACAAATGATTAGGCGTTCGCTTTCAGTCTTCTATATTTTTCGCTGGTCTCAAAAATGCGCACCGAGCAAGAGCAATATCGTGACGTTCCATCAAAATCTTCCTTTTATCTGATTTTTAAAATAAAATCCAATTTGCCGTAAGACTTTTGCTAACGAGGACTTTTGACCGCGAAACAACTTTGATAAAATGTTTAAAAAGAAGAATACGTTGCAATTGTCGCAAGATCGGTGAACAACTGACTTCAAAATGGCGTCACACACCATCACAACATGGTGTTGCCAATACTTAAAAATATTTAAACGTAAAGAGTCAAAGATAGAGTTTTTTATAAAAAAGGTGGGCTGCTAGCAAGGCAACTTGCTAATTTATTTTAACTTTAGCTTGCAAATTTTATCGATTATTCAATAAATCTAATTGTACAGAGTATTAGTATTAGGATAAACAAACGTAAAAAGTATACGGCTTTTTTGTTGTATATACATACATATTATAGGTAAATCACACCCAGACACAGAACAAATACTCGTGCTCATCACACAAATATTTGTACTAGGTAAAATAATAAATCGAATGAGATATTGTAATAATTTATTAAACATCAGTGCATTCGCCTGGATAGCGAAGGGTGCGGGTTCGAATTCCGTATGCTGCCTAGTCCGAGTGGAATTTTTTCTAGTTTATTTTCTTTAGATTAAAACATCAAGCAATTACATGCTTAAAAATAAAAATTATAACTTGATAGTTATAAGAAGAGACAAATAATTGTTATCTCTTCTTTCAAATGTTTAATACTTGTAAAAGTGTTCATTTGACATTGTGGGTTACCTATAATGCGAAGAGATGGCGCTGCCTTACAGCTTAGGAATGGCTAGAGGAATATCGACACGGCCATCAGGGCCGCGGTAGCATAATTGCTCAGTCCATTCGCCCGGATAGCGAAGGATGCGGGTTCGAGTCCCGTCTGCTGCCTGGTCCGCGTGGAATTTTTTCTTATTAGATTTTTTAGATTCATTTATTAGATTTAATTCTTCAGATTTAAGCAATTATCTTTTTCATTCGTTATTCTTGTATTCAACTTTTCATGTGGAAACTTATAAAAATTGTGGTCACTGTTTTTGGCATTCTTCTTGCAGTTAACTATGAAGCAGCCGGTTTCGTGACGCATGTTTATTTATTTTTACATGAAATGCACAGACACATTAGTTTTGTTGGTAAAAGGTGACAGTTGTCTGGCGAAAGTTCCTTTTTTCGCCATGGTGCACATTACGGTCGATTCGTGGTTCCCCCACCTCCAATTTCGCACCCAGCGAATAATTCAAATTCAAAAGTCATTTATTCAGTTTAGGCTTTTACAAGCACATTTGGAAGTCAAAAACTACGCCATTCGGTTTGAAAAACTACGACGGGAGGACTTGTACTGAGAAGAACCGGCAAGAAACTCAGCAAGGGCTGCTTTTTTCTCCCTGTTTTATTTCATACAGTGTCGTCAAATTGAAAGTTGACATCAAACTTGCAAACATGTGTTGAGGTCAACTTCCATTACATAATGTCAAATAGGTAACAATAAACAATTAACGAATTTACTAAAAATAATTGTAAAGCAAAGTCCCTAAATATATATTTATTTTTACTTTATTTACCTACAAAAAACTGTGGTCCTCCACAGCATTGAAATTGACAACATAACGCAGTATGTGACCGGCGGTGACAACGGAGTGTACGACGTATTCGCGAACCTGACGCTCGACTCGGACGACATCGATGAAGGGGTCACGATACGCTGCGAGCTGGCGTACGAGAATACGAACGTCAGCCAGAGCTACACTAGTGAAATCACATACACATCGGGTATGGTTACACTATTTTTTTTATTAGACCAACAGATACTATTAGTTCTTTTTTTTTCATGATTTAACATAAGAAGGAGATAGAAAGCCTCTCTGAGTTTGTTTCGCCGGTTCTTCTCAGAAAGGTCTCCCAATTTTGGAACCGGTGGTAGTTTACGGTAGTTAGGGTCAAATAAACAAACTCAAAATTACAAAAAAGAAATTTAAATACAGAACGTTAATAATTAAATAAATTCATACACAGACAATGAAGTTTTAAAAATCTTCCAATGAAATATCCGAACGCTCAATAAAAGTCTTTCGAAGGTAGCTCGACAAAGTAAATAAAAAAATCATTATTCAGACGATACAGACCTGTACCCCTAGCACGAACCAATATCGAATTCGTATCGTTTGCGAGTCCGAAATGTCATTGTCAAATGTGTATTGATTTTTAGTTCCCGTTACTTACTTTGTGGCGCTGCTGTTCAAGTTTCCATACAAAATTTGACATTGACATTTCGGTTTGCAAACTATTCGAATTCGATAATGGTTCGTGCTAGGGGTACTGAAAAGGCTGAAAACGTCAATAAATAAATAAATTCAGTGCATCTACCCTAAAAACGTCCGTAAAAACTAACTTTATACTATTTTTTTCTGGACTGTGAAGATACACAGTATACACTAGAGCATTTTCTCGAGCATTTCTATGTAATGTAACCACAGACCTAGATTTTCGTAGACGACTCATGTGCGTATCAAATTGTTAGAAAACCGAGCGTGTCATATTTTGATGGCAAATTAAGTTTTTTTTTTTTAATTTTAAGGTAGGCAAATGACTCTACCCCTCCTGATGTTAAGTGGTAATAAAGTCCAAACGCGAAGATAGCTGGTACAGCAGTTATAAACTGCTACACCAATCATCCTCACCTTGCCGGCCTGCAAAAATGCTTCTTCACGCCTCTCTTAAAGGACCCCAGGTTATAGGAAGGAGGGAACACTTGCGCGGGTAAAGAATTCCACTTACGAATAGTACGACAAAGAAATGAGTCACCAAATTTCTTTGTTCGTGTAGGAATAGTGGCCACAGTAAGTCGGTGGCAACGAAGGCCAGCGCGCGTGGTCCTCTGAAGAAAAGGTGATGGAGGGATAAGGGAGAATAACTCCTCAGAACACTCGCCGTGGTATAGACGATAAAATGCGCTTAATGATGCCACATCGCGGCGTAATTGTAGAGACTCGAGTTTCTTGGTTACCTCTTCATCGCCGATGATACGGACAGCGCGCCGCTGCAACCTATCCAAGGCATCGAGTAAGTACTTAGCGGAGCCATCCCAGAGGTGCGAGCAATATTCCACGCAGGACCGCACTTGCGTTTTGTACAACAAGCACAGTTGATCGGGCGTGAAAAAACGCCGCACCTTGTTCAGGACTCCGAGTTTGTGTGAAGCTGTTTTGATCACGGTTTCGATGTAGTCCTTTGGATTCAGGTCTGAGCGAATATCGATACCGAGCATGGTAACGTTGCTCTGTAGCGCTAGTGTTGTGCCCTGAAGAGAGGGAAGGGGAAGGAATGGCGATGTTTTTGCCGTGAAAGCGCAGGCCTGAGTTTTCTTGGCATTGAACTCAACCAAGTTGCTGGTACCCCATTCGGAAATGTGGTCCAAAGCCTGATTGAGTTCAGCGACAAGATTCTCCCGTTTCTCCTTGGTTTCTACCTGCCCAGCCGCTGCATGTCCAAAGTATCTCGCATGCACTGTACTATCGTCTGCATAGCAATGAATATTAGCAAGTGGAATCAAATCATTGATATGCAGCAGAAAGAGTGTAGGGGATAGAACGGAGCCCTGAGGAACACCGGCATTCACTGACAAGGCTAATAGCCAGAGACTCCCCGCTTGTCTATAGCTTCACCCCAGATGTGTGTCAAGTACGCTAGAAGGTCACCCGTCGATCGATTCGGCCTAAATCCGTATTGATGATCGTGAATCAGAGAGTAATATTCTAGGTAGCGGGTCAGATGGTTGTTGAGGACCCTTTCTAAGACTTTACACAACACTGAAGTGACAGCTATCGGCCGATAGTTAGCTGGGTCTGAGCGGTCCCCTTTTTTGGGCACCGGTTGCACATTGGCATCCCTCCATGCCTCCGGCACACGCCCCAAAGAGTAAGAGAGTTGGTACAGGCGCGTAAGCACGGGAGACAACTCCGCTGCACACTGACGACCTCCGTGGCCGAGTGGTTTGTACGCCGGGTTTCATGGTGTCGCCGACTCGAGTGGTCCCGGGTTCGAGTCCCGGTGGGGGCAGATGTTTGTGTGATGAATACCGAGCATTTGTACTCCAGTCATGGATGTTTAATATGTATTTCTATAAAAATATATATTTACAATATATGTATTTATCCGTTACCCTAGCATCCCATAACACAAGCCTTATAGTGCTTACTTTGGGGCTAGGCTAATTGGTGTGAGTGTTGGAAATATTTATTTATTTATTTATAATGTTTTAGCACAACTGCTGGGATGCCATCGGGTCCACTAGCTTTCCGGACGTCGAGTGATTGCAACTCCGCACGAACATCACGTTGCCTGATTTTAATGTCAGGCATCGTAGTGCCACAATGAGGAAGTGTAGGTGGCAGTGCATTGCGATCACTGATTTGGGAGTTAGCCGCAAAGAGTTTTGCTAACAAATCAGCTTTCTCTTGCGGCTCATGAGCTGACCATGAGTGACCCATCTGGACATCGCAGAGGTGGCAGCGAGGGCTGGCAGAAGTTGTGCTGCACGGCCTTAGCCAAACGCCAAAAACTACGGGAGCCCGTAGGGTCCGTTAACAATTCGTGGCCAGTACGTGCTACACGTAGGGCATCCGCTCTGATGTAAGCCTTTTTGGAAGACTTGGAAGCATTATTATAGGCAGCTTTCAGTGAGTCAACCCCGGGATCTTTAAGAGCGCGGCCTCTGGTCCAAGCGCGATATGCCGCCTGCTTACGAGAAACAGCATCAGCACAGTCGCGATTGAACCAGCGGTTACGTGTGTTCTTACTGATGAGATCAGAATGTGGAATGTAATACTCCATTCCCATTAAGATCTCCTCAGTAATAGCAACGGCGCTGGTCGATAAGTCCTTTTCAATGAAGCAGCGCTGCTTCCAAGGGATGGACGCAAAGTAGTCGCGCATACCATCCCAGTCTGCCGACCCATAGTGCCAGACCCTGTGTTTGACCACCAATGGTCGAGGGGTCTTGGCCTGTGGCACCTTGGCAGATATCAGGCAATGATCTGATGAACCCAGTGGGGGTCGAACCACAACCAGATACTCCTGCGGATGAGTCGTAAGCAGAAGGTCTAGCAAAGAAGGCGCTTGACTTGCTATATCTGGGATCCTGGTGGGCTGATCAACCAGTTGTGACAAATCATGCGTGAGAGCGAATGCATGGGCAGAGATCCCTGCATGGTCAGTTTTGGAGAAGCCCAGCCACAAACCATGGTGGGCGTTAAAGTCCCCCAAAAACACCAGTTCTGCGTTGGGAAATTGCGCCTGGGCATCATCTGCTGCCCTACTAACGTGGTCAAACAGTCGAGTTGTCTCAGCGTCGCCGGTGTGGGATCTGTAGAGGCACACGTAGACTCTGGCCAAAAGGCCAGAGTCTACATGTACTGCCAACATGGAGAAGGAGGGGTCTATCAGGCAGCTCAAACGGCGACAACAAATATCCGTCCGAACATACAGGCATACGCCGGCTTTTGCTTTGAAGGATTCTTCAAGCATGTAGCCGGGATAATTAAGGTAGCCTGTGTCAGCGGGCGGAAGTATTTGTGTCTCCGTGAGAAACAATAATGCTGGCCGTGCTGTCTCAAGATGGTGGTGGACAGCATTGAGGTTAGAGTGGAGTCCGCGTATATTACAGAACTCAACCTCAAACAGCGCGGAAGGCGTGGGGGTGTGCACCGCTGTACAACCAAATTTCGTTTTACGGGCTGCCATCATGCGAAAAAATTAAGAGACGTGAATCGAGTGGAGTTAGTCGCGACAAAGTCAGGCAAATATGTGGAGGCACGTTTTCCCGAGTGGCTGCCTAAGAAAGAGAAAAGAGATACGCCGACCCACCGGACGGAAGCCCCCCCCCCCCCCCGGGAGTCGCCCCGGGACCCCACGCCCCGGTCACCAACCGGCACGACGGTCCACCCCGAGATTATGCGTGACATGATGGGGCAGCCTCGCGAACTGGTTAGGAACGCTCGGGCCCCTGTACTGTGCCACGGGCGGCCAGCGGGACAGCCGTCTCTACGGGTCTCCCTGGCCGGCGGGTCGATGCAGTCCTCCCGGCATCGGTTCGACGGATGGCTCTACTAGACCGAATCCGTCGCGGCAATCTCCACTCGAACTCTGGTTGTACGCTGGCTGATCCCGAAACGCGCGTAAAGCACTTCACGGGTTTTCACCATGCGTACGGTGGTAACAAACCAGGCGGATGTTAGGCACCCTACCACCAGAAGAGCGGATGGAAGCTCCGATATCCCTTAGTCGCTTCTTACGACACCCGCGGAAAGTGATGGGGCGGTGAGTAGTATTCTTTCTCCGTCACCGCACGGTTAAAAAGTGGTGGAAAAGCACAGATACCGGACACCCGTTTCAATTCTATCGTTTTTACAGCTTTTTAGTGCACATTTAATTAGTCAATTTTAAAAAATTGCGAGGAGGATCCGTTACGAGAACAGTGATAAAAAATGAATAAGTTTGATCTCCTTTTTGGCATATTTTCGGCACGCGAAGTACAAATACCTGTTGTATTTATTTCGATCTATACCTATCTATGATTGTAACGTTCTTACGAATAGTATTATACATGAAAAAGATCGGTTTTCAAAGTAATTTGATCTGTGAAAGGAAACTAGAACATCGGACCTATCTATAAAAAAAATTACAAGAAAATTCTTAAGTGTATACTCACCGTAGCTGAATATTCTGAATTTTATAGATAAATGAATCCATAAAATTAGTTTTCTCGAATCTAAGAATCTAAATCTCTGAATGTGAGTTTTATAATCCTAACTATGACATCCCGAGAGCGCCAGCTAGCAAAAATAGAAGCATATTAATATAAAATATCGTATAAAACGTGGTTAGATATCTACACTCTGATTTTTAATCGGCGTAATTCTGACAGCTGTAATCTTTTGACACTTCTGGATTTTTTCGATTTATAATAACAAAAAATATGGATACTTAAACTCTGATTTTTTAATCTGCATAAATCTGACAGCTGTAATTTTTTCGAATTATAAAAAAATCACACACATACACCCGTGTTAATAGACCGCTCTCAACTCTGAAAGCTATATTGAGATGTTGTTTAAATGGTAACAGTATCTCAAGAAATTACTGAAAATATATTATATTTTATATAATTTCCTTACTAATTTTTACAACTTCAGACATTATTGTAGTTACTATTTTTTTCTATCACATTTTGATAATAATAAATCTAATTACCATTTTTACATTATCAGTCAATATCTTACTTTTTCTAATACGAAATCTTAAATTCAAGAAAGAAATCTTTTAATTTCATTTTAGACTGTTTCATTGATTACAGAGATTATAGGACTGTTTTATCATTGGCAACACTTCTGAAATGTCAGAATTTCATCGAATTAAAAATCAGACTATGTATCGATTTTAGAAAGTCATGCTCCGCTCAGAATTTCGTTTTAATTTCATATTATTTATTAATCGTTAACGTTTTTTATTCATACTCTTTTAAATGGTAACTGTTTCTCAGAGTGACCCTATACTAATACATATCTCGCTTAATATGTTCTAAGTATTATTCTTACGTTCTTAGAATTGCTATCCATGAAGAGTATCCGTATGGTACGGTCAGTAATGATTCTTACAAATGTAGAAAATTGTAGGGTGTATAATTTACATGATACCTATGATTTTTTTCTATATGGCACTATATCATATAAAATATATATCATGCTGTCTAGTACTATATACGGGCTTCTGTCGTATACCATGCAGGACGGGAAGCATTACGCCTAATGGGAGTGATCCGCTTTTGTTTCTAATATAAAGCATGATGACTGGTTAACTGCATTATATTTTATAGAACAGTAAATAACATTAAAACACAGGTTAAGATCTATATTTACTTACACTTTGCTGCAAATAAAAGAATAAGTTTGAAGAATTCTCAGTCTTTCTCTTTGATCGTTTCTCTCATATCTTTTCATGAATAAGGGCCATTTACATGATGCAAGTTTCATGCCTGTAGCATACAATTTAACTTACACTTCTATTTAAAAAAACGTTCGATACTTGCACGAAAAATTCGCCAATGAAAATACATGTAATTTTTGAAGCAATTCTCCAATAAATGGTACACGCACATACATACAAGCCTGTGTTTAAACATATCAAAACTATAGGAACATAATTGTATTGGTGTTACGATTTAAGTATTTTCGTTGTTATGTACAAAGTGAAAAAATAGTTCTTATACAGGAGAATTTATAAAAAAAGAAATAAATTTCACTGATATTGCGTTCAAAGAAAATTCCGCTTAAACACAGCGAGTATCGAACATGTAATTCATGTAATCGGTGCCGTAAATAGATCAATCACCCCACAACAAACCGTCGGCCTACAATATGTCAGTGGCTGAATAGCCGACAGGCCTACTGGGCCCTATTTCACGGGACCAGTAGGCCTATTCGAGTACTTACTGATTTTGGCAGATGGAAGTGATTGTCACCGAGCTATTTAGTGATCCACTGCTGCTTTATTATAACGCCACTAAGATACTTGCTCTGAAAAGCATCGATGCATATGCAATTATCTCTTTAGTTACACACTGTAAATGCCAAAAAAGTTAGCGAATAGGCTGGTTAGCTTTATTTTTAATAAAGTTTAAATTAACTAAAGCTATTTGTAATTATTTTTTGTAAAAAAAAGACAACGTCTATTGCGCAGGCTTTGTTGCTCTATTAAGTTAGTATTTAAGTTTTTTTCCGCGAGAGTATTTGTTTGCCGCTGTAGCCAAAATTTCTCTAATAGCACTACAGGAAAGACTGAGAATAAAGTTAATTTATAGTTGAGAATAACGATTTTAAAGTGATGGTTGGTATACGAAATAGTTTTTTTAAGCACAAGCATGCATTTAATATGGAAACTTAGTTTGTAATATAGGTACTAATAGCAAAACCGATCTGACAATTTATATACAATTAATCGAGACTACTTCGATGTGGTGTTTGGAGTTGGTACTAATATTGAATTTCCGTTTATTTATTCTTTTAGTTGTTCGTTGCCCATTCTGTTAGTTGCCCTTCAGCTGATACACATAGCAGCCATTTTCAATATTCAATTTAAATAAATGACTACAGAACGTTGCGTTCAATGAATTGGCTAGTTTTCCATTTCATTTGATGCCGGCGATTGATAAATCGACCTAGGCGTCCAATTAGTCGGCGAACTTAAATAAAGGGCTGCAATATATAATATACAAGGTGTCCAACGATTTTATCACATGCAGGAAAAGTACCATAAATTTTGTAGATAGAAAATTATACTGAATGAATAATTAATTTTTATTTTAAAAACAATACCTACGGACAACATTGAAAGGATTTTCGATAATTGTCTGTCTGAATTCTGAAAAGAGAATCGTATCCTCTAAATGTGACAAAATATCTGTCATTTTACTGTATTTTTCGAAAGCTTAGCCATGTTACATCCGTTCCAATTGTCTTCTTTTAAACATAGCTTCTAAAATCTGCAACACTGGAAATCATCTGGTAACACCTGCACCAAGAAGAAAATTAAAAGTTAAATTATTAAAAGTAATTTAAAATTTTCTTCAGATTAATGCATTCAATTTTGTGAAATAATGAATAGACTTTTGTGTGACTCTGTGTACCTACTTACTGACTACAACTATATGTACGACTTTGTCTCTTGAGCATTTCGAACGGAACTGTTAAATTACATATTTTTGCAGATTAAGTATGTTTGATTTCCAAATAATTTCAAAATTCTATGAATGCAGTTCGTATTGTTTTAAAATAAAAATATCTTCATTCAGTTTTTAATCTACAGTATTTTACAGTAGGGTTTCAGGGAAACAGAGCAGGTACAACCATGAAATAATGTTTACCTAGTCATTAGTAATTTTGGAACCAAGTTCCTTTTTCGGACGGTTTGGCGGATAGGGGACCGTCAGTTGTTTCATTGTGTGTAGTTGTGTACTAAAACTTATTTTTAACTTCGTTCCAACCGAGTTTTATATAGCCCGACCTTGTTTTCGCTGTAGACTTATAGTTTTTGTTTTCGGGCATGTCATGTACTAGTTAAGTCTTATCCTTATTAGCATGGTAACGGATTTTTGCTATAAAAAAGACTTTTATGCAAGATCATTCTTTCAGTAAACTGAAATTCGTAAAACCCGTTAAATTAATCTGTCTACATTGTCGTTCGGTTTATCAGTTTATTATTATTTTAACGATGAATAACTATTTATTCATTTTTAGTGTGGACACAGACACAGATCGAAATAGATAACGCAAGTGTTATTATCTTTGCGTGCAAAAAACATGTTAATGACCAATGGTCCTCCTTTAACGCTCTTTTATTTTTTTGTGTCACGATTCTTGGCATTTTCATTTTTAAATTAAGCTGTAGAAACGATAGAATTCAACCAAGTGGCTGGGGAAAATGCTTTTCCGCTACACACAGTTTTCATACAAATTGCAACAAGCACTTGCGTCATCTACTTAAATCTTGGTCTGTGGGTGTGAAGCTATGCTAAGCAGGGTGGGGATCGCATGGAGGGCTGGTGGTGGTGTGTCGTATTTACTAACTTTGGTATGTGTGTCGCTGGCGCCAGGCACTGCGCTATCCACGACGGAGACGCCCGAGGACACGACAAGCTCTGAGGTCGCATCCGAATTGAAAAATAACAGTAAGTCTCTCTTCTCGATCACTCACATGACAACATTGTATTTCAATTAAAAAAAGAGTGGAAATAATTCATTATCTTTACCGACAACGAGTTGTGCCTTCTTCAAGTCATTGATGGAAATTTAAATCATATACATAATAGGTTTTATTTGGCTGAAAATAACAGAAGTATTTATATCTTTTCTACAGCATTTTAAACATAAGTTTACCAAAAGGTGTGGAACATTGAGCTTACAGCCGTTTAATCACAAGTTCACTTCTATAAACTACGCTAATACATACTTTTTACATTGCTTATTCTTATAAAAGTTATTTAATGTACATTTTACTGTCATAAAATTTGACAATTAGTTTTTTTATATAACATCTTTTTGTACGCATGCTCTAGCTATTTACACATACTTAGTTTATGTATGTCACACGAGTTTCGTGCTTTTTTCCCAATCAAAAAGTGCTCAATGTTAACTTAGGGGGATAAAAGGAGTTTCCACTTCAAAAATCCTGAACTGTATAGTTTTAATCCAAAATAATACCCACTGACAGATCTGAAGCTGGCCATCAATGATTCTAAGGTCAATCATCTGCTTAGCCGGTAGGTTATACAAATTTGAGAAAGACCTGGGGGCTCTACAAGGGCGGATTCAGGGGGGGGGGGGGGGGGTCATGACCCCCCCCCCTGGGCTGGGTACAGATGGACCAAACCCAGGGGGATTTTATTTAAGTACTTTCAATATTTAATATACCACGACTATATGACCCCCCCCCCCCCTGGGCCAAAGCTGGGTATATGACCTTCCCCCCCCCCTGGCGCTAAAGCTGGATCTGCCCTTGGGGCTCTATCGCTTACGAATTCATTTTGTTATTTCTGACCGTCGAAGGTTTTCAAATGCCTCGTGCTTTTTTTTTTACATTGACAATACCAATATTAAAGAAAATAAGCGTGAGTTATTTGAAAACCTTCGGTGGTCAGAAATAACAAAATTAAATCGTAAGCGATACCGATAGCCATAGCAATAACGTTAGGCGATTGCCACCCAGGTCTCTCAATTTTGAATGGTGGTAGTTTGCGGTAATTAGGGTCACACAAATAAAACACCAATAAAATTTCATAATTTACCTCAATAAATACAGACATACTCATAGAAATAAATCAATTCTTGATTAATTGTTTTATTATTTAGGATTAAATTATTAGCAAAATTCGCTTATTTACAACTATGAAAGTGTTGGCCCTTAGCAGACGTGGGTTAACCGTTGACAATTGATGACAAGAATTGGCAACGGTTAACCCACGTTTTTCATATGCGTGACATTTGTCTTGTGGCCATACAAAGATAACTAAAGCTTATTACTGCTTGAACGTTCATGGTGATTTTTAACATTAACATAATATTTTACCCGTATTCCACAAATAAATGAGTGATTCATTTCCGAAAGAATCAAAGTAAATAAAAACTTTTTCAAATTGGCAAAACTCTTTTTGATATCGTAATGTTTTGTAAAAAGGGTGAAAGACCCATTATTCGGAAACTATACGATGATGAAAATTTTAAACGCTAATAATTTCACATAAGACCTTAGTTCGTAACAAGTATGTGATATTCGCCATTACACACATTGTTTTTTTCATGGTTCTGAGGGTAATACACTTTCGTCAGATCAGACAGATCTTAGGTACTATAAAACTATGTTGCCGAAAATAGATTATTCGCCCTTTTTACAAAACATTAACGATTATGTTCCTAGTCCAATATTATAGATATAGGCAATAAAACCTACACAACATTACATTTAAGTATCAAACATCAAAGGACGGAGCAAAATTTTGTGGGACATCTAAATTTCCATACAGGGATACAGGGATTGAGATATGGTCACCCTTAAAGACAGTGACAGACTGCCTATATACTTTATAGTGTGCTGCTCACTGGGCCAGTTTTGTCGGTAACATGTTATATGGTGCTGTCAATTCTGACACGATTCTCTAAACTTAAACTTGACTATAATGTATCCTTGTCTTTCTTTAAACAGAATGAAAAGGAGAGACTGAAGTTAAATTTACTTTTAAGTTTAGAGTATCATGCCCGAATCGACACCATAATCTACATGCATAGATACGTTATTTTATAGTTTGGCAATGGAGTTGTTAAAACTAAACCAAAATTCGCATTTTCTATCGTTAATTGCATATTCTATAGATAATTATTTCGAATTTCTTGATTTGTCATAGCTATAACAAAGGTTACATCATCGTTTATTATAATAATGAGAAATAATTGTATTAGTGCAAAATTACCACAGAGATTGTAGTTCATTAATGTAAAATGAATATTTCTGTGATATGTGTGATATATACTACACTACACAAGACTATAATAAACAAGCATTTATAACAATACACATTCTATTGTTACTTAAATTTTCAATTATAATAAACAGTATTTGTTTTGTTACTGCGGTCAATTTAATTTGTCTACTACAGGGGTGTGTTGTGTAGGTACAGCAACGCAACGCAATAATGCAACTTTGGTTAAAAACGCTCTGTCTAGAGGCGTTGAACGACCTGCTTTATGTCAAAATTGTATCGAAGCGCGGGAGATTTAAAAAATAAAAGGCGCAATTTTTAATTTCATTCTAAGTAATAGACATTTATTTTCATTAATGTACTCAGAAGAGATAAATGGAACTATAATTTCCGTATATCCGTTCTAGTAACGATAAGTGATTTCTTACTTACATCAAAAAAATATTAAGAAACGAATATTCGGCTCATGTTCGTCATATGGGTGTTGAAATATCCAACATTATTTCTGACTATAGTCTGAAATATGGAAAATCAAGAGCAAAGGCGATTCCGTGATAGTAAAGATAGATCTTAAAATTTAAATCCAAGTTGTAGGTTCGACTTTTTTTTAATAATAATTTGCCTGATGTCGGTTTTCAGATGGTGTTAGTTATGGAAGCCGGTGGGTCCTGTTTGCTGCGTCTCTAGTTCTAACTATTCTAAATAATTTATTGTGACAGGTACAAAATATTAGAACTTATTTTTTATTTATTTACATATCTACTATTTAACTCTGTATTATTTGTAATAAAATTTATACTTACTGTTATTTAGTTTCTTTCATTATTTATTTTATTATAAGTAGGTGCTTTTGTTTCCACTTTATTAATCTGGCACCTATTGCTTAGTTTTAATGGCTGAAGATCGTGACAAGAGATAATTGACATAGTAAAAACTAAAATCAAAATTCTACCATAACTAAAAAAAATGTTATTGCAACCAATACGGACAACTTCGGTGGGTTTTGGTACCTTGCAAAGTTGCAATCATCAGCTTCTGTAATAAACAACAATAGGTTAAGTATTATTTCATAGAACCACTATATACCTCGTTATTTTTTTATGAATAACTAGTTGAAACTTTTTAAAATAAAGCATAAATTGTTCGTAATTATTCTATTGGATAGTAAAAAGATGTAAGAAGATAAAAAAAATTGTATGTACTAACCAGTAGGTTACTCATTAAAAAGGAAATAACTTAGGTTTATACGTCGTAGAATGATTTGATAAACCGAATTTTCGCGAAAATTCTAGGAAATTTGCGAAAGCGTGGATTTACATGACAATTATACAATGACGATGACGTTTCTCAATCATACTGAAAAAAGATAGGATTTTTGTGAAAACACGGGACACCTCAGTAAGATTGCGAAAAGAATCATTGACTTATTATTAATATTCTTGGGTTCACGCTAGGTTAGCTTAGTGTTGTGACCATGATGCTAGCGAAGCCCCGAAAGAAAAATTATTCCAGTAAGATTGAGCAAAGTCAACGCCGTTGTCTAATTATCCGCGTTTTGGCAAAATATATAGGACTTTTTTACTGCGCTGCATAAACGGTTATTATAAACAGTGCATTTTGTAAGTATTTAAATCAAAAGAAAGGATAAAGTCAACATAGTCTCCGGATAACAGAGGAAAATAAGTTTTATTGACAGGTAAATAAAAGCCCTATTACCATGTGATCAATATTGGTGCTAATTATGTCCTAGACCTTGCTAAAATCAAATCCTTATCATTCCATAATCCGTAATAAGGCTTCAAGGCTTAAGATTCGTAAAAGGTAAAAGAGAGTGCAAGCAATGTACACAGTAAATCCCAACTAACCTAAAAGTAGATATCTCTTCTTAATAGCAATATAGTCGACTTGTGGTATGCTTAACCGACATTTAACTTCAATATTTGTATCCCTGCACTTAGATATGACTAATTGTGTTGTGCACTCGGTGACATACAATAAATTTATATCGCGCCACACGCGTTGGTATTGTTGAGAAATAGGTTCACTAAAAAGCAAGGAAATATTACTTCCTAAAATGATGAAAGATTCAAGAATTTAATGCTAATTCAAGTGTTTACTTATGGTATTCAAGGATCAAATCTGGTTGGGGATAAACTCCACGGGCAACGCATGCAATGTTGATGACCCCTTCATTTACAACGTTGACATTGAGATCCAACTCTTGCTCTGTACCTGTAATCACAGTTTATATAATATAATAATAGCTACCCTACTTGATATAATATAAAAAAAAAACTTGTATAACCTGATGTGGATGCGGACAGCGGCGTAGCGTAGGCTATAGACACCTGGGGCGGAACCATAATTTGCCGCCCTTGTGCCGTAATTATAATACTATTATTTGTGTTATTATTCTTTGTTCGCTTTAGGTTGACGGGTCAAAACTTAGAAGTGACCCGGTTCTTGAAGGATTGCGTGGGGATATTAATCCAACATTTAGAGGCCACATAAAGCGTCTTTATATCTGTTGTGGTAAACATGTTGGATCTAGTCTCTGACTACATCATACTGATATAATCAGAGTCCATCCCCAGCGTCTGTACACGAAACTATTGGATCTACAGGAGTAACAATACTGGGCTATTGTGTTGGATCTGGAAGGGCTGGAATCTGGCCTATGGACGGAATCTTAACGGGGTATTTGCAATCCTGCATATATTATAGTTTTCTTGGCAGGTGGTGACTAGCCGAACTAGACAAATTGTCTTCGGCTAGTCACCCCCTGCCATTTTCTCCCCTATAAAGGCTGGAATGGCAAGGGAGCAACGTGGCCGTACTCGGCTATAGGGTTATAAATTGGTTTCTACCCGCTATCTGCGAAGAACACTCGCATCTTACGTGACCACCCAGGACGGCCAATGAAAGCAAACCAGGGGTTAGATCCTGCAAACCCCTTCGGTTTACACTCCGGTAAGCCATAGTTGAGGGTCTTATTTGGTCCTCGGGAACAATTCCATAAATACATATTATTAAGGCTACCAAGAGAATCTAATTTTGAAATTCCGCGCGCGCTCTTTCGGGTATTTCGCGTTTGCGTCACCTAATGCCGCCTCCCTCGATACCGTCTTCTTAAGGTACGTAGGCGCTTTGAATCGGTGTTAGAAAAAACATTTTGTGTTATACCTCAACCATATTTTTTTTTATTCACACTTTACAATTATGTTACCAACATCTGTCCGTCCAAACAAACGATATGGGTGGTAGCTAGATAACTTATAAATACATATAAACGTCCATAACAATTAGGAAAACGCTAGTGTTCATCACACAAACATTTACGCTCCGGGATTCGAACCCGAGGCCGCTGGATTCGTAGTTCGTAGTCAGGTTCACTGACCGCTATGCCAAGTAGGTCGTCATTAGCCAGCACGGTCAATGACTACCCACTTGGAATAGTGGTTGTATGTAATGTCAGTATAAAGTTATTATTTATATAAGTATTTCAGCGCAACATTATGTTCTGCCTGAATATCTATGGCTGTGCAACTACCTACCTCGCTGAGGATAGATAAGTATAAAGTGTGATGCTACTTAGATGTTATATCAATATTACCTTTGTTTGACACAAACCATGGACTTACTATAAACTAGCATGCTCTTTGTCTCCCTGGTTACAACGCCTTTGCTTTCAAGGACACACGTGTATTCGCCACTCAAGTGTGGCTCCACTCGAACTAGTCGAAGTTTTCTTCCTTCATCTGCCAGTTTCAGTGTTCCTTTTGATATAATTGGACATAGTAATATTATTAAGAAAAACAAATAAATACTAAGTATCATCAAAATATTTTTGTGAGGTGCGCAGTATCGAAATCCATAAAAACTTTATTTTTAGTAAATGCTGCTGATCTTAAGATCTATCAAACAATTGTCAGCAAGGATGGCCATAGCAGATTCCAACAAAATTTAGAACATCCCCATTAAATATATATTCATATTGCTCTTAGTGAATTTAAACTGATTTTAATTGATAATATTATTAGTATGTCGATAGTAATAAGTAGTCAAAGATGTAACTGACTGGCCATTGTGAAAGTACCTTAAACTCCACGATCGCAAGCTGAACGCGTTTACCACTGCGCCATAGAAATTCTCTATTACATTTACTAATATTTTTTTCCTAACTTACGTGAACTGTTTAAAAAAAGATCCAGGTGTTCTTCTAGTATGCCAGTGACCTCGGGCATTTTGTGGAGAGGGCTCCACTTGTAGACAGATGTGTTATTTCCATTGAACAACCATTGTAACACAAAATTACCATCAGGCACATAATATTGACAGTCCAAAATGACATCAGTGCCGCTCTGTACCACTTCAGGTACGACTAAATTTACAATTTTAGTTGAGCTTACAGTATCTATAGACAATGAGAAAATAATAAGTGCATTCAATTAAAACAAATTAAAATCTAAAAGATTGAAAAACCATCAATTTGTCCAAAATCAATAAATGTAAAGGGTAGAAACGCCAGGGTAGGCAACGGCGCCAGTGATACTATGGCAACGCAAAGATCTATGCATGCACTGTAGCGGCATCAGCCAGACTAATAATGTTGCCGTTGGCACCCTTTTAAATTGCAGAAACTTCGATATTTATGATATACACATACAATGCGATTCAAATAAATGGATAGGGAAGCCAATGACCTCCATCTGTCAAATGTCGCTTAAAAGTACTTTTTACTTGCAAAAAAATCTTGGAACACTTTTTTAGCACTGATCACTTCATCACGCGGATCACTTTTGAGCCGCGAGTGCCGTATGGAAGATACGGCAGTTTTTTTTTATCTAAGACTAAAGTAGTCTCTTTCACACTCATTCATAAAGCAGATTTCATCTCGCTCTTTAGTCTCCACGTCTCAACGGTGTCACCAATTAATCACTAAATATTTTTACACTAATTTCTTTAAAACTGTACTCAAAAAGCACGTTTTTCCTGTCTCTACTATAGTTCCCGTGTAATTTGTGTCCTATCTAAAAACACAATAGGTCTTTTAGTTTGGAAAAATGTAAAATATCTACGTTGCAGCGGTGTGTAGCCGCGGCGAGAGAGCGTACTCGACTGAATGCAAATCGGGTAATTACCTGACTTTCGTATTGCCAAATTAAGAAGAGTGTTTGACGTATCTATAACTATAAAACTTCATAGGTTATTCGAATTCTAGACATTTTCTTTCACTATTAGTTTTGAAAAAACTATTACTTAGTTGTTTTGGTAATAAAAATGAGCGAATTACGGAATTGAGCCGTCAGGTAGGGTTTTTAAAAACTAAACTTTAAATTATAACTTTATTTATTTAAATGTTTTACAAAATTACTTATACTAATTGATCCCGATGATCCGGTCTTACAAACTATACGTCAAGATGCTTCCACGATTGAAGCTCAAGCAACTCCCAAAAGTGTCCGAAGGTTTTACATGAACTAAATCTGTCTAATAAGCACTTTTCAACACGATTGCTCAATCGAGCCACCTGCACTTGGGAAACACATAATGTACGCGTGACGTATGAGTGACGTAGACGAGTCTTGTACTCGTAACACCTTCCCTCCTAGATGAGCAACTATTTGCGAAGATTGAAAGCAAATGTTGCGACTTTTCTTTCTTCGGTGGATGGTGTAGAACCCGCTGATGCCATTTCCATCTCTTGAGGCTGTGTAGATTTAACTCGCTGTTGGTTCTTACGCCGTCTCAGGTAGTAAGCCACACTAATGAGTGCAAGTGCACTTAACAGTATGATGACGTATATAGGTATCGTGGTGTGGTATAAGCTGGATAAATCCACGGTGTTAATTCTAACAGGTGGGTCCATGAGTAATTGATGTTGAATATTGTGTAATTTGTTCAAATCAATTGTTGTGAAATTATAATGTGGTAAGTTTTTCTTCGAATTTGCTGACATCGGAGTCGAATGTGGGAATGTCATTATTTCAACAGGTTGCCCACGAAATTTGTCATCAGTATTAACAATTGTGAATTCTGGTGTGTGAATGCTGCAATTTCGGGGAATCGTTGCGAAGTAGCTTCCTTTTAACAGATGATATTTTTCTTGTCCGCATGATATTTTTACTTTGATTTTGTTAGGTAATGATAAAATATAATGTTGACTCTCCAGTTCTAGTAGTGCTTCCTTCAGGAGTGATATGGATGTAGGATGGCACTGTCCTGTATTCTGATGATAAATGAGATTGAAGACGCAGTCACTGAGTGTTCGGGTTTGATGGTTAAACTGCTGCTTGCATATGTAACAGGTGTCGATCTCGGGCATTCAGCCTCCATGTACGCAAATTCCTGGGAATTGGATGCCATGTATGGGAATGGTGGAAGGATAATTTCTGAGTTTTTATTAGGAACAGGACAGAGTCTATAAAGGTCACATGTTTCTAGAGACATTATAGGAAACTTCAAGACAATTACGATTTTCTTATCAATAAAATATGATCCTAAGGTAATTAGATCGTAATAAAACCTAACATCTAAGTTTAGTAACGCATTGGGATTATATAGATTTTTAAGCTTAGTTAGTTAACATATTTTTTAAATCACTTATATATAGTATAGAATGGTGCATTACGTTTGTGCGACTAAAAGCTAAAATATTACCTAATCTAGTTATTTCAGATGAGAGTTCCAGTATATTTTCCGTAAGTATGCTAAATAATTGGGAAATCTGCGTAAATTGATACATCTGTTCTTTTTCAGTTACAGATGTATTACTTATTGAAATTATTGCTTTTTCTAATTTTCTTTGATTTGAAGAGATATTTAAAATTTGAGTTTGTTGGATGATCATTTCTTTATATAAACTAATATGCTTATTAAAACTATCCGAAAGGTCTTATATTTTTCGGTACAAATTATTACGGAAAGTGGCTTGTTGCATGAAATGGTATTTAAAAGGTTTAAATTGATGTGTAAGCATTCCAGAATTGAATTGTCTCGAAGGCATAAGTGAGTCATGCGAATTAAAAGGTGAGTAATTAAACGGGGCATTGTTAATCGATTTCTTAGAAATTAGCGGGTTACTGTCTTTCGATTGTAAGTATAAGACGTTTAATTCTTCCTGAGCAAATTCCAAGGCCTTTTCTAGCGAGTCGGGGCGCATGCACCTGACACGTGAGCCTAAAGGCTCGGCTAGGCCTCTGGTATATGTTTGAAGAGCTAATTTTTTTGTAAAGTGAACTTTAGCCTCAACTGTTGTTTTAATTTGTTCGTGTAATTCTACATAAGTCATAATTATACTAAGTAAATTTTGAACTCGCTCGTAAAATATTTGCGGTGTATCGGAACCTTGAGTTAACATAGATAAATCGGTGTATAGGGCGGACTCGTCTCTGTGATCCGAAAAGCTGTTAATTAGCGCATTTCTTATGCCATTCCAGTCCGGGGGGATGCCATTTGTTGCTAATGTTTTAGCAGCAGGTCCGGTTATTTTATTTAAAATTCCATTAATTAAAGCGTAATTATTTAGTTCATTTCCCGGAGCTGGATTAACATATGTTAAAATCAGTTGGTCGAAAATGTTCAAAAATCTAATTAAAATGTTCGAATTTCCATCAAACTCAGGAACTAGCCTTAAAGATTTCCAAATCATTTCTGTCATATCGTTTGAATAGGCTACAGATTGTGGTTCGGTCGCCATTTCTTCTTCTATGCTTTCTAATGTAGATAATTCGATTTCGCGATGAAACCTTAATTCTCTAGAATTAGGACGAATACTGCGCCGCAGATTCGGTCCTATATCTCTACTTTTCTTTGGAAAAAAAATCTTGAAAACTTTCTAAACTATTAAAAGAAAACTTAATTAATTTACTTATTAAGTCCTACGGGAGACAGGAAAGGGGCCGCTGTCAGCCAATAGGAATAACTAGCAATCTTTCTAACTATAAAAAAATTAATTTACTTATTACGTCCTACGGGAGACAGGAAAGGGGCCGCTGTCAACCAATAGGAATATCTAGAAATCTTTCTAACTATTAAAACAAACTTATTTAATTAACTTATTACGTCCTACGGGAGACAGGAAAGGGGCCGCTGGCAACCAATAGGAATACGTAACTTATATAATAAAACTCACAGGAGCAGGATGCTTAGCTTAGTGTGGTGATGGGCCATCGATTTTTGGATTAGCGCCGGTTTTCGAAGTTGATTCTTCTTTCCCGTCTGACGACTGCTTCGCGTAGATTCGTAGAGATAGTCGACACGCCGACGACACGACTATCAGGCTGATCGAAGTATGATGCTCGCACTGACTCGACTATCCTACCGACTGCGCCAATTACGGAATTGAGCCGTCAGGTAGGGTTTTTAAAAACTAAACTTTAAATTATAACTTTATTTATTTAAATGTTTTACAAAATTACTTATACTAATTGATCCCGATGATCCGGTCTTACAAACTATACGTCAAGATGCTTCCACGATTGAAGCTCAAGCAACTCCCAAAAGTGTCCGAAGGTTTTACATGAACTAAATCTGTCTAATAAGCACTTTTCAACACGATTGCTCAATCGAGCCACCTGCACTTGGGAAACACATAATGTACGCGTGACGTATGAGTGACGTAGACGAGTCTTGTACTCGTAACAAGCGATTCAAGCTTTGATAACACACCACCAGATTAGTCAATGCAGCAAGTACATTGTTCACCGACACGAGAAAGTAACCGATTACCAATGAGGGTGTAATTAGGCCCAGGCCAAGGGCCTTAATACACCCAAGTTCGGAATAGCACTTTCTTTCGAAGGATACATAGTGCTTTATACTATACCTGCGAGGAAATAAAAGACAAATTCTTTAATTGAAATTATATTAAAGTTGTTACAGTTAGTAAACTTTTGCATGGAAACTTTATATTGGTTTTTTGAAATCACGGGTAGAAGCTCTCAATGACTGATTAGGCAGTTTATTTTAATTCTGACGGTGTCAATAAATCTTCATTACATCTTCACCGTCTCTATTGCCAATTCATACTGACAACTTTACGGAACATAAATAAAAAAAAAGAAATTAAAGGAAAACCAGCACCAACAATGAATTTCCATAAACTTTTCTACCCGCTCAGTGCTTTAAAAATAGATTTCCATACACTTTCCAACCCGCTGAGTAGTACAACAGTATGAGGACTTGAGAATAAAGCACTACCATAGCAGGAATAGTATAATATAAAGGACATTTCCAACTCATTTCTATCGGAAAATCACGAAAACAGTATGAGAAAAAAAGGGGTATATTTACTCCTTTTTTATTTATTACATTTATATATATATATATATATATATATAGAGGATTTATTTCATAGGTATAGATAGTCTTATATAGAAACCCACATTCGTGTTTTAATACCCCTCATTATACAACAGCTGCATAAATAACTATTATCAATTTGATTTATTTGAAATAAAAATTAACCCTATTCCATTAGTCACGCCATAACTGTTTTTATCAATTTTTAAAGTTTATAAGACCAGAAAGTTGCACGAAACTTCATCTAACTAAAAAAATAGTCAACGGGAAAATCGCAGGCGGAAGCTTATTAATCTAGGTACATATATTAAAAAAAAGTTATGGCCCCTATAGTCACCCAGAACTTATTATTATGTGGATATACAGAGTAGGACACTTACTAGTACTAGCGAGTAATATTAATAAGGAGCCTTTTATCATAGAGTTGAGAACACTTTCCATTTTTATCACTAATAGATTTGCACTACCTTTAAACAAATAAGAAACGGATTTGGTTCACAAGTATGTGCTTACTGCGTGTCTGCGTAGAGTATGTTCATCTAAACGTGATTCGAGAAAGCGTGAGGTAGGTGGATAGTAAAAGCGAACGTAAATTCTCGGAGGAAATATAACGCAAAGATCCGCACGCCGCCAGTCGCTTGATTATTAATAACAACGTGTGTTAAATATCATAGGTGTGTGTGTACTAATTCGAATTAGTATAATATGTGCTCGCATCGCATTAAATTAATCAATTTATAAATTGACGAATCGTATGAACCGGATATTATTTTTTACTTTTTAGTTCCATTTTCGATGTTTAAGTAGGTTTTTATTTCATTCATTTTAGTCTACAGTGCTACACGTAAAAAACTTAAAAATCCGTACACAAAAGGATCGTGAAAATACATCGTCCAAGTTAACAACTTTACCCTGTCTGCGCGTCGCGCTTCGCGCTCTTGCATTGCGCAGTCGGGTAAAATGCCAGGGATGGAAGCGATATCAAGGCCTAAAATTACTGACTTTTTACGATAAAATTTTCATGACATACTGACCATTATTCGACAATAAAATATAATATACAAGCGGCCTGTTCTGGAACAATTATTACTGGCTCTCCTGCAGCTGCTATCTCGTCGGGTGCAGACTTGATATCGTAAATTCACACGAGCAACAGTACACAAATCGTCGGAGGTTATTGGAACTACAATGTACAACGAGGCACACACTCTTCCATTTTTTTTCAGAACAGGAAAAAAGCATAAGTAACGTTGGGTTCGGACAAACTAATAAAAAACAAAAACGTGTGCGGGAACGGAATCAACAATACTTTTTTCTTTTTTGGTAAAAATAAAAGTTGTAACGCGTCAACTAGGCAAATAATTGTTAATTTACATATAGATCATAAGTGGGCGTACAGAATAATAGCTGAGCATTTACATTGATCTGTTAAGAAAGTTTTTAATGCAATTGATCATTATAAAACATTAGACATTCAAGAATACATAATATTTTTCAACAGTGGGTCCCGACTGTTAAAGTAGCTTTGTTCCTTATTAACAGAATTATAGACTACTGGACTTGTTTTTTTTCTTTTCAGTTTTTATTTGAAGAATAATTAAGCAGTCGGGTTTTTAGATTTTTTAAATTTACCTTTTTTATTTCACACTTTTTAGTTAGTATTTTAAGATGGTATATACCCGTAGTCTTGTTACTTCAGTAAGGGAATGAATATCGCGGGAATTATTAAGTACCTTGCGTCGGTCTAAAAGATTGATTTATTAAGACATATAAAGACTTTAACCAGCGGGGTCAAGGCTACAGATGGGCCTCAATTTTCGCAGAAATGTGTGAAGTAAAATCAAGTCGTTACATAAATATCTCTAATGTATGTAAATTTTATAGTAAACTTACTCAAAAACTCATCTTTTGTTTATGTTTTTTTAATAGTTTAGCAGTAAATATAAAATTCATTTACTTTTATTCGTCGACTATTTAAAATTGGCAGTGGCTGCATTGTCATGTCAATGCCGGACGTCTAAGATTGTGATATACACAAATTCAGTGTCAGTCCCTAGTCTCATAATTTGATATACCTACATAATTCATAGAAACCCAATATGTAGATGCCAGAAGTTAACTTCAAATGATTTTAATCACCCTATATACAATACCAATCAATGACGTTTATGTCGCAGGTTGAAGAAAGCAGTAATTCCCGTCTGTTGTTTTGGACAATGGTGGCAACTGCCTTAGATCACTAAATTAAATAATTATGCAATCACCAAAGCAAAGTTTATAATATTTGATTAAACTAAAGGCGCATAATAAAATTTTCATAACGTTAGGTAGAGCACCATAGCAATCTCATTTATTATCAATTTATAGTTCTCTTTGTAGTTTTCTTTTTAAAGCGTTCACATTTAACCAGGGGCGGTTTATGCACTAGGCCCGCTAGGCCCGAGCCTAGGGCGCCGTGGCAGAAGGGGGCGCCACGGGCCGATAAATTTGAAAGATTAGAAGCGAGAAAGCGAAGGTTTTAATCGGGTCCACTCAAACGTCAATATCGCCAATATAAAATATATATGTGCTCCATTCCTACCCACAAACCTACATAATATATGTATGATTGAAATTCTGTTTCCGTTAAATTATTTTTGAAATACACTCCCGCTCAAAAGTATGGGTTCACTTCTCGAAATTTTCAGCTTCGGTATAAGTTCCATATCTTAGTGGAAAAAGGTCGTAAGAGAATTTAATGAGCACCCTTTTGAAGGGGACAGTTTTAGCTTCACTTTGCCATTTTTTATATTTTTTTACAATTTTTTTTATAGTCCCCACGCGCTTTTGAACATGGCAGTTTTTCGATGTTTTTTTGCCCTCTGGAAACGGGCTGTCTGGCTGTTAAAAAATTTTCCTTACAATTTCATTCATCGCAGTTTCAAAGAGGATATTAAACACTGCATTTTTGTTTTTGAAAAAGTATCTTGCGATTTTTTTTACCAAAAATATTCTAATTTTCGACAAAAATTGATAATTTTATTCAATTCGGCGAATCTTGAAAACGGCGGGTGATCGAAGAAAATAGCAAGGGGGTGTAAAGTTGCAATAGATCATGATGGACATGGTAGATTTATTTCAGAATTTTTTTCCGACATTTGTTTTTTCATACTCTTGCAGTCGAAATGATTTAAATTTTCTCATGATTTTTTCTTTTTTTTAGACGGCGCAGGCATTTCTTTTATTGGTTTTATAACCATCTTGACGTAATTTTTACTAAAAATCAAATTTCGCACAATTTTTTGTACGTTTTTTTCATTTAAAAAAATTAATTTTTAGTTCAAATTACGTCAAGATGAAGATGAAACCAATAAAAGCAATGCCTCAGCCGTTTCGAAAAAAGAAAGAATCATGGGAAAATTAAAATCATTTCGACTCCACGAGTATGGAAAAACAAATGTCGGAAAAAAATTATGAAATAAATCTACCATGTCCATCATGATCTTTTGCAACTTTTCACCCTCTTGCTATTTTTTTCGATCACCCGCCGTTTTCAAGATACGCCGAATTGAATAAAATTATCAATTTTTGTCAAAAATTAGAATATTTTTGGTAAAAAAAATCGCACGATACTTTTTCAAAAACGAAAATGCAGTGTTTAATATCCTCTTTCAAACTGCGATGGATAAAATTGCAAGGAAAATTTTTTAACAGCCAGACAGCCCGTTCCCAGAGGACAAAAAAAACACCGAAAAACTGCCATGTTCAAAAGCGCGTGGGGACTATAAAAAAAATTGTAAAAAATTATAAAAAATGGCAAAGTGAAGCTAAAACTGTCCCCTTCAAAACGGTGCTCATTAAATTCTCTTACGACCTTTTTCCACCAAGATATGGAACTTATACCGAAGCTGAAAATTTCGAGACGTGAACCCATACTTTTGAGCGGGAGTGTATAAAAATCATTTATTCTAGCCTGTGCTTTTTCAACTATTTTATGGAGAGGGGAGAGGGGGCGCTAATTTCGTCAGGCCTAGGGCGCCCGTTTTCGTAAACCGCCCCTGCATTTAACAGGTCAAAGACTTTGTGTTCGACCCTTTTTTATTGGTAGTGTAAAGCTCGAATGAAGAGTACTCCCAGTAGTGCAATCATGGCAATTATTTTCCAAATTTTTTTTTTGTTATAAAAATACCGAATAACGTATCACTGTTAAGCACAAATGCTAAGTAACTTTTACAAATATAATCTATTACTTACTTTATTTTAAAATCTTTTTCATCAATTAAATACTTATTTTATCTTAACTATCTATACTAATATTATAAAGAAGCAAGATTTGTATGTTTGTAACAAATAATCTGTCAAACTACTGAACCGGTTTCAAATATTAATTCATCATAAGGTAGCTACATTATTTATTATAACATTTTTCTTTATTTAAATACATTTTGTCCGAGTGACATAGGCTATATTTTATCCCGATGAATAAATTTCGCCCTTACAATGCCCGGGTGGATCACTAGTATAATATAATATTATAGATGCGAAAGTGAGTTTGTTTGTTGCGCTTCCGTGCCCTAATAGCTAAATCGAATATAATGAATTCCCATATAGAAGTAGATGGGAACTTGGTTCTTAGCTACAACATCACAATACTTATAGGCGTAGGGTGATGAAAGGGGTGATTTACCTATAAAAATCTACATTATTTGCTTTGAATTTTGCAGAATTATTACAAAACCAATATTATCGTGAGCTGATTAATAAATACAGGGATTCCAATAAGTATGTACTTACTAGCGAAAAATGGGTTATTTGTCATTATATTAAATAAACCTTTTTTGTAACATTAAGTAATATCGTTAAAAAAATGAAAAACAGTAAAATTCTGAGTTTTAAAACTACATAAATTATTATATATATGTAATTATCATATATGAGCTATATTACTGTTAAGTTTCATTAAAATCCATTCAGTATTTGTTAGGTGAAAGAGTAACAAAGATCCATACAAACGTAAGATTGAAATTAAAAGCGTAAGTGGTTAATATACAACTTTAAAGCGTTGTAGATCCTAAACAATCATATAAAATGAAAAATGGTGTTAGGAACCTAAATATGATTTTTGATTATCTAGACAGTGATACCCCACTCGACATATTTTGTCAACTTATTTTTTTATTTCGTCACAATGTGGCGCCTAATTTTGCCCATATTGAATTTTGATTACTATCATATCTTTAGTAGCACTCCCATGATTGAGACGAATCGATTGATGTATGAATCATCAAAATCGGTCCAGGCGTTTGGTCTCTAGTGTGCCACAAAGGAACAAACATACATATATAGACTGCTAAACACATAACCCTGTCTGCGCGTCGCGCTTCGCGCTCTTGCATTGCGCAGCCGGGTAAAAAATCCCAAGGCTGCAACCAGATTAAACATAAGCTTTTTCGCCTGACGATCCGAGAAACATCTTGTCAAGACTGATACGCCCAAGATTAGTGGAAGCTAAATTGTTTAGAAGAATCGCTCGAAAGCAACCACTTCATACCTAGCAATACCGAGAGAAGCGATTATTATTCGCTAAAAAATATTTTAAACGGACACGGTAAGAGATGGAAAAAAACTGTTATTCTCAGATGAAACAAAAATAAATATCGATACCATAATTTGCAAACCTGATGACTCCACTTTTTCACAAAAATTACATTTTGATACCGGCAGAAACTAGATCTTTGCTCTATTTTTTGAAATAATAATGACTCTATGATTCTCAACTGTATTGGTGTAAAACGCCATTTAAAAATCAAACAACTCACGTCACTTCACTCACAAAGTTTAGAGAACCTAAAAAACCTTTTAAATCTTTTTAAAGAACTCCCCCTATACAAAGTTTCATGCGTCTGAACCAATTGTTAAATAATTTTTTCCAGTCCTCCGCAGGCACCTCTTCCACGGCTGCTCGCTGCTAGCGCTTCTTCCGGCGATGAAAACTGTATCTCTTTTAGCTGATTTTTTATTTTAGGGAATAAAAAGAAGTCACCCGGAGCCAAATCAGGACTGTAAGAATGGTATCCCAAGACTGATTGGTGTGGAGTCCAGGAAGTCCTTCGTTTTGATCGCAGAGTGACGCGCAGTGCGCGTTGTCGTGGAGAAGGACCCCGCGGAGCCCGGAGTTAGGTCGCTTGTTGCTCATTGCAAAAAAAACTTCTGGCAGGCATTTTGTGTTATACCATTTGGCGTTGATGTTGCTTTGGTCTCGAAGTGGAATTGAAATTAGGTACCCCGTCAAAGTGAAAAAACTAGCGATCAAAATTTAATTGTCCCCGTGAGGGTGGAGGAACTAAAAAACTTATATGACGAAAGAAGAAAAATCACGAAAAAAAAATATTTCTGATCTACAGCAACTTAAGTCATCTATGCCCCATGATTACCACGCCTATTACGATGCGTTGCCACACGAAAATTAAGTCTTTTCATTTATAAAACATAATTTGTTTGTACGATTGTACTCTGCTTAAAGTTTAAGATAAAAACAAACAACTTCACTTTAAGTTTCAATTATTGCCTAAACTAAATAAATTATAAAACCCAATGGTTATAAAAAAAAAGATGTTTAAGTGTTTTAGGTAAATAAAAAGCATAATTTCCAAAAGGATTTTTAGTTTTCTTTATTGCGTTAAATAAAATTTATTAGGACGTTTTAAGTCTCTCCCGTAAAGTTTGCTTCAGAGGAGTTAGTTGGTTTGCAAATTAGGGTACCGATATGGTAAATTCCGATGGAAAGCGCTATGTTAGAAGTCCTATAAACAATGCTTTTATTTATAAATACACAAGGAGTATAGTCAAGCACGGTGGCGGTAACCTTAAAGTTTGGGGTGTTTTTCCGGATGTGGAGTTGGACCCGTTCGGAAGATTGAAGGTGTACCTTCAATCTTCCGTTGAAATCCATTGTAATGGATCAATGTCATTACAAAAATATCTTAAGAGCACACAAGGATTCCCTACTCGGACGATCATTTGCCTGTAACCTGGATCCTTCAGCATGACAATGACCCTAAACACACGGCCAATAGCGTCAAATGTTTCCTTGGCGAACAGCGTATATCTGTTTTAGACGGGCCAACAAATAGTCCGGATTATTTTTATTATATTTAACGATATATTTTTAAATAGAAAGCTTCAACCAAACGTAACACCAGTGAAAACAAACTATATGAAGCATTTGTTGAAGCACGTAATTCAATCCCCATGTTTTGAAATTGATTGAATCAATGCCACGTCATTGCAGTGCTGTTATTGGAAATTAGGGATGCACCACTAAATATTAATTATAACTATTGTTAGACTGTGGATAGTAGCTATTGCTTAAAATAAGAATACTAATTACTAATACTTAAAAAAAATATTGTTTTTATACTTTTTTAACGTTGTTTCTAAAAGGCTAGTTGATCCTTTTTGGAAAAAGGTTTTAAATGGTTAATAAATGTTCTATTAGACCGAAAAAAATGTATTGCATTTTTTTGAGACCTAGAAAGCTACAAATCTTTAATTTTAAAATAGACTTTTCATGGACATACAAAAACGCTGTCGGCCATTTTAGTCTATAAATTATCTATGCTATGACGTCGACGTTAGTAAACAAAAACTCGTAAGCACGTAGAAAATAACCTGAGTTTATAATAAAAAAAAACATGATTTCTAATAGATACCACGAAAAATATAGTAATTATCATTATTGTATTGTACGAGAATGTAAAAACACATCCTTGAAGACTCCAGGAAAGTTGTGTTGTGTGCCGAAAGAAATTAACCTACGCAATACCTGGTTAGAACTTGCTAAAAGTGATCCTGCAACTTTATCGACTCATAGTAAAATTTATTTTTGCGAAGATCACTTTCATGTAAGTACTCATTGAATAATATTTTAAGTCTCTTCATTTATTATCAGTTTTAATAATACAAGTTTTAAAGTTATGTATGAATGACATTGAATTGTTTACTAAAAGAGACGTCACAATCATGGCGGATGTGGCGAACAGCGTTTTTAGTGTTTAAAAAGTATAGACATAACTGATAAATCATTGAACATATTGTTGTCCTATTTATTGTTTAATTTCAAAATAAAAACGATAGCGGTGAAGTTTCTTACATAATCTCAAGGATCGCTGGTAGTGTTTCTAATTATACGACCGCCACTGTATATTACCGGCAATTTGCATAATTAAAGTACCTATTCTATGCAATGTCTAGGCAATGTATAGAATGCCTGAGGCGTCTTGGTTTGTCTTCGTCTTGTCATGGTTTTATCATGCTTTGTGTACTATAAGAGTTCGACAGTCAGACGTGATAAAATAAAATAGATTGGCAGTATGCTCTAAAATTTGTTAGTGTAATAATATCTACAGTAAATTGGATTCTTGTATAATAAAAGTAATGGATAATTTGTGAAATAATTTTATTTCATTAAATTATAATATAGTTAATACTATTTTGTTTAGTGGGTAATAAAACTAAAATATACTGATTAATTACATGAAAGCTAAAGAAGAAAATAATTTGTAATAAGAATGTTACCATCACATTGTGGTTGTGACGCTCTTTGTGAATGTTTAACTATGCAAAGCTAATATTTTAAATCAAATTAAGATGTAAATGCAATTAATAATTTAAACATTTTATTGAATACACGTTATGTGTGGTCACACAAAGATTAATTCATTGTGTTTACCTGAAAAAGAAAACAATGTAATTAGTATTTTTATTTTTCATAAAAGTAGTGACAGTGCTTTTTTCCTATGATAAGATTAGTTAAATTTGGATTATCCTCATGAGTTATATTTTTTTATTCTTTATAGACGAAAATAATATTATATTTCCACTGAACACCAAAATATACTGAAATATTACAATGAGGCAAGATGAGGTGAGGTTAATCTCTGAACCGATTTTGAAAATTCTTTTACCAAATAAAAGACACGTTATTCGTGTATAATTTATAAAAAAAATAGAATACACTGAAGCGAAGCGAAGGCGGGCCACTAGTAATAAATAAATAGAAATGTATTTTACTATGCACAACTTTATTAAATTATTTATTGAATTCGGACGGCCAGGGCCATTCGCAAATTTTTGCTCAATAATATTGTTTGAAGTTTATTTGAATCTTAGCTACTTTTAACATCAAAAAGGAAAAGTTTTTGATGTCTCAAGACACCATATTTAAAATATCGGGTATTAAAGTAACTGCAATTTTTTCTAAATAAATGTATGTAGTTTTGGGCAACTTGTGATTTCTCTACAGTCAGGTACTTGTATTTGAAACATATTACATTTACTTCATTTTATTTGCGTATAATAGAATACAAAAAAGTTTATTTAAAACCGTTACACCCACAGTCTGAGGTATAACAAAGGCCACTTAAAGTTGGCACTGATTCCATCGATGTAGAAATTTTCTAAGGCTTACGATGTCGTCGATCTTGAGTATGGCGCGCACGGTCTCGGTGGCGAGCGCGAGCGCGCTGGCGGTGACGTGCAGCGGCTGCAGCACGTGCTCTTGGCGCATGTCGGTGACGCGTCCGCGGCGCACGTTCACGCCTGCGCCCGACCACGCGCCAGTCTCCGCCCCTGCCGCGTGCGCCGCGTGCAGCTCCGTCACCGTCTCGATCGGGTTCAAGCCTGAAGTATTATAAGTATCCATATAATAATTATCACGGCCGCAGCACGTGCTCGCGGCGCATGTCGGTGACGCGGCCGCGGCGCACGTTCACGACCACGCGCCACACTTCGCGCCCGCCGCGTGCAACTCCTTCACCGTCTCAATCAAGTTCGAGCCTGACATGATACTTTTATTCTTTCAAATATCATGCACACATTTATCATACATAATTATCGATCGGATACTCATTCGAATTAAGGCTGTATGTTAATCTGGTCTGTCGTCAATTGATATTTTTTACACCATCTTTAATTTTGTAAATACCCTCTTTACACTTTTTATTTTATAATCTATATTGAGCTTTGATAGGTGACAGTGGGATACCTTTTCGCGGCAAAATACCTTTTAATTAGAAGGCCCATAACTAAGGTGCGAGACGCTTACTGACCTGCGTTTTCAGCGAGCGTGGAGGGCACCACCTGGAGCGCGTCGGCGTAGGCCCGCAGGCAGTAGTGGTTCGCGCCGGGCGCGGCGACGGCGGCGCGGGCGAGCGCGGCGGCGGCGGCGGCCTCGGGCGCGCCCCCGCCCGGCAGCAGCGCGGGACGGCGCGCCACGCACCGCACGGCACACAGCGCGTCGTGCAGCGAGCGCGCCGCCTCCGCCACCACCGCGCCCGACGACCCGCGTACGCACACGCACACCGTGCGCCCGCCCTGACCGCACCCCGACATCTGAAATACATTATACATCATTTTCACTCACTCTATGCGCCCGTGCTGTACCTGTTAGTCGTTTATCTGCGAAACTACTCATCACTCAATCTCACCAAAGTTAGATGAGTCTATCACAAATAATATCGCAGTATCGACATGTTAATGGCATGCGACGGCGATTACACTAGCTAATTTCGATAAGGTCATTGTGAATTAAATCATCAAAGGCTTCATATACAGGAAAGGCTCGTAACCGACGGCAGCCGTCGACATGTCGACGACAGAATCAAAGGGATCCGGCGAACAAAATAATAGCTGACGGCAGAGATCGACGTTTGCAGTTGCCGTTGAACGCTGCTGTCCGCTGTGCGCCGCTTGTGTGTATGAAGCCTAATGACGAAATTAATAACCTATGACGTTGTACGAGTAATCGTACAGTTTAGGTTATAAATAATATGTTCTAATTTAGATCACGTAGAAACAAGTCATTTACGCGCGGTATTGTGCAATATGCTTAAGATACTACTTTATAATATTAAATTTACATGCAAATAAACAGTGTTAGAACAGCTTTCATTGGGTTTGTTTCGTACATTAACTTTCCCTTACAATTACAATCTGGCACTCTTCTCATATACTGTAGACACACTAGTTTTTTTTGGTCCTTCGAAAAAAAAAACGGTGAATAATATCTGTGGATTTCCATCGTAATTTGGGAAGTACTACTACAATAGCAGTGAGTTACATAATTTTGTGTGCTTTGTGGATTACGTACGACTGCTAATCGGTTGGCTGGCCTCCCAGAAGCGGGTCTCACCAGCTTAATTGAGAAGGCGCAACAAGGTCGTGCGAGATTCGCGAGGACACAGACATCACTGCTATCTACATAGAACAGTTATTCTCTCGTCGACATTCGGGAGGCTGCTACAATGGAAAGTCTACTTCAGCGTCAGAGCGAAATAATTGAAGAAATCAAACGGATTGAAACCAATTTCAAAAAGGATTCCGCTAACAGGAAGACCCGTAAGTACCTGAATGAACGCCTAGATACCCTGGATAAATTGTGGGCTGAGTTTCAACTAAACAACCATAAGTTATCCAATTATGAAAATGACACCGATCCATACTACAAAGAAAACCAATATCAGCAAGCTAGAATATACTTTGAATCTGTGCGAATCCAGGTATCGTCGTTTATCCCAGCTCAGGAAGTTACAACACCAAAGTCACCTGCAATGGTATCACTGCCTTTGCTTATACCACCGCAACCAGCCATGGTGGCTGGACCATCCAAGCAAGATCGTGGTCAGATAGCCGAGCATCTATCGCTACAAAGAACCAACTTCAGAGCTTTTTACCGACTAGTGAATAGCTTACAAGTTGACGACATGCGTGATAAGTGGGAGCTGGAAGATGAGCTACGTAACCTGCAAACACGATGGAATGTAATCGACGCTTTAAATTTACAAATCGATAATGTTCTTCAAGGCTCGGATACACAATATGACAGTGAGTTTTATGCTTATGAAAGATCATACAAAAGTATCAAGAAAGCTCTTAATCTGAAGCTTGCCTCCACGGTGCATCTCCAACAGTCGACACCACAGATAGACATCCCTACATTCACGGGCAGTTACATACAGTGGCCTACATTCTATGATCTTTTTGTAGAGAGTATCCATAACAACAATCTGCTCACAAAGACTCAGAAGATGCAGCATCTGAAGGGAAAACTACGGGGTGATGCCGAGCGCCTCATCCAACATCTGCACATCACTTCCGACGACTACGATACAGCATGGGAGCTGATAACACACAGATATAACAACCCTCAATTGCTGTTCACAAAGCAAGTTGAAATCTTTATGAATCAACCAGTCGCGCACAAACAATCGGCATATGAAATAAGGCGTCTTTTCGATACGTCTATGGAATGCATACATGCCATACAGAACCTCGGTATCAACACAAGTACCTGGGATCCTATTTTGGTTCATATTATCGCCAAGAAGCTGGATGCCGATACGTACAGTGACTACAAGGAGGCACGAAAGTCACCACGTGACTTACCATCGCTTTTCAGAGCTTATGAACTTTTTAGAAAGCAAATTCAACGCTCTGGAACCTATAACAAGGAAGGAAAGGGAGTTTCCCTCAACATCACCTAACAAGCCCTACCTACCGAAAACTACAAACAATAAACCATACAAGCCATATCATCAACATGCTGGCAATCATCGCTATGGAAAAGTTCCGAACAAAGAATTTCAAGCTATTGCGACATGCTCATCGAACTGTCCTATTTGCAACGGCAGTCACTACCTATACAAATGCAGCAAATTCATAAAATATTCACCGGACGTGAGGCTAATGACCGTGAATAAACTCAAGTTTTGCCAGAATTGCCTTTACTCGCATAATGACAATCCATGCACGTCAACAAAAAGATGCAAAGTTTGTAAAAATAATCACAGCACAATGCTACACGACGCCTATGCGAATATGAACTTTATGCAACATCAAGCCAGCCAGCCGACGTCACTAGGTCATCGCCCGTACCTACAGTTTCAGTTACGCAGAGACCTCAAATTTCAAAGCGGCCAGAAAATAAACAACATAGCGTTAATCACGTCGCTACAGATGATGAAGAGATTTTGTTAACCACATTATCAATCAAGGTCAAGTCTGCTGACGGCACTTACATAACGTTGAGGGCTCTACTAGACCAAGGCTCGCAAATTTCACTGATCTCCGAAAACGCGGCGCAGATGCTGGGCTTACCTAGACAACGTTACCATGCATCTGTCTCTGGTATCGGGAATGGATCGAAATGTGGTAAAGGAGTCGTCACGCTCGAATGTCAATCCATTTATCAAGACTACGAATTTGCGACACAGGCATTAGTCATCAAACACGTGATAAACAATTTACCAAACATGTCTTTCAATAAAAAGTTTTGGCCTCACTTACAGCGTATTCAACTGGCTGATCCAGAGTACAACATCTCTAGGCCCATTGATTTGCTACTGGATGCAAGCATCTATTCTGAAATTATCATGGACGGACTTGTTAAAGGCCCGAGCGTGGCACCTATAGCCCAACAAACACGCCTAGGGTGGATACTGTCCGGCAACGTGAAAACATTTAACTGTCACGTTGTAATCAACAACTTATCGGACATATCGCAATATTGGGAGCTCGAAGAAATTACTACACCAGCTACTGAATTGACACAAGAAGAACAGTACTGTGAACAATACTACCAATCCACAACAAGACGGTTATCAAATGGCAGAGACGAAGTTGCTATCCCGATGAAGCCCGGATTCGAACAAAAACTGGGTCAATCAAAACCGCAAGCGATAGCACAATTTTACAATTTAGAAAGAAAGATGCACAAAAATGAAAATTTCGCTGAAAGCTATAAGGAGTTTTTGCGGGAATACCAACAACAAGGTCACATGACTCCGGTTACACAACACCATGATTCCTCGTGCTATCTACCGCATATTGGTGTATTGAAAATGGACTCCACTACAACAAAGTTGCGAACTGTTTTCAACGCATCGGCGAAAACATCAACGGGATACAGCCTCAATAGCTTAATGGAACGAGGACCAAACCTTCAAAAGGACTTACAGCATCTCATCTTAGTATGGCGACAACACCAGTATGTCATAACTGCCGACATCGAGAAAATGTTTCGACAGATTATCATTAGAGAGTCGGATCAACATTTACAACGCATTATTTGGAGAAGCTCACCAGAAGACAAACTACAAGAGTATCAGCTTACTACAATAACCTACGGAACCAAAGCCGCTCCTTACCTTGCAATGCGTACTTTGAAGCAGTTAGCTTTGGATGACGCGCACAAATTTCCACTAGCCGCTTATGCAATAACGTCATCATTCTACATGGATGATCTTCTGGAAGGCTGTGACAGCATCGCTGAAGCTAAACAACTACAACATGAGATTATTGACATATTGAAGGGGGCTGGTATGAACATCCGTAAATGGTCCAGCAACACTGACAAATTAACAAAAGATTTACCAGCTGATCAAGTAGACATGCCACTAGATTTTAAAAACTCTGAAAATCGAAAAACCTTGGGTTTACGCTGGATTCCCTCCACAGACACCTTCGTATTCAAGAACATATTCAAGGACGAGGCAAAGGATGACACTATAACCAAGCGCCAATTACTTTCAAAAATCTCTCAAATCTTCGATCCGCTTGGCTGGTTATCTCCACTCACTATACGAGCAAAACTTCTATTTCAACGAACATGGTCTGAAGAAACCGCTGATTGGGACACATTTTTAAGCACAGAAATAAACAACGAGTGGACAAACCTGAAACACGATCTTCAAAACATAGAAAAATTCAAGATAAAAAGATATCTGGGAAATAAAAATCGATACACAATTCACGGATTTTCCGATGCATCCGAGAAAGCGTACGCTTGCGCTATTTACGTTATAACACCGAACTCTAAGGGCGAGTACACATCGACGCTTGTGATCGCTAAAACAAAACTTTGAAGAACAAATTAACTTTACCCAAACTTGAACTCTGTGGAGCACTACTTCTATCGCAGCTAATGAAAAGGTTCATAGATACTCTACCACCTAACATTCCAATATATGCGTGGACCGATTCTATGGTGGTGCTGGGCTGGTTTCACGGAGACATAAATAGATGGAAACAGTTCGTAGCCAACAGAGTCCGTACTATACTCAACATTATATCGTTATCATCATGGAATCACGTTAGATCTGAAGATAACTCCGCAGATTGCGCCACAAGAGGCTTGTCATCTCAGCAATTATCAAGATATACATTGTGGTGGCAAGGCCCACAATGGTTGAATACATTCAATCCTATCGTGATAGAAAATAAAGTATATCAGCCACCAGAGTTAGAAGCCAAGAAAATCTGTGTGAATGCCGCCGTATGTCACAAGAACGATTTAATATTACAATTATTACATGAATGCAGCTCGACAAGGCGCATAACAACAATACTCGGCTGGCTATCACGTTACATTCAATGGTTGCGTCACAAACAAACACCACGATCGAATACCTATCATCAACGGAAAGGCAACATGCACTGAAATTAATTATAAAAACTGTACAATCGATTGAATTTGAAGATGACATTCGAAATTTACAAAAACAAGGAAAATTAAGAAGCATCAGCAGGTTATTGAGCCTCTCTCCTTACATCGATCTCCAGGATGGATTACTTAAAGTTGGTGGGAGATTGAACAATTCATTACTAAGTCAGTCGACTAAACATCCAATCATATTACCAACCCATGGTAAACTCACTGAGCTCATTATACAGCAAGCACACTCCACTACCCTACACGGTGGACCACGCTTAACCCTATCCATCTTAAGAGAAAGATACTGGATACTCAGTGGGCTTCGTACAGTGAAGAAAGAGTTGCGTAAATGCGTAACTTGTCGACGTTACAAAGAGGAAAACAAAACACAGTTAATGGCGGATCTGCCACAACCTCGTGTTACTCCCTCTCGCCCATTTACTCATACCGGGATTGACTTCACTGGACACTTTGACATAAGAGCAAACAAGGGTCACATAAGGGATATGTAGCAGTTTTTGTTTGCCTATCGACAAAGGCAGTGCAGTGCGAATTGGTGTCTGACCTGAGCACACCTGGGTTTTTGGCAGCATTTCGACGCTTCTGCGCCCGAAGATCTGTACCCCTACACATATACAGTGATCAAGGCAGAAACTTTATAGGGGCCAACAAGGTTTTGAAGGAGTACAAAGACATTCTTGCAACAATAAATGAAGAGCTGCTCCTCACTCTCACAGAATCTGATATTCAAAATTGTATACACATCCAGACAAACAGATTATTATGCTCTATAAATAAACCAATTTATGAATTACGAATAACACAAGCAATTTGTAACTTGAGCATTCATAACAAAACAATGTGTAGTGCAATAAAAGCGCCGTGTCGCGAGCGGTGGATCAAGTTACATATCGATAACAGGTGGTTATTCTCTTGTTGTGGGAAATGCACGGTGCGCATATTTTGCACAGACACCGGAATGACAATTAAGTCTTTGAGTGACAATGGTGTGATAAACATAGGTCAAGGTTGCACCATAAAGAGTGACACTTTTTCCATATTTGGCCACAACAATTATTTAAGCCAAGTCAAGGTCCAAAAGGATATACTAACGGCACCGGATACTTCAATTTTGTACTCGATATTGAATTTCTCCGACATTGAGAGTTTTACATTTGCTCCCGAAGACCATGACAACGAGTGGCGCCGAATGAAGACTGGGATCACAAGCCTGAAAGAACAAGAAGATGCTCCACTCAGCGTACATGATGTACACCAGTTCTCAGTGATGTACACAATCTTGGGATTGATCATCGTTGCGGGATGTGTCTACGCGATAGTACGTGAACTCTGTGGAGCACTACTTCTATCGCAGCTAATGAAAAGGTTCATAGATACTCTACCACCTAACATTCCAATATATGCGTGGACCGATTCTATGGTGGTGCTGGGCTGGTTTCACGGAGACATAAATAGATGGAAACAGTTGTACACAATCTTGGGATTGATCATCGTTGCGGGATGTGTCTACGCGATAGTACGATACCGTAGGAGGGCTGCCATGAACTTTACCAAATACCCCTACGGATTCAATCCAGATGGAAGCGAATGTCAACCAGGATGCTGCAGCTGCACCGCCGCCCAGGACTCGGCCACGATCCGTGCGATTGGACATTCCTGTTACGAGCGTAGTGCAGTGATCAAATATTTAAGGAATTTAATTTTACATTTTTATATTATGCCTTTTTTTATATTTTAATTTTTACATTTCTTACAGATAGTATTTACATGTTTATACGTTTTCAATAATGTATTCTCTTTTCGGCCGGCAGGATGTACGAGTAATCATACAGTTTAGGTTATAAATAATATGTTCTAATTTAGGTCACGTAAAAACAAGTCATTTACGCGCGGTATTGTGCAATATGCTTAAGCTACTACTTTATAATATTAAATTTACATGCAAATAAACAGTGTTAGAACAACTTTCATTGGGTTTGTTTCGTACATTAACTTTCCATTACAATTACAATCTGGCACTCTTCTCATATACTGTAGACACACTACAGACGTTTTATCTAAAATAATGTACTTAAAAAAGACCCGGCCAAGGTATCAAGCTGCTTTTCGCTATCTATGCTAACAGACTTATTACTATCCTACCGCTGTCTTGTGCGGTCAGTACTCAGATAGCGAAGGAAGCCGGTTTAATTCCTAGTAAAATTCTCTTTACACAACAAATTACCAAAACAAATTAATTATTAGCGACATAATCGCGAGTATCGCGTAAAAACAACAGGTAAAGTATGGAAGAGCAAGACCCAAGATGTTAGCCCCAAATAAGAAACAAAAATATTAAATATTATTGTACTATGTAAAACAAAATCTTTACCTTGATATATTTCCCTCCTGGTTCATTTATCTCTTCTACTAAATCCACATTAACTAGATTCTCGGCAGTGAAATGGTCCAAAGACGCTATAGGGCGACAACCCAATGTCTTACATACGAATTCAATGTCTTCGCGTTCTATGTCCTTGATAACCATCGTCTTGATTTTATCTAAGAAATGTATAGCCAGGTCACTTAAAGAATCTCTGAAATGATAAAATATATGTTAAAAACAAGTTGACATTATTCAAAAGGCCCGAAATTCAGTATACCACTACAGGCCTAGCTGCACAAATCAAATCTAAATTACATGTAATCTATGATTTATTTATTATTCGCGCCCCTTATCACAACAAAAGAGCTATTACTTATTCGCAGCTACTTGTAGCAAAAATCGAATTACAGGTGGTTGAATAGGGAAGATGCAAATATAATATTTATATGATTAAAATGTTAAAAAAATATTAAAGAAAGGCCACTGCAACGTTTTTATTTTATATTATGTTGTTTTTTAACAATAATTACGAATTAAAAATGACTTCAAACAAACGTATTTTAAAACACCAATCAGCGTTTCGTGACGACTCCTGTTATGACAACTTATTTGAGGTAATGGTTGTAAAAGTGAATATTATTTGCCTATTTTATGGGAATATTAATTGCGTTTTTTTAATAAAAAACGGAAGTTGGGTTAACAAAGCAGACTCCAGGAATTTACCAAGTGTCGTGTTGACATGGTTGTAAGTTTTTTTGTCCAAAGTGCAGTTTTCAAGTGTAGAAATGAAAGGGACTAAATTACTACGGTTTGTATAAATCATAGTTGTTAAATTTTGTATTTTATTCAGCGGCTTATACACATAGCAGTTATTTCAGCTCAACAAGAGAATCTTACTGCGATGACGCAATCGGCTATGTCCAAATTAAAAGAGATGGAGAATTATTTACAGTAAAAAGTCGAGTTATTCCGGAGCATAAAGTACGTAAAGAAGGTTATAGTGTTACAGTTAATTTAAATGAAACGCAAAACTTGGTTCAGTCCTGCCAATGTGAAGATTGTGCGACACGTTTTAAACTTTATCCAATTTTCGACGTCATTCTATAACTGTAAAAATAAAAATATGTTATAGACAGATGTTGTAAGTATTAGGTAGGTTACTAAACGCGTTTTTACGTACAAGCAGATTAATTAAGCATATGACAAGTATATTCGCGTATATAAAGTGATCTTCACGATCTTCGAATAATGGTCTTTGGAGAATAATTGTCATTTCTTTTCGCAGCTTGAAACCACTTTTCTCAGTTTTGGGTCAATTAAATTAATTCAATCAGAAGTCAAACACAATTTATTTGGAAATTTTGTTGAAGTAGATGGACACATTGGCATAAAAACATGAGTCAACACGGCTTTTTTTCGGAATATGTGGTACTGTTATGATCACCTGATGTTGATGGATAGTCCATTTAAAATTTTTACAAAAAAATATCTCGAAAGTCGACAAACTCATACAGAACAAAGTTCGTTCTGTATTCCGAGTCGAAAAAATATGCAAAAGTATGAAAGCCAGCCACGAACAAGTATGCTGGTCATACTTGTTCGTGGAGTGACGTCATACGACATACGTACGTCAGACGACAGACAGGAGTGACGTCATCGGAACCATAGGTTTGTTATCGCGCGAAAATTTAAACTGTCAATTTAAAACCGCATTTTTTCCGTTACATTTTTTTAATTGTTTAATATATCTGTGGTTTATTCTACATGGAATTCTTTAAAATGAAAACAAAAATAAAAATATTGCATCTTCCCTATTCTCGAAATTGATAAAGGGTTTTAATTCTTTTTTAAGAGTACCTTTTATCCGAAGGCTGGACGCCAACGTCGCCAACATCAGTGTTTTTTATGAATGCATTAAGACATTCAGAGCATTTTTAGGTTATATTTTATGATGATTAGTCCTTGTCAGGTATTGTATTTAAAATATATTAAAAGGTAAATAATGAAAAATACCTCAAAATTGATTTCTGTACCAGCAGCACATTACAGCCAGCCTTCTTGATTTGTTTTACAATATTGAGAATATACTGACGTTCTTCTTTTAACACGCGATCCATAGCAGCATAATCTGATACTATAACATTGTGATCCATCTTGATAAAAAGAGAAAAGGTGTGAGATTAATTAATTCATATTCAAAAGTATTTTTGGTATCAATATTCTCTATACAGAATGAAAAGGAGAGACTAATGTTAAATTTAGTTTTAAGTTTAGAGAAAGACGCCAGAATCGACACCATAATGTGTATAAAATCGTCTTACATCCGTTTTTGGTGGTGATATGCAAAACTGTATTAGTCCAACTTTCGCCTTTTCAATGCGATGCGGCCCATTAACATTAGCAGCACGACGCGGAATAACGAGTCCTTGAATTAATTCTGTGTCTTCAACTGTTCCACCAATGCGTTCAATCACTTTCACGTCACGTAAGTCCACCCTAGCACCAACTCCATTAGTGATGGGCTCCATTACTAAAATATTTTAATTGTCCATGTTTTTAAACATAAACAAACATATAACATCTTCTATTTATTGCTTTCTTGTTGTTTACATGCTGTTACAAAAGATATAATTCCAAACAAGAAACCAGTAAGGATATTGCAATAATTATTACAAACTAAATGGGTAGATTTACAGTCGTAATTATAAAACTTCCTAAAATACCAAATTTTAAATCTTGCCTATTATTATAACATATTGTAAAAATATAATACAAAAGTCAAAATTTTAAACTTTTCACTCAAATATTACATAGCGAACATGGCATATCTAGGGTTTTTAATATCGTTGATTAATATTATAACTTAATATCGTTGATCGTTGATTAAGTTATAATTGAGCTGTAAAAAACATAGTCCTCTCTGCATTAGGCTTAGGTTTAAAGAATTTATTCTCATAAAAACGTAAAGTTCATTTACAATGAGAATACTTACTAACTATTATATGAGTAATGCAGCACAAACACAAACTTAAAATATTTTACATGTGTAGGTAACTCCATAATTGCAATTTTAAGAACTCTAATTGCACATGCACTAATAAACTTTTTCAAATGCACAAATCACACACTATTCATAAGATGACTTATCAATTTAATTATCATAAGTACCACGCTGTTCAGTGACCGAACATTTTAGCGCGTCCGTGGGTAGAAATAAAAAAAAAACAGAAGAGCCCATAGATTTATATGGAGTCGCCTTTTTTTATTAAATCGATTTTTTTTTTACTATTTCATTATTATGATTTTGATTATAAAATGCGTTATTAATTATTATTGTGAAGGCAAATACGGAAGGAGCCCTCTATTGCTCGTAATTCTACACGCACTTTGCTGGTGATACAATGAAAGAATTTAACAAATATCTAATACTGAGATAAACACTTACCAGCACGAATTGCTTGAACTGCAATGGGAGCCAAAATAGTTGAATGCTGCGACACCACTTTAGAATTTAATGAAGTTGCTGCTGCTTTCAATAAGGCATCTTCATTGGACAGATCTACAGGCATGGCCATACCTTCTACCACCTAGTAAAATATCAAATCATTTTATTATCTATTTACTTATCGTAGAACTTATTATTATCGTGATCTCGTGATCGCGCTCCCACGACTCTTCAGGAGCTCGAAGATGCCTTTATTAAGGAAATGGGCCAGTATCCCTCAAAAAGAGCTCCTAAAATTGATAAGATACATGAGGGAGTGTATGGAAGCCGTCATCCGAGCAAGGAGGGGGGGAGGGGTTACACTAGGTTTTAGATTAGTTTTAAGAACCTTTTTGTATTTTTTTTTGTAATTAATCTATTTTAATTAAGGATTTTTATTATTTTCTATATTTTACTGTTTTCTACACCGTACAAATAAAAAATAAAAATTAATTGAATTGTTTTTTAAAGTTTATTTATTGGGCTTTCAAATGACACAAATATTGATCATAATCATATGTAACAGTGTTTGTCCGTAATAAAAAAAAATTAAGATAGTGTAAAAGCTAAATTATAGTGAGAGGAAGAGAATGACCTGTGTCACACTTCTTTTTATTACATTTTCTGATTTCTACTTTTATCTATGCAAATTTTATCAAGAGTAATCATGCTCACACACTTCACATGCACTAAATGTGGGGACTACCTACATATTTGAATATGATTGTCTTGTTTCAAATTGTGCAATTAATACTTTTTTTTGTTCTTCTAAATACATATTTTTGATAACTGGTGTAACCTTGAAAATCAGGGGTTAAAGAAAACCACTTTTCAGATTGTGCTTTTACGTTTTTAATCGATCAACTTTAGTTTCTCGCTCGAAAAGGTTATTTGTCATCCAAAATATAAATAAGTTTCGGTGACTCAAAAAAAAATAAACAAATAAATAATGGGAAGGTACGATCCTGAGAGAGCACTTGCCACTAGATCCGTCCGGGACTCGATGCTCGCTCGAAAAAGTTGATTCTCACCCAAAATAAAAAACTCCGTTTTAGGAGTTAAAAGATAAACTGGAGGCGTGCAGGGAACTCGGGAAACAATTCACACGGGCCCGTATTATATCTAAATATCAGGATAAATCACTTATTTAAATATGAAAGTAATATCGTCCGTTCGCCAAAAAGGTACGAGTAAGTGGGTAGTTACATCGACAAATTTGATGAGAACTAAGAAAGGTTCTCTATTTTTAAATAGGAAATTTAGAAAGTAAGAGAATTTCGTTGATCTCGCGTTGATCGATTAAAAACGTAAAATGTTATTAGTAAAAATTAATGCCAACTCGCGGTTCGCCGCTCGTGCGCCGCTGCTCCGTCCGTCAAATATTGTTTTTATATTTTCCCCTTTTGGGTAGGCAAAGGCAACAAAGACCATACGGCCTTGTTGATAATATTTTTTTTTTGGTCTTTTGGTCATAATTTAACTTTATAGTAAAGGTAAAATTTTAAGGGTTACAGCATCCCCTTTCCCTGTAAAGAATTCATGCTAGGAATTCTTCGGATGCCCTCATCCGTCCTTCTGCCATCGTCATGACAGTTTAGATAAAAGAATCAAAATCCTACAAAAAAGACTATGAAATAAACTTATAATTGTTCCCCCTAGAAAAATTACTAACAAGGCTGACAATTCTGTTTAAAACAGTTTATAAATGTGCAGATCAAGCACCACAACTAAATATGTAGTAAAACTATCAACTGGAAATAAACAGTTTGAATGGACTTAAAATACCTAATAATTATTTACTAAATCTGGACTAATGAAGTTATACTGGAAAAACAGTATAAGCTATGATAGACCATAGTAATGTTAAATATAATGGTAGGCTTATTGGTGACGAAGTCATAACCCGCTCCGATTAAAAACATACAAAAAGGGGACAAAAAAAAATTACCTATAACTATATAATATTATCCTTATTACTATCACAATCTATACCTTCAGTCTTTCATACCATGTTTGATCCATACGCCGGGACTGTTGTTACAAACCAGATATTAAACCCATCTGTCCAGACTATCTTTCCCCTTCCTTTTTCTCATCGATACATTTAAAATCTTTGACGTGCCATTTTCCTATATACTTTCCGTTCTCGTCTTCCAGCTCATAAACCAAAGGTGATAACTTTTTTCTCACCATACAGCGCTCATATTTAGGTGCTAATTTAGCAGAATAATATTTAGGAGCTGAACTTTGCTTGTAGGTTCGTTTCCAAATGATGTCCCCTTCCCTAAAACTTACGTCCCGACGACGTTTATTATAATATTTAATATTCTTGTCGTGACTCTCCTTAAGTATTTCTTTCACTTTTAAGAAAATATCCTTCAAGTGAGTCAATTTATCTCTATAGTCAGCACGTGACGTAAATGAAAGATCATCAATATCACAAGGATCGGAATACAATTGACCATCAACTATCGCTTCTCGACCATGCACAAGTAAGAACGGGGTAAAGGAGGTGGCATCATTTACCGAGGTGTTGATTGCGAGTTGAATTTTAGGGGTATTAACGTCCCATGTACGGTGATCGGATCCCACTAGAGAAGAAACAGCAGTCATCACTGTACGGTTATACCGCTCCACAGTATTAAATTGGGGGCAATAAAGAGGTCCAAAGTGAATTTGGGGAACGTTATACTTGGTAAACAAATTTCTCAACTCACGACTAACAAATTGTGAACCATTATCAGCAATAACAGTTTGGGGAATGCCATGGACTAAAAATACGTAATCTTCCAAACGTTGTGCGATAACTTTCCCAGTAGCACGTCGCAAAGGAAAGAGCATGCAATACTTCGTAGAACAACAAACTACCACTAGAAGATAAGTGTTCTGTTGACGCGACGCGGGCAGTGGACCAACCAAATCCATGCTGATACACTGAAATGGCCGCGAACAGACCTTGGGATTACCTAGCAAGCCAGGAGTCGTTTGGTTTGAATACTTGTAAGCCTTGCAAATATCACATGACGAAACATAATTTTTAACGTCGTGGTACAAGCCCGGCCAAAAATAACAGAGTTTAATCCGCTTATAAGTCTTTTCAATACCTAAGTGAGCAGCTACAGGTGAATCATGGTTTTTCCGAATAATGTCTTCTCTCATCTCTTGTGGAACGACTTCTTTCCACTCAAAGTCACTACTCAAACAACTAGCTTTGGTAAATCTATAAAGTTTACCTTGGGCAATTTGGAAATTTGGGCATGTTTGCGGCCGACTCTTGCAACGTTTATAAATATTTAAATACCAAGTGTCATTAGTACTAATCGTGTCGATGGCGCCAGGAACGTGGGGCGTGACGATTTCAGACTCTTTTGACAGTCTTATGCTTGTCAGGAGTGTGGTCTGTGCTTGTCGTGTTGTGTTGTTTTAGGAGTTAAAAGATAAACTGGAGGCGTGCAGGGAACTCGGGAAACAATTCACACGGGCCCGTATTATATCTAAATATCAGGATAAATCACTTATTTAAATATGAAAGTAATATCGTCCGTTCGCCAAAAAGGTACGAGTAAGTGGGTAGTTACATCGACAAATTTGATGAGAACTAAGAAAGGTTCTCTATCTTTAAATAGGAAATTTAGAAAGTAAGAGAATTTCGTTGATCTCGCGTTGATCGATTAAAAACGTAAAATGTTATTAGTAAAAATTAATGCCAACTCGCGGTTCGCCGCTCGTGCGCCGCTGCTCCGTCCGTCAAATATTGTTTTTATATTTTCCCCTTTTGGGTAGGCAAAGGCAACAAAGACCATACGGCCTTGTTGATAATATTTTTTTTTTGGTCTTTTGGTCATAATTTAACTTTATAAAGGTAAAATTTTAAGGGTTACACTGGTTACAAAGGTTTTGGAGCGAAACAGGCCCAACACAAGTATTTTAAAATTACTTACTGGGACCGTTTCATAGTTGTTAATTGTATGCACTCATGTTAATATTTTTTTTTTATTTTATATTATTTTATAATCAAAGAGAATAAATACAGAGTGATGTAAATGTAGAGAGTGAAGTACCTGTAATGACAGTTGCAGAGCTTTTTGGAAACCATCGGAAATTACTGTAGGATGAATTCCTTTTTGTAATAGCTTCTCAGCAGCATCTAATAAGGCGCCTGCAATGACTACCACCGAAGTAGTGCCATCACCAGCCTCGATGTCTTGTGCACGAGACAATTCAACCAACTGAAACAAAAATATTGTTACAAAACATGGCATTAATTATCCTTTAAATATAAACCGCAAAGCCTGGTGTATACGAAGCTTTGTTTCGTTATTGATTGAGGGAGACTTCCCTTAGGCCGTTTTATTAAATATGAACCCATTGACAAAAACTATAGGCGGAAGAATATATTTATTTTATGAGTTCATATCGTAGTTCTAAATGCGCTGTTAGTTATTACTAACAGCGCATTAGTTATTACTAACAGTACTATAATTAGCAGGTACGGAGCGCGAGGGAAAGAGGCATAAACATAACCAAACCGTGCATTCGATTATTACAAATATTTTCTATTAAATCAGTTTGTAGCAGGTATTAGAACATAATTTGATTCAAGCGAGTTAATTAACAAATATTGATTAGATACCTGGTGAAATAATGACACTCTACTATAAGTATTTTCAGTTTTTTCACAGAGCTCTGCGGCATATTGAATTTCCAATGGACCGCATGTGACTGTGAACCAAGAAATGCTTGAGTGCTGTTCAAGCACTTCTTGATTGGGATACATTTTGAGAGCACATGGTTTTTAATATTGTTGTTAACGAATCAAGTAATATGCAGAATAAAGCTCCACTCCACTTACCATTTTGGCAGCTGGATGAATAACACTCATTTGCTTCAAAATTGTTGCCCCATCATTTGTAATAGTAACTTCTCCATTAGCTGCTTGTATCTGACAATAGATAAAAAATTCTTGTAATATTCACTACAAAAATTAAATGAATAGATATAAAGGAGATGGTTCAAAAGTGGTAGTCGTAGGTTTCGGGCAGCGATGAAACATGTCATTTTAAATCTTATTTTATGTTACATGAACAAATATTTATCCCCAATTAATTTAAATCGTGTTTAGAAACTGAACAATTTCATAAGGATGCTGGCCATCCTGACGTAAGTAACTTCATATTTTTAGTATGTGGCAGCTTATAACATCAACTCAATCACTATGCCAAATGTCAATCAGTCCATTCATGTATGTATGATATTCGTGAAATCTCGGTGAAATTATTACTTATACCAATTTTTGATTGATTCTGCTTAAATAAAATACCCCCAAAATACCTAAGAATATAATGAGAGATGAACAGAATAGTTATCGCTGCTTTAATTATCTATTCAATGCAGTATATATGATGATTTAGCATTAAACAGTAGATAAACTTGCCATTTGGCAATCAATGAGTATATAATTATAAGCAATTATAATTAGAATATACGGGGATAATATAAATTCTAGTTTTTTCTCAAATGATTCACAAATAAAAAGCACTACATGTCATAAAAAAATTTAATCTGCTGATTTTTTTTTTATGTAAATTATTCTCAACTTTGTAAAATTTAATTTCCAATCTTAAAATTTCTTTATATTTATAAGTGAAAACTTGTTAATGACTTATAGTTGTTAATTTCTTTTTAAACCACATTTTGTATAAATCACTGTAAGTTTTCCCATTTAAATAAATAAAAAAAGCCGGCCAAGTGCACTCGCGCACCGAGGGTTCCGAACAAACTTAATTTAATACTTCTACGTGTTCATGAGGAAAGAGGTAGTTACTTTAAAATTTTCAAAAATATTTTTTATAATATGTTGTTACCAAAAAATTTATGGTTTTCGCAATTTTTCCTTTATCTGTACTACAAGACGTTACTTCGTTCCAAATTTCAAGATTCTAAATTCACAGTAAGTACCTGTCAGGTTTTGATTCCCGTGGGAGTTTCGAAAATTTGCGGCATAAACGGCTGATCTTTTGATTGCTTTAGCTTAGAAGTTTGATTTTTTCACAGCTCCAAAGGACAGTAGACATGAGTATTAGATATAAATTTCAGTTTGATACCTCCATGCGTTCCTGAGAAAAACGGTCTTGACAGACGTAAGGACGGAAGGACAACAAAGTGATCCTATAAGTCAGTGGTTCTCAAACTTTTTAAATGACGGAACCCTTTTGGGAAGCAAAATACTTGATGGAACCCTACAATAAAACAATTATTTTTATAAGTGTATTCTATATTAATCAGCATAATAAAAGTACAATGTATCCGTTACTAATTATTATTTACTTCACCACTTGGTAAGGACAATAATAGAAAACATTAAAAAAGAAAAAATCTAACTAGTGGGAGGTATGAAACTGTTTTTTATTTTTCATCAATTGCTTGATATCAGGTTTGATGGAAGAAAGTTGGAGTCTCATATCAGCTTCGGCGTCCAGTCTATTGCGATATTTTGTTTTCGTGGCTGCGTAGGTAGAGAATCCTGTTTCGCACAAATATGTAGTTGGGAACGGGAGAAGAATATCCAGAGCCATTTGGCCAAGCATTGCATATTCATCTTGGATTCTGCACCAAAAATCATTAAGAGGCGTCGTTTTGAACAATGACTCCATACTTGTGTCTGATGACATTTCTAAAAGAGATTCATATATCTCATTTGACATGTTTTCAGGCTTTTCCAAGTTGGGTAAAAAAGGATTATGAATCCAGGAGTTCACTTTAATTTTTGTATTGTGTTCTTCGGGAAAATACTTTTCAAAAGATGCGCGCATCGAACTGAGATATTGGACCAATTCTTCAAACACATTATCTTCAAACATTTCTGAGTCGTTTTCGCTAACAAACTCAGTGAGTAACGTAAAACTTTCTATTTCTTTCTTACCAATGCAAATGATCCAAAAATCTAATTTTCTTTTAAAAGTAGTTATTTTATTATAGGCCTGAAACACTGTTGTCTGTTTACCTTGCAATGATAAATTTAATTCGTTAAGTTTTTGAAAGATATCCGCCATAAAAGACAATCGGAACAACCAAGTTTTATCATACAAACGGTCCTTCAAATTAAAAGAAGTATCTGCTGAAAGAAACATTTGTAACTCGGCTCTAAGTTCAAATAGCCTTGTTAAAGTTTTTCCCCGAGACAGCCATCGCACTTCTGTATGGAGCAGCAGTGTTTTATGTTTGCTGCCATAATCTTCACACAATAATGAGAACAATCGGGATTGTAGTGGTCGTGATTTGATAAAATTAATTATTTTTACCGCTTCATCCATAACTAATTTTAGATTAGACGGCATTTGCTTCATCGCAAGTGCTTGTCTATGCAGAATACAATGACTGGAACTACAATTAGGCGCTTTATTTTTCATTCGTGACACTGCTCCTGCTGTTTTACCTGTCATCGCCTTGGCCCCATCTGTACAAATGTCAATGCAATTGTTCCAACTGAGATTATGTTCTTCAAAAAATATATTTATTTTATTAAAAATTTCTTCCCCGGTAGTGTTTGTAAGCAGCGATGAACACATAAGCATGTCTTCTTCAAAAGAACTTTTATATGGATATCTCACAATAACCAGCAGGATAGCCAAACCAGCGACATCAGTCGACTCGTCCATTTGCAAAGCGAATCGTGTATTTTGTAGACGTGTAACTAGTTCTTGTTTGACGTAGCTTGCCAGATCATGGATTCGTCGTGAAACAGTATCGTTTGATAGCGGAACAGTAGAAAGATGCTTTGCAGATTTTTCATCAAGCATACATTTTGTTATGTCTAATACACATGGTTTTATTAATTTCTCAGCGATAGTGTGCGCTTCACCTGCTTGTGCAATGCGATAGCTAACTAAGTATGATGCCTCCGTGGCCTTTTCGTTGGTAGTTTGTGTTACATGCATCATATTTTTTTGACTTTCTAATAACTGATCTTTTTTGCGAACAAAAAATTCTTTATTCTTGTCTTTAGTCTCGGGGTGTACGGTTTCTAAATGTCGACGCAATTTGGCAGGTGCCATGGAACTATTAGGAAGCAGTTTACTACAGAGCATGCAGAGAGGTGAGCCGTTGGAATCAACAAATCCGAAACTGATATAAGATTCATCATACTTCCTTTTTTTCGTCTTTGAAACCGTCGAGCTTGACGTCGTGGCACTCGTGGCATCATCTTCTGGATCGGTGATTGCTAAATTCTCCGCGCGCATTGCTTTTGAACATTCAGCGTCATTAGAAGATGTTGTTGGAACACGTTTAACACCTTTAAGCCAACGTTCCATTCTTCTTTATTTATAATGTTACAAGTCAGGATAGTGGGGTTTAAATAATGCACAATCGTTACTGCGTATAAGAGACTAAATTTAGAACCTACAGGGAAGAAATGTATAAAACTGAGACAACAGAATACAGCAGGCAGTAAAACAATGAACACCAGTTTCTCGCTAGCGAGCTTGTAAGTAGGTAGTAACTTATCGCTCCGAACGCTAATCATCAACTGACGACGCCAACGCGCGATCGCCGCTTTTATACTTAGTCCTAGACTCGATCTCAAATATTCTCGAAAATACTCGAGTCGGCACCTTTGATAAACAAAAAGCAAAAATAAAAACAGAAATTTAAAAATAGCGTTGTAAACAATATCGACTTTATCCTTTGAAGTTAGAGACGAAAGTCGCTAGTTGACAACTATAGCGTCTAATTCAGAGGCGGCTTTTATCAAAGAGACTGAGCGCTTACAAGTATACTACCCGCTCGTTTTAAGTTTGCCGCTGGCGATAGGTATGAGTGTATGACGTTCGAAATTTTTTATTTAATTGTAACAATAAAAATTGTGTACGTTAGATATTTGGGTAAAACTATGACACATTATAAGTTTTGTTGTCACGTGGGGGAGGGTACGCGCATTCCACAGACCGGCAAACTTAGAGCGAACGCGTTGTACAAGTATAAAATTGTTGAGACCAAACTTATGAGATATTGTACCAGCTAATGTAACACAAGCTTATACAAATACAAATAAATAAATAAATAACATTCATAGCGTTTTGTCTCCGCGCGGCCGCGGAGTCCGCACAGCCGCGGAGCGACCAGAGAGAGGTGTTTTGATTTTTTTATTTCTAAATTCTTGCGGAACCCCGACAGAGGTATCACGGAACCCTAGGGTTCCGCGGAACACACTTAGAGTATAGCTGCTATAAGTGTTTCGTTTTTTCCTTTTAGTACGTAACCCTAAAAAAGAGTCAATGACCACATCTCAGCTCCGAATGTCATCACTAGCAACACGCAATGGTCGAAGATCTTTGTCTTCAGGCACAGAGGTATTTCGGATAAAAAGACATTGCGGAGTTTCCCTAACGAGGCCCAGCATGTTGAATTCGGCGGTTTACCTCATTCTCGAAATTGGACTTATCCAAATCGACCATTAATCCCAGATATACAGGGTGAAATTGAATGTTTTAATGAAACTTCGTGGGAATGTTGGGTTACGTATAATAGAGTATCTCTGAATTTTTTCGGATTTTTTAAAAAATGATTTAAGATAAAATTTTGTTTTTTTTTGTTATATTTTAAGTCCTTTCCTCCTTTTGGGTACTAAATAATTATTCTTTTAAAACATGCATACAGAGTAAGTAAAAAACAAGTAATAAGCACTACTAAAAAAGACGTAAAAACAGGAGACGGGCGGCCGGGAGCAATGACCGCTCCCGCCGTTGAATACCTTCCTGCCTACCTATCTAGGTATGCGCGGTGCACAGCGCAGTGAGCGAGCGGAGTCTCAAGCGCGCGTGCGTATCTTTTAAATTTGTGACAAGACAAGATTTGCAAATAATGCCTTGATTAGTTCTTGTTCTGTGCCCTCAATATAAGAATTTGGATATGGTGTGTTGTTATTGCGAGTGTCACGGAATACTCAGCAGAGCCACAAGGCTTTACGAAAGTAGGTTTGGTGATTTATTGGGAAGTTATAGAGAAAAAAATTAATAGGTACATCGGTCTCGTAAGTACTTTTGAATACCTGGTAATAAATTTCATTCTGACCCAAGTATTGAACTGCAATAAGTATTTCTTTTTGTTTAACTTTTGCCTATTTCCAATCGTGACAAAATTATTATTAACTTTTTAAGTTTTTCTCTGCTTAAGAGAAGATGACATTTGTGCTTATTATTTCAATTTCAATAAAGGCATCTGAGACGATTTTATTGTATTGTGTGGAATCAAACGAGTCAGCTGAGCTCTGTGTACGTACCTACTCACTCAACGGCTGGCGGGCGCGGTCGGTCGTTGACCCGCGGTGGAATTTTACTGTTTTTCCGTTTTTTAGAAGTGCTTATTTATTAGTTGTTTTTCACTGGATATGTAAGCATGTTTGTTTAATATGAATAACTACTCAAAAGGAGGAAAGGACAAAAAAATACACAAATTATAAATAAATACATGAAAAAACATACTTCAAAAAAATCCGAAAAAAATCAGGCATACTCTATACTCGTAACCCAACAATCTCACGAAGTTTCATTAAAACATTCAATTTCACCCTATATATAATTGTCGACAATTTCGAGGGCTGAGTTCTCAACAATTACCAAGTGAAAACACTGCTGGTCGCGACGTGATTAATCGCAGAGTTAGAGACTAATGAGACGAGCACCTAAAGATCTTCTCTAACACGAACATAGAAATCCAGATATTTCTCATGATGTAATCCTGGCCTGCATGATTTAGATGTATCACACACACGCTTTTATCTGTATTAAATTGCATCAATAAAATTGCTAGCTTTTGTCTACCAAAATGACGATTGGCCAATTCCTGTGCAAAATGGAATTCAGAATGATAAATTACCTGAATTTGTATCAAATCTTATACATCAGTGGCTAAGAAATTAACTTAAGGATATTAAGGTCAATTTGATTAAATAATTGTCCCAAGTTTTCCATGTATAGCACAATACTTAAACATATAACTATTCACAACATTTACCATTTTGTCCATTCCACGAGGACCCAAGCTAGTTCTTATAGCATCTGACACAGCTGAAAAGAAATAAAACAATTTAATAACAGAGCTCCATGCCTTGAATTGGAGAAGGAAAATAAAAAATAAGATGCTTAAACAAAAAAAACATTAAATATGTATGTACAGATCTAATCTAATAAGTCAATAAAGAATATTATGCATTATTTCTCACTACCTATTTTGTAGTTTTTTTTTATATTTTTTGTTAAAAAAGTTTTTATTTCTGATCAAAAAATTGTAATCATGTGTATATTTGTCTTAAAAAAACATTAAACTGCATTCTGTTACTGGAATAGTCCATACTGTGACTGTCCTGTTTTTAAATAATTTAATGTTTTGAGTAGCAAAGTTTTTTTTTAATTAGGGTCAGTTCGCCTGTTCGCGTCCATCGCCCAATTCGCGTCCATTTTACGGATCTTCCTTAAAAAAACCTCAAAAATAAGTAAACTATTACACCAATGAAACGAAAAGTAATTACCGCTAATACCTTAATATATAAGAGGCACGAACACATGGTCAAAAATAACGTGCGCCAAACAATCCAGTTTAAAAAAAATAATTAGTCTCGGTTATTCATCAAGGGAGTGAGTACATGCGGGATGTTTAGATAAAAAATAGTGTGCGGCGGCGCCTTCGATGGTAAGTTTTTTATTTTTTTATGTTAATTTTAGGATACATAGCTGTTTCTAGACTTTTATAAAGAAGAAAGGAATAATATTAATTATAGATTTTGTGTTGTTTTTTATATTTAATGAATAAAATAAGGTGGACGCGAATTACTACATCGAAATTACAAAACTTCCAATTTGCGTCCGCAATGGACGCAAACTATACCTACAGGGGATAATAATAAACCAAATTGCGTCCACTATTTTCGTTAAATACAATTAATTAATTATAATTTAAAATATAGGTATTGATTATTATTATTATAATTTTTTATTAAGACTACGTGTTTTTGATGCTATTTTTAAAAATAAATGAGTAATTTCAATCAATCAATCAAATACTTTATTTGTTTCATTCTTATTTTTTTTCTATTTGAAATAAGTTCATCGACAAGAAAATACATTGAAAAGAGAATATACACAGAAGACGATTTAAAGAAAGTGTTAGATGAAATTCGAGAAAAGAATAAATGGGTAAGACAAATGTAATGGTTAAAAATAATAAATTTTTGAATGGACAGGCCGAAATCAATTAAAAAAGAATATTCGGGCGCCTGGACTGTACCATATTATCAGCAGGGAGAACAATGAACAATTAATCGCAAGGGGAGCTTAATGCGAATCCATATTCATTTTGGGTTGTCAATTTATTTAAATTTGCTTCAGAATTACTGGTCCAAAAGGGTTACTGCTAAATTTTGAAATTAAGACTAAGATGTAAGTGAAAATGTTACCTTTATTATGGGTGCCGATACACAATTATGAATTTCTTTAGAGGTTATGTTATGATGGAACTTCTAAGAGATTTATGATTCTTCAAGTACAAATACAAACCAAAGTATTAATAAGATTTCAAAATACCAATACTTAGTATTTAATGAAACAGTAACAATTAGTGATTTGATTATTGATAAAGCTGATAAAAAGGAGATTGCTCAAATTGGCCCAAATGCAGAAAAAATATTGACACACGGTAATTCTTGGCGTAATTTGTAATTTAATTTACAGTCATTAGATTTCAACGGACAACTTTGTATAATATATTCACTTTAAAAAGGACTTTTCATTTTACCGGTTTGGAAAACATATGAATCATTTTTAATGGCTATGGGTGTAGTAACATTCAGCCAAAGACTGATCGAAGTTGTTTATATAACATAAAAACAAATCTATTTTGTAAAGATCAATAAAATAAATATTTATTTTATTACACTGTGGTATTAATATCCACATCTATATTATCATTTTCACTACATGCAAATGTGCTCAGACAATTATTATGATGGTAGGCGACATCATAAAGTCTATTGCCATACATTTTTCGCTAAACACCTCCATAAACACATTATAATCTGTTTAGACTTTAAGGTATCTATCTATGAGCCTACATTGCCTGACTATAAATAAATAAAAATTATAAGGTGTGATACACTAAAAATCACACACACAATCACAAAAAAATGAAGCTACTGAATATATGGCTATATAACCTAAACCTCTTAGCTTTCTTTGGTTAACGAGAGTTTAAAAATTCTCTCTAATCTGTGGCTCATTCACAATCATCACACAGTTTCTGTCACAGAGTACCTTATTGTAAGCGGAAATGCATATATGACACCTGATTTTAAAAGTTACTCTTATGCATTAACTTTAAAAACAGGCAACTATCTGTTAATCTACATGCTCTATATACCTGAACCTAATCCATAATTTCGGTACTTGGGTTGATTTCCCTAGTTTACTATATAACTTATTTGTTTTTTATTATTTTAATATGTTCAGTGTATATGGTTTATAGAAGTTCTCATGGGTGTCCGTCAATAATATTAGTTTTTACAGTAATTTATATATAATTTCGAATCTAGGAAACAATTTTTCATGATTATTGGTCTTTAGGCCAAACATGTATGGAAGCTGAGCAATCTCCTTTTGCTATGAGAACTTTATTTGTATTTTTTTTTAATATTTTTTTATATTATATTAAATAACTGATAAGAACAAAATTAAAATACTGTGTTTCCATTTCATGCCCTAATTAATGCAGAATAATCGGTAAAATGGACCAAATTTCAGTATTTTAAGGAATTTTATACTTGACCACGTGAGTTTCGGTATCGGTTTCGTATAAATTCAAGAAACTGAAGCCACGGCCGAATTTCCGGTTCGGTTTCGGTTTCGGTTTCGGTTTCGGTTTCGGCCGGAAAACCAGTTTCGGTCGGACACTAGAAAAAATGTAAAACTAAGGAAATCAGTAAGGTTCTTACTGTTTTACAAACAAATTAAGCTTGAGGTATAGCTATCGCCATTTCGTGCAAATGACGCAAAATTTCTCATCATTGAAAACAATCGACAATCCAATGGATTATCAAGATTTAACTTTAGATTAAGATTCTTACATGTTTTACGTAAAAATTTTGGTCGTGAAGTAAAGTGACATTAGTTTTTTTCTTAAGTTTGTTTTCTCTTGCCGGGAAGGCAAAGAGAACAACGTCCATACAGCTTACTGCTTGATAAATACAGAAACATAATAATTCAAAAGTGCACAGATTACAGAAAATGGGCGCGAGATAAAAACGATCAGAGAGACAACCACAAAAAAATCTTCTCAAAAGGAGATCCATGTAATGTTTTTAACACGTTATAACACATAGACAGATTGTACAAAATCAGTAGGCGCAGACCAAATGAAGTAAAGAAACTGGGACCAGACAACACCTGATGCTACCCGAAATTTCTAACAAAGCACGAAAAGATAATCAAAGAACTCTAGCAACCATATCTACTGCTGCAAGGAGTAAGTATTAAAAATATTAAGAGCAGATCAAGAACGAAAGGCAGGAAGCAATACGAAAAAGAAAGTTAGAACGAATAGAGATACAAGAACAGAGTTTAAAACACTCTCAAACGGTTCGTAAAACTGCTCCAAAATTAAAGAAGAAGATACATGCTCTTCAAGCAGTCACACAGGAAATGGCAAATCAGGAATTTAAGAAAGAAAATTTTCTGAATGTAACGATATACTAATTTCAGATGTAGAAGACGAGGATGAGAAAAACATACCTTGTGATTTTAGGGTAAAATTAACAGAACTGATTACTGTTTATTCTTAAAGATGCAATCATTATTTACCTACTACTTATATAATTTTAAATTCAAGAAGAGAAGAATATTTTTTATTTTTTTAAAGTGATAATTTTAATGGTAATAATGCTGGTTTTAATATTTATATTCTAAAATAAAGAAATTGTTAAAATACGTACAATCTTTCTATACTAATTCGTAAAAATATCACCCCTATATTCCTTTTCTAAGGTGGTGGACGCTAAATGGTCCACGGGTGGACGCAAAGTGGGTAAAACGCCTTATTCCGAAGTTTATCTATTTAAATAAAAAACAATAGATGTTTCAAACAAAACTGAAAGTTAATCTTAAAATTGACTATATAATGAACACATTACATAAATTTTTCATAGAAATTAGTGCTGAGTTATTTTTATTATCGCTGTCAAACTTTCCAACTGCACTAAATGGACGCGAACAGGCGAACTGACCCTATACCATTAGAAAACATAACATGTAAACTTTGTCTAATTACTGAAAAATCTATAATAATTATTTACAAGATATACCTTTGGAAATACATAGTATTTGAAATACCAAATACAAGTTATATATATTTTCTAATAATTTAAAAAAATACTTGCGCATAGGGCATTGGTATATAATTAAAGGTACCTATGTTTAGGACAGGTTTTGGCCACAATTTGTTTGTGTTGTTGTAATAGGGTTTTAAATATGGTTGAATTTAAAACTTACCTTTTTTGTGGATAGTATATATATAGATAGGTTTTATAGATAGTTGGAATCATCCAAATGAATTGATCAATAAATTGACTTATCCCTGGAAACACTGAATCCGAAAAAGAGTTTAAATAATGGCAAAGAAAAAAAACAAAAACACAGTCTCTTTCACTTAAAAAAGTATTTATAGAAGATGAAACTATGTTTAATGTATCTTGTATTTGTATCTGTTTCTTAGATACATAAAACTTAGATATGGCAATTCACTGATCATGAGAAATAAGTGAAAAGAAGTACCCCTTTGGAAGCTAGTCCTTTGGAGCTATGTTATCCTGGTACCTAACCTCAACCTACATTAAATTTAGATTAGATTTCTTCAGTGATGGCTCCCTCAGGATTTGGCCAATATCTGGTGTTTGTGTCCAAAATTTAAGTAAGTACATGATGATTTTTTCCTGACATTGTTTTAAAAACATTAGAAGCATTATGTTGTATCAAGTTATAGAATATAAAAAAAAGAAAAATTGCAATTTCGTTTACTTATGACTCCCGGCAGTAAAATTGAAATTTATCAAAGCTCGTCAATTATTCGGAGGAATGTTAGGTTACCAGCCAAAAATAAATATTATTTACTCGACTGGCTCACAGAAATATGCTTAAAATACTTTTTATACGCCAAGTCAAAAATACACCAAAGTCTTTCCAAGAGATGATTAGTAACTTTCACGAATTTAAAAATAATAGAAACAGATGAGTACCTTTTGCGGCATTAATATTACTAAGCCGAATATCTGTAGGCTTGCTTTTATCCTTATAAACCGCTGAATTAACTTTGGCAGAATCACCACCCGCCTTCGGAGCCATTATAATTGTATTAAAAACAGTTTTTTGTACAATGGAACTCGTCGATTATTTCCGATTATAAGTTCAGTTATTCAAAACAATTCTCCCTTTTGATCTTCTGATGACACCTGACCTGCAGTGTTGCCAGATCCGATTTTTAAAACTCGGGAGGTGTTATAGAAAAAAAACAGTAGATGTATTTAAATTTTATGTCTATTCATTACCGATACACATGTACGAATGAAACGGCTTCTTATCGATTTTGGTGAAGACATCATACAAATTACGCAAAGGCAACATACGGGTTGCGTACGGGCATCATACGGGGTGCACACCGGCAACATACGGGCATTATACGCCGTCGATCCGTTTCAATAGGCATAGCAAGCCGTTTCGTCTCAGTTTCCGTGTTTGATACGGTCCTAGCACGTTCATGGTATGAAACGGTGTAGTCGGCAGAGACCTTAATGGGGACAAAAAAATGGAAATACTTTGAAAAAAATATTTAAATCGGACTAAAAATGACGAAGATACAGCAACTTGAGGGCATTAGTTTTAGAAACGCGCCCGAGAATGAATTGACTCGCTGTAACGCCATCTGTTATATGATCGGTTGACTGCGAGTGTGGTTCGAACAGCAGCGCAATCTGTCGGAATACTCGATTTGTACGCGATATTGTCGTATGTTTTCATGTAGTTAATTTGATTATAATGTCATCATAGAAATTACTGTATTGTGCTAAAATGCAAAAATACTACCGCTACTACACCTAGTAAACTATTTTTTCTGTTCCGAGATGCACAGATAAGAAAAAATTGGTGTAACATAATATGGAGGGACGATAAAATTCTTCTTGTAAGCAAAAGTGTTTTGTACTGTTGCGAGGATCTTTTTGATGTAAGTATTATGCTATTTAACGCTAGTTCGGTTTAAAACAAATATTGGTAGATAGGTAACTTTAAAATTTAAATATAATTTTATGGAGATTCTCCTAAAATCCAACTAATATTATAAACTACGTTTTTTACGACAGATAAATGCGTTTATCAGGGATTGTTTAAGTGTATATAATATACAAGCAGTGACCCACAGTTCCGCAAAGATCGATGGGAAAAGAACTTGCGCGATCTTCCTACCAACCTACGTGTGTAAAGTTTCCAACCAGTAGCGTATTGCGTATTACACTAAAAATGAAAAAAAAAAATGGGTGCGTGTACTTATGTAGGCGCGTGAGAAGTTATCCTTCTTTGGCATCGTTTTTTCGGCAAAATTATCGGCAAAATTAGTTTTTAATTGCATGCAAATAATTAATTACAATAAATTAATAATAAATGTCATTTCATTTCATTTCATTTCATTTTATTTCAATGTCCCGTTCAAATCTGCCCTGTTTGCTTTGTTCAAATCTGCCCCACGGTCACTTGGAAAATAAAATATTACAAATAACGCGCCCGCGGCTAACTTCATTATGTTAAAATTTTGTGTTACAGTGATGAAAATTTCACTCTCATAATTTTTTCATAACGCGGCTAAAGAAGTTTAACTTCAAAAAAACCCGCTTCAACACACTGAAAATGAAATGATACGATTACCGAATATTTTATTCAATTCTATTTTTATTAAAAATATTTCTTACTCCGTATCCCACAATATACCTACTCACTCACACTTATTTAATCAATCCTAAGTCCCTCGAAAATATACTATTTAACACATATGAAAACCAAACAATGCATGCGCGGCACAAGCGTCAAGTAGGTAATCGGTGAATGAATATGTTCGAGCGGTCGCACGGTTCAGAACAGATAAAGTAATCGTAAAGAATCGAGCTAGAGCGCGTTACAAAGAAGCTTTTTAGAAAATTTTAATAAATCTATCATTTCTTGACGGATTTTAATTTATTGTGCATATGATTTATCATCTCAATTTACCAAAATGATATGTTTTCTAAAAAAAACACTTTATCACAAAAGAAATATAAAATTAAAAGGGGTTCCGTTGTTTAATTTAAACTTAAATTTTAAAAAACTACCCTCCACGAGAATTTTCAAAAGTTAATACTTCACCCATAAACTCGGCAGCTGTTTTCCCAAAGAGTAATTTTTTTCCGCAGAATTGCGAAAAAATCCCCAATCTGGTAACGCTGCCGCAGAGAAAAAAAAAGTACTTTTTTTATGGCAGGACACGGTTTGTGCATTGCCAGTGTCAAAGGTAGGGAAACATTAGTAGGAAATTAATGAACGTTGGATCGGAATTTAGAGGATAGGATCAGGAGGCAGAATTTGTATATTTTATATAAATATATTTTTACGGATGTTGGAAAGGGAACACCTAAGGAAATGAGGTCATTTAAAAAAGAATATCGATCGTATAGAGGGCAAGAAAACAGATTGTGGTTACGATCCCCTGTGTCCATTCCGCACCCGCAAGTAGGATCGCTGACAATTCCAAGCTTATAGAGATGTGTTGGTGTAGTAACATGTCCAAGTCGATTGCGCGTTAATATGCTAGTAGCAGTCTTACCAAGTTTAGCTTTACGAAACCATGGCTTTAAAGGGAGGTATCGTAAAATAGTATTTTCATTTTATTTTTGCACTACTTGTCCAACTTGTAAGCCATTCACTTCGCAAATCGCACAATGGTAGAGATAGCAAGTCATGGCTATAACATTTATAAGGAACAACGTCACCACAATGCACTGCCTCTTTGCCTGACTGGTAGGATTTTTCATTTCCCTAAATTCCACTGTGACTCGGAAGCCATGCAAACTCTAACATGTATCCCAATTTCATTAATTTATTTAGAAAATTCCTTATCTCAAATATTACAGGAAAATATGATTTGGTACGGAAAGGCAATTTATTTAGGGCTTGGAGAGCACTCATTGAATCGCAAAATATTATAGATTTTCGGAGTTTCATAACAGAGATATATTCAACCGCTTTTAATAAACCAATACATTCTCCGGTAAAAAAAGATGTCTCCGGAGGTAGTTTAGTTTTTTGGACAATAGAAAACTGAGAGTTGAACACTCCTACACTCAGACGTAGATGACTTAGAAGCATCAGTGAATATATGATGAAAGTCGTCATTTTCAGTATCTATAATTGATTTGAAGGTTATACTAGGGTGTGCATTGTTTTTATCAATTAAATCATACTGAATAGTTGGTGCTATTTCTAAGGCATCATAATCAATAGAAAAAATGGGAAGATGGTTTGATCGGTGTATAGGTTGATCGGTGGATTGTATACTTATATACTTTCGATAACTAACTATCAAACATGGGCGAGATTTATGTGCCCAGTAACTTGCTGATGTTATTTCTTCATTCAAAAAACAAAGAAGAATTATAAGAGGATGGTTGGAAAATTGAAGTAAACGGAATAGATATCTGTCAGCAAGAAGTTGACGTCTAATGTTAAGTGGGGGTTCACAAGTTTCAATTTGTAATGCATTTATTGGGCTGGATCTCATAGCACCAGTTATTATTCTTAACGCTTTCGACTGAACTTTATCTAACTTTTTAAGTGCAGTAGATTTGGCAGGTTCTAGGAGAAAACTTTCGTATATCCAGTACATTTCGGATTAATGGCATATATACTCATTTTAAGGAATGCGGATGGGCCCCCCACCAATCTCCTGAAAGACATCGGAGAAGATTTAAAAGTCGTTCTGTTTAACTTATAACAAAATCACAATGTGCACTACCGGTAAGTTTGGAATCCAACATGACACCCAGAAACTTTACTTGGGGTTCAACGGGAATAAACATATTATTATAATAAATTTTAACGGGAGGGGGATTCTTCTTAGTTGAGAATATTACAGTATCTCTTATCTATTAGACAAGTCCGTCTGTCTGTGGTGCTGTTTCAGCGGCCAAACCGTAAGAGATAGATAAAGAGAATATTTAAGTTATAAGTTAAGAATAGTCTGATAAGACTACAAACCGGATTTGAGTAACGTAGCACTTCCGGTTTTCGAGAAATCAGGTTTTGGTGAACATTTGGTTCACTGGTTTGCTAGTATAGTATAGTACTCTTTGAAGCAGATAATTCTAGATCGTTATCGTACATCCAAGAACTCAAAGAACACAAAGCTGAGTTAATATGCAAAATAGAATTATCTATGTGACGGTTTGTAGAATAAATCAATAAATCATCAGCACATTGTAACAACTAAAAGTGTCAAAATCGTGAGTATATACACTGTAAAGTAAAGGACTAAGAACTGATCCCTGGGGCAAGCCTCTCCATACAGTTCTTTGTGTTTCAAGACTATTCGGTAAGCTAAATATTAATTTCCGTTCGGCTAGTATATTCATAATAAAATTTATTAACATGTGAGGAACCTCTGGTATTTCTAATTTACTTTTCAAAACTGATATTAATACGTGATCATATGCAGAATTTATATCCAAAAATGCTGCTACTACGGCTTCGTTATATGTGAAAGCCAGACGAATGACGGTTGATAAAATACTTAAATTGTCCATAGTACTTTTCCCCTTTCTGAATCCGTATTGTGTTTTGGATAGCATACCTCTGCTTTCTAAATACCATTCAAGGCCATTTTTTATTAAAATTTCAGCTAGCTTTATTAAAACAGTTGCCAAAACTATTGGGCGGTATGAAGATGCATGTGATGGTGGTTTGTTAGCTTTGAGTATGGGCAACACTATTTGTGACTTCCATGACATATCAGTAACATTTGCAAAAAACGAATACGGAATCATAGAGTACATTATATACTAGTAATAGAGATATCAGTTAACCTGAGCATACAGCGCCATCTAGCGATTCATGACATAATCACAAGTCATGTACTACTGAACCGGTACCGGCAGCTTTAGATGCGATTATTAATATGAAAAAAGGAAAAAAAAATAATGTGTAAAGCTACATTATTACATAATTTACCTACTATTCGTTTACACAGTTTTTTTTGATAATTGTCTAAAAATGTAGCTTTAACACAGTCTGTTAGAATAAATAAAGAAGTTTTATAAATCAATTATTTTTATTTATATTATTAAATATTTGCATGACATTCTTTTAATATCATCTTTAAAATTTGTACAATTACGCAGCTTTATGGTGCCGTTTAATAATTTATTTACCTCACCACACCAGTTATATAAAAAAAATCTACAAGTCGGATCTATCATAAAAGTTTCATTGCTTTCTTTAGCCGTGTTGTGTATTTGAGATTCTTTTCAGTTAGCTTCTTCACCACTTTTTTTAAGTTAGTTACACTTTAATCCATTGCAGATGCTGAAAAAAAGCATTTCAATA